TGGAAATATGAAACACAGAAAAAACTTGCTAAAAAACCAGCTCTTCCACTTTTATCTTATCAAACTGGAAAGAAAATTGAATGTACAAGATATGGAAATAATTCAATTTTTATTTCTTATGAAAATGAAAATTATATTGAAAAGATTGATATGAAAATTTAATACATTAATATTATTTATTATTTTTTTATACAATTTCATCATATTTCTTATTCATCCATGGATGTTTTAATGCTTGTCGTACATCCAATCTATCTAGAGGATCAATTTGTAAACATTGTCTTATAAAATCTACAAATTCTTCATCTTGACAATTATCTAATTTTTCTCGAATATCTTGATTATAATCTGGTATCAATAATTCCTCATAGACATTATCATTTGGTCCAATTTGACCAACTCCTGATGGTGGAATTGTTTTACCTGTATCTTTATCTACATATCTAAATAATACATATTCAGTTCTTCCATTAATTTTAACCTTTTTGAAAAAGTCTTTAACAAATCTTCCTCTTTGTAATTGATGTAATTTGAATGGTCCACATAAAGATAATATCTTGGCTAACATTGTCTGTATCGAATGATTGTAAAACAATACTTTGCCTGTAAACAATTCAGCTAAAATACAACCAATAGACCAAATATCAATCTTTTCATCATAATCACTTCCAATGACAACTTCAGGTGCTCTATATGTTCTTGATTGAGCATATAATGGTAAATTATCCCATTTGAAACATGATGAACCAAAATCAATAATCTTAACTTGACATCTACTATAGGATTTGATTAATATATTTTCAGGTTTCAAATCACAATGAATCAAATTAAGTGAATGAACAAATTGTAATGCAGTTAATACTATTTGATGATAATATCATGATTGAATTATTAGATGTTAGATGATGACCAATGAAAAACAACTTACATTGTTGAGTAACTTTTTGAAGTCTTGGAAGATTAAAATACAATTCATCACCACTATCTCTATTGTAAACATAAAATTCATACAAGTTATCTCTTAACAATTCACAAACAATGAACAGATGTTCCTTATAATAGAAAAAGTCATGTAACTTGATAACATGGAAAGCATCTGGATCACCCATACTATTAATAAATCTTAGTAATTTGATTTCATCTAAACTTTGATCAAAGAAATCCTTATCATTCTTAATAATCTTAATGCAAACGTTTTGATTGGTTCTTAAATCCAAACATTGAATTGCTCTGCTAAAAGTTGCACTTCCTAGATATTCAACAACTTGATATCTTTCAGCAATAATTGAATCAACTTCAATTTTGAATTCATTTGTTTCTTCGAATCCAGTTTTAAATGTTTCTCTTATAATTGGAAGATAAATAGTTTCATATTCAACTGGTGGTCTCCATTTTGTTCTTCTATCTACAACTTCTGGTGCTTCTTCTTCAATATAAGATGGAACACAATTTTGTAAAACATCTGTTTGAGAAAAATCAGTTAATCTTGAATATCCTTCATCATCACTATCACTTGCATAATCATCATCCTTGGCATCTTTATCTGGTTTTTCCTTCTTTGTTTCTGCTGATTTTGGTTTTTCTTTAGATTCCTTAGGGTATTTATGAGCTTCAACTTGTTGTTCAAGTTCTCTCAAATCATTTTCAACATTCTTTTCAAATGTTTCATATAAATCCTCCGAAGTGAAAGGATTTGATAGTTCTACTGGTTCATCACCACTTTCATACATGTGAGCAAATTCTTGTAATTCTTTCATCAATGAGGCACTATCTGGTCTTTCATATTCATCTTCCTCAAAAGATTGTTTTGAAGTTCTAGACTGTCCTGTAAGAACTCTCTTTGCACTATTTGTTGGAGTAATTCTATGATTGTAGTGTTTTGTATCTGGTACATGATGTTGATGGTTGTAGAAATCGGAAACTACACTTTGTACAATATCATTAACAATTTCGCATATATCATTGTATTCAGATTCAGAAACAATATTATTTACGAGGGAATATGATTTTAAAGAGTGTTGAGGAGAAGTTTGAATAACCTCTGTTGGTTCTGCTGATGTTTCCATTGTTTTAACTGTTCAATAAAATTCCGTTAATGTATTTTCAATAACTATTAGGATCATCAACAACACTTACTACTTGATTTTAATTCTTCCATCAATTTTTCAGCTGTTTGATTTAATTTGTTCTCCCTAAGGAAGTTCAAAAAGATACCTAACATTTCTTGTTCATCATTCAACTTCTTTTCATCTAAATCATATTGTTTTAGGAATGAACTATTTGAATCTTGTGTTGTATTTAAAATATCGTCCTCTTCATAGTCTTCATATTCAGAGTCTGAATCATCTGCATTATAAGGCTCTAATTGTTGTACCTCATTAAGTGCGCTGTTGGAATACATTTTTTTTGATAAAATTATTTAGCAATATTTTTGTAGACTGAGAATGGCGCCAAATTATTTACATTGGCGCCAAAATGTTATCTTTTGTTTTATAGTCTTACTCAATAAAATAAATTGGACTCTAAAAATACAAATTATGAGCTAATTGAACAAATCAGTCTTTCTTTGTTAGCCTTACTCAAACTACATATTGCCTCGACCGTAGTAATATCTCTTGGAATTTTATAAAAAGAAACGCATACAGTTTGTCGTTGAATTGAGTAAACAACATGGCAAAAACACCAGAATTTAAAATCCTTAGAGATCTACTATTATGTCTAATATTTAAAGATAAAGGCCTTTTGCTTGGAGCGCGTTCTAATTTTTCGTGTAACATAACAAACAACAAAGGGAGATAGTTCAGTGGTAGAACATGGGATTGTGGTTCCTAAGATCAGGGTTCGATTCCCTGTCTTCCTACTCATTTTTATTTTAGATTTTTCAACAATTTTATTTCAGAAATGCAACTTCAATATTTGTTGATCTAATAATATTACAGAAAAAATGTCACAACTATTAGAAAACCTCAAAGATTTATTTCCCTCCATTGACATTGAAGTAATAGAATCAGTTATTGATCAAGTTGATAATGATGAAGAGGCTGCCATTGAATTACTAGTACAAATTAATGAAGATGATGAAGATCTTGATGAAATTAACAATGTTCCGAACAATACTTTTAATGACAAAACTAATGATGATATCAATAATGATGATGATTTATTAGAACAAGAAACTTTTGATGATCATGAATTTTCCAATCAAGTATCATCATCGTCTACAAAAAACAAGCCTTCCTCCTCTACTACTACTACTACTTCCACTTCTAAAAGTAGTAGTAGTAAAAAATTATATCAAATACTTGATGAAGAAGGAATATTAAATGAAATTAATAATACAATGAATCAAGTTTTAAATATATTACAAATTAATAATAATAATAGTAATTTTAAATTAGAAATGATATTAAAAAACTATAAATGGAATGTTGAAAATATTATTAGAGATTATGGTGATATTGGATTGGATGGTATTTTAAAAAAAATTGGTTTATTAAATAATTTAAATACTACTATAAATAGTAATAATAATAATAATAATAATATTACAACAACAACAATAACAACAATATGTGAATCATGTTATGAAGATAATATAGAATTAATTAAAAATATAAATTGTGAACATTCATTATGTGAATCATGTTGGAGAAATTATATAGAATCATCAATTTTACAAAATAATGGAACAAGTATTGAAAGTATTAAATGTCCATCCTATGAATGTAATTGTCTATTATTAGATGAATTTATTTTATCATTTATAACAAGTAAATATGAACATTTTCTATTAAAAAGTAAAATTAATTCATTCATGACAAATTCACATCGAATGAAATGGTGTTCAAATAATTGTAAATTTGCAATTAAAAAGGAATGTGATGAAAATTTATATTATTGTAAATGTAAATGTGATAGAGAATTTTGTTTTCATTGTGATCAAGATCCACATTATCCAGGTATGTTTATTTTTATTTTATTTTAATATATTTAAACTATTTAAACTATTTAAAATATTATTGTAAACTATTTAACATTACAATAACAACAATACAATAACATTACAATAACATTACAAAAATATAACAAAACATAATAATAGCAACATGTGAAATGATGAAAAGATTTATATCATTTACAAAAGAACATGAATCTAATTTAGAATATATTAAATCAACATGTCAACAATGTCCATCATGTAAAGTTTATGTTCATCGTATTAGTGGATGTGATAGTATGGTATGTGGATATTGTGGTACTAGATTTTGTTATATTTGTGGACAATCATCACATGGATATCAATCTATTTGTGTTGGACAATCTACTACTCTATTAGGAAGTAAAAAAGTTAGTGAATTTGATTTATATGTAGAAGAAGCACATGCTAGATTTAATTATAAATATAAATTATATACTAATTGGTTACAATCTCCAAATACACATTCTAATTTAATTTTTTATAATTTGGAAAATTCAGCACTTTTTGAATTTGGATATTTAAAAAATGATTTTAAAATATTTTATTCTGCATTAAATTTAATAATTAGAACTAGAAGATTATTAAGATCATTATGTGTATTTGCATTTGTTTCATTTGGATTTGATAAATTATTAATGGAAAGTTTATTAAAAAATATTAAAAATACAAAAAAAAATAAGAAAAATAATAATACAAATATGGAACAAGATTTAACTTTATTAAAAACATTTGGATATTTATTTGATATGAATTATGAAAGATTGGAAAAATTTGTTGATCAATTACTTTCCATTTTAAGAAATTTTACACAAACACCTCAAGAAGAATTAGAAGAACAAGAAGAATTAGAAAAATTAAATTCTACTAATAATGGAAATATTAAAAATTATAGTAACATGTTTGAATTTGGAAATTCTTTATTTACACAAGAAAAACATTTAAAATTTCATAATTTAAATTCACAAATTAAAAATCAAATGGAATTAATTGTAAAACAAACTGAAAATATTATTGATATGATTAAATCAATGGAAATGAAAACTATTTAAATAAAATTTATTTTTTATATTTAATATTTATTACCATTTTTGGAAATATTTAAATATTCTTTTTATTTTCTAAAATATCATTATTAATATCAATGGTATTATTATTATTTATATTTTGATTATTTTGATTAATATTTTGATTTGTTTGTCTAATATCATCAAAATCAAGTTTTTTAAATAATTTTCTAAAAATAATTTTACAAATTAAATAAAACCAAAATAAATGTAAAATTAATAAAATAATTAATAAAATATTTAAAATCCAATATGGACTTATACATACTCCATTTATACATATACCATAATTAGATAAATCTATAAATGAATTAATATTTGAAACATTTCTAATTAAATAATATCTAGTTAAATGATCCCATCCATATTTATTAAAAATAGATTTAAAAATTAAATATGGAAAATAAATTAATCTTTTAAATAAATAACTAATTGCAAATAAAATAAATAATAAATTTGTAATTTTTTCATTTAAATTTAATAATTTAAATACTTTTGCAGAATAAAAGAAAATATCAACTAAATCATGTAATAATAAAATTAAAGTTCCAATTCTATGATAAAATGTTAAAATACAACCAATAATTAAAAATATTGTAACAATGTGATGAATTACAAATTGATGAAAATCTTTCATTTTCTCATCTATAAATAGTAATGTAAATAATGCTTGAATATAGAAACCACATCCTATTAATAGATATTCTCTCATATATGGATATTCAAATCCTGTATGTTCATTTGGATATCCAATATTACAATAATCAGAATTAAATAACCATGGTGTTTCCTTTAATATTAAAATTCCAAATATAGATGATAATATATAAAAAATACAAAACCAAATATTTTCTAATATACTACTATATTTAGTACTTTTAGAATATTTTTTAATTAATTTTAAAAATATTGGTTCAATTACAAATCTTCTCATACAAAATAATAAAATTGCAATTATTAATACATTTATAGTATCTTGCATGAACCAATTATTTTTCCTATTTTCAATTGGTTCATCACTTCCAAATATCATTGGAAATAAATGTGGTGGACCCATTGTTGTTCTTGTTGAATTTGGAAATATTCTATATTGAGAATAAATATGTGTATTATTAGTACCCATTAATCCAAACCATTTATCTATAACATGATAAAATGTGTTTGAAGTAGTACATGTTGTAGTAGTTGAAGTAGTAGTAGAAATGTTATCATTGTTTTTGTTTTTTTTAAAGATGTTCATTGTTGGTAGTTGAACTGTGTGCTAATGGTTGCGTGTGAAAATAATAGTGCAGCGTTGAAAAAGTTTACAATAAAATTGACCGTTGAAATTGGATTGGTGCATTGGATGTCCTGAGGACTTGAACCAAATCAACAGATTCCAAGTACTGAACATGTGTGTTTTAAATTGCAACATGCATGCAACAACATCATCCAACAACACAATCAATGTGGACCCAGTAAACAACTCCCTCTTGACAAAATGAGCGGGAACTTTTATTGTTTATTTCATGTAATATTTTAACAAACAATCAATCTTGATTTGTCATTGACTCATAATTGAGTCCTGTAATCCATCTAATGTTAATTTCCATTCATTTCGTACACCTTCTGTTTCAGTGGGTCCCAACAAGTCAAGCATTGTCTGATAGCATTTGGCAAGGCAAGAGTTGTGGAAAATACTAAGAGATTGGTCTCCACCTACTCTATATTTGGCATAGCTAAAAAGTGATATTGTAGTTTCCAAAGCTCCTTTTACCAATTCTAAATTCTTTTCGAAAGAAGACACAACAAATAGACAACATTCCACAAACTCTGACATTGGAAACTGAATTTGGGTTAGATTTGTTTCATCAAAACAAATTGTCAACTTGAAATTAGCGTTAAATTCCTTTACAAGTGTGAATGTCTTTTCAAACATATTAAATGCTTGAAACATTAGATTGTTAAAATGATCTTCGCTGCACAAGTCAGTTGGTGTTGGGTAAAGAGCATGAGTATCAGAAATTAAAGTGTAGAGAAGACATGCTGTATGAATGAGCTCTCGATAGTTGGTAGTGGTGGTTGGTGTGTTTTGTTCGAATTGTTGTTGGAAATACAGATTGCAACGGAGTGAAGCTAAATGAAACAAGTGTATAATTTTTTCTTTGTGTTTATTCCTTTCTTGTATCAAGGACAATACACAATAAACATCAAGGCTTGGCGGTGAATTGGACAATAATTCTTCATCATCATCAGCTTCAAAGTAAAGCAGCTTAGTTCCATTGTGAGACATTTTTTTAAGAAAAGTTTTTTAACTTGCTCTAAATCGAATGGTTTGCAACCCCTTAAACTATTGAGGTTGAATTGTCCCTTATTGTTTTTTTAATAAGAAAACAATAGAGAGGAATCTGTATAATCCGAAATTGAACTATTCTCGAAAATTATCAGCAGTTGAGATTTAAAAAGCATCCATTAATCTTTCTTTTTGACATCAGATATAATTAAACCCTTAATAGACGAACATTTCATAAAGATTAAAATCATAAAGTATATCACTCATAAATTGAAGTAAGTATTCGCTTTCTATTCCAATACTTTGACAGTATTTCCCTCCAAATGTTGCTCATGAACACACTCAAATTTAACTGAAATTACTGAATAATTGGAAGAATCAATAAACAGTCTATATCTCTTACGTTGTTGATTCAGACCAGATAAGACGAGGATCCATTCTCAAATTAGGATGTTTATAATATTAGTTCCTTCCTTTCTTAGTGTCCAAGAACTCTATTTCAAATCATAATGATTGAATTGGAAAAGTACTCTTTAAGAACTATCAGTTTTTAGTAGTGAACTTTTGAGTGTGATATATTTGGGCTACTGGAAAGTGATTCAACTGTGAAGTGCTTTTCAATTAATGGTATAAAAGAATGTGAAGAGTGATTTGTTACAATAAAAAGATCTTTGTAAAATAAAGAGATGATCATCAATAAAACTAGTGAGAGAACTTGAGCATTATTGACAAGGGTTGAAAGACATTCAATAAGAGCTACAGTTTACTTTAAGACTTTACTTACAAATTTAACAAATAAATAGGTTACTATATTTGTACTTTAGGAATTCGCAATTTTCGATATCCATCTTATATACTTCCCATATTCATGTAATTTGAACTCAGGCAAGGACCCCGTATAAGAGCACTAAATAGTATCCTTAAACGTTGAAATAATCCATCACTACTAGTCAACTTGACTTGTTTTTTAAATGCTTCGTACTTGGGCTTTTTAAAATCTCCTTAAAAAAAAGAAACAACATTTGGCTACTTACAAGCCTTTCAAAATTTCATTAGACATCAAACTACTTCTACGGAGGAGGAAAGAATTAATTGAAAATAGGATTCATTGTAGTTTTAATTAAATTTAAATTGAATGACTTTACCAAATCATCATCTTCAGCATCAGAAGGTTTATCCAATTGAAATTACAAATGAAACAACACCATCAGCATCAGATTCTACTACTACTAGTAATGAAATATCATCAAAAGCAATTGATAAAGTCAATAGAAAGGCTTTCGTAATTGATGATTTTGATAAGAGTATGGAATTGAAAAATGTAGATGAAAGTTTGGATGATTTTAGTTGGGTTCCAAAATCACCTTTAACCTCAAATTCTACTTATCGACCAAAATCAGCAAGGAATAGATATGATCAGGCCTTTAGAATTGAGAATGATCTTCAAGTCTCTCCGAATAGTAATCAACAAGCCTCATACTACAAACAAGCTGCCTTCAATCATATTCTTAATAATTCAACCAATGTAAATAATAATAATGAAACAACTCAAAAGAATGATGAAAAGAGTGTTGCTAAAACTAAACCAAAATCTGCACCTCCTCATATTAAGAGAAATACATCTGATAATAATTCTGAAAGGAAGAATCCATTTGCTATCATTAAGGGATTGTTGAATATGTGTAAAACCAAGAACCATGTCGTTGAACATGATGAAACAAAAGAAAATATCAAACCATCATCAGCTAAAAGTAAACATTCAGAAACATGTCAGAATATTACAATTGAAAAAACTCAAGTGGTTGTCTTTGATAATAGAGCAAATAGAGAAGAACTTCCACCATCACCTCAAATGAATAGAAGAGCTAAATGTGGAGGATATGGAGATGATGATTCAAATAGAGATCAACCAATTATTGTTCCTCTATATTATCATGTAATGAATGCAGGTAATAATCCTCAAAGTAGTGAAGCTCCTAAATCCAATAATCCAAACACTAATGTTCTTGACTTGTCTGATTCTGTTTCAGATATTCAAGAATTTTAAATTGTAAAAACTCTAAGAAATAATTATCAAATATAATGTCCATATTAAATGTATGGTCAATAAACCTAGGCATCCTTTTTATTGAGTATTAGAATCAGTTGGGATTGTTGCCTTTAAAATTCCACAATCAATCATTAATTTTATCAATTGAGTTGTATAATGTGATAATGTATAAGTATTATGTGGAAGTGAATAATCAGCATAATCAATAGAAATATTATATAGATCACTAATTTTAATTTTAGCTGTATTTTGTTGATAGGCAGATGATGGTGTTGGTGTATTTGAATCAAAATCCACAAATAAAGTCATAAAATCCTTCATTAACTCTTCAAATAAATAACAATAAGAACAAGGTGAATATTCAACATCAATTAAAATTCCTCTCTTTTTAGTTCCATATGAATAAATTCCAACTCTAACAGTAAAATCTCCAAATTTTAAAATTTCACCTTCAATAGTTACTTTAACAAATTCTGTATAACGTTTTAACTTTTCACAAATCATATCTTTAAAATTTGTACTTGTCACTAATATTTGTTTATCCAATAAAAAGAAAATCTTATCAATAGATTTAAGTTCTAATGAAGGAGGAACAAGATTAAAAACTTCTTTTGGTTGATTAAAATCAAAAGATTCTTGTAGTAAAGCTCCTCTAAATTTTAAAGTATTCCAAGTTTGATTTAAATTTTGAATATGTTCCTTCTCCACTTCATCTTGTGTATATTGTACACTATGTAATTTTGTATGAGAAGTAAAAATTGGAGGTTCTTGTGAATCTGCAGGTGCTGTATTATTAGGATTATATTCTTTAATTTCTATATAAAATTTAGGAGCATTAGGATCTAAAGTTGTTTGTGATATTGTTGATAGTGAAGAAATTTTCTCAGCATTATAAAGCCTAATAAGAGAAAGTACTATTTTTCGGTATTCGTTCTGTACTAACTTTTCATCATTGCTATATTCTTTAAGTTCCTTGATAAATAATTTATGATAACCCATTTATATTGTTTTTGATGATGATCGTTCTATTATGTACAAAAATTAATGTATGATGAATACGAAGGCTTTTTGATGATGACTTTGTGAAGCCTTGTTTGATACAAAGACGTGTATTCAAATTTTTTAAAAATAAATTAAATTGCATTGGAATTTTCACCAACAAAAAATGTCTGCAACAACAACAAAGAATAATAATACCTACAAATGCCAATCGATGGATGAATTTATATCTAAAACCGAAGCACTTTTTAATCAATTTCCAAATGATACACGATATGTTATGAAATTTAGTAATAAGAAAGGAAAAATGAGCTTAAAAACCACTAATGACACCTATGTTGTAAAATATTGTACAGATCAAGCTTCCGATTTGCAACATCTTGAGAAATTAAACAATTTTGTAATGACAGTGACGACATCAAAGAGTAAGTTATTGGAAAATTATTGATGGATTATTAATATGAATTTTATTCTCATCATCAGACGAGGAATTAAAAGCAAAGAAATAAATAAATTTACTAATTTAATCAGCATGAATAACACAACATCTATGCATATTACAACAATAACATCATCAATAATATGAGTAAAGAAATGAATTTCATCATCACACAATTTTGTCTAGATAAGAAAAAGGCTTGATTTGGTGAAAAAAGGCTTTAAAAAAATTATCATCATTTAACAAGAGAATTTTCTTCATCATCAACAACAACATTATACTATTATTGATAATATGAATCGATTATTCTCTGGAGGAGGAAGACATTTTTCTCGTGCTGTTATTTACAGTGCAACATTATCATTTGTTGGAATTAACTTTTTCACCTTTTCTCATTATATTAAACATTCCTATTGGGATAATTTACATACTTCTCCTGCACCATCAAGTGGACAATATATGCAACCACCTGAAGAAATTACAAATTCAAGCAAGGAAGAAAAATTATTCTATACATTAAAATCTAATCAATCATCATCATCTAATGGAACGAAAAAATTAATCATCTTCCTTCCTGATATTGTTGAAACAAGAGAAGTTTTCCAAGATTTGGAATATCAAATGTTACATAATCCACAAGTTAACGATCAACAAATTTATTCATTAAGATATGATAGATTTGGATATGGATATAGTAATGTTGTAAAAGGACCAAGACATTTACATAATATGAGTATTGAATTACATACACTTATTGAACATGTTTTAAAGAATAATATTGAATTGAATGAAAATGAAAAACTTGAAATTTCACTTGTAGGTCATGGATTTGGAGCAATGTTAGCAAGAATGTATTTGTATAAATTTTCAAATACTTTTGAAAGTGAATTTAAAAATGTCAAAATTGCAAAGAATATATTAATTTCACCACTTCATGAAAGATTTATTCAATTTTCACCATTCTATGTGGATTATCTTGTTGACTGGAAATCAAGAGGTTTTATTAATAGACTTTTATCATTCCACGGTTTTATGGAATGGTTATTTAAATTTAATCCAAGATTTTCTTTAAAGGATGAAGTTATTTATCCATTTATGGAAACTATTGCAGATGATGTACCAACAACAACTTGGAATGTTAAATATAATGGAACTGAAGGATCAACAGATTATGATGATGATCATTTAATTTCTAAAGATGAAGCTAAGAAGAGATTGGAATTTCATATGAGAAATGATAATTTATGGAAAACTGTTAGAAATGAAACAAATTTATTCAAGAGATCATGTGTACAATTGAATGATTGTCGTAAGAGTGCAGAGCCACACTATAAACAACAAGAACAATCAGCATCAGCAGCAACAGAACAACAACAACCAGAAGAAGCTAACACTACACAACCAATTAATACTTCCAATATTGATGTTCTAGTTGTTGATGTCGATCATTCAAGAGATGACGAACTTGGCAGAAAGGGAGTTAAAGTTTTCTTTGATAAGAATAGTGAATTTTCACAAGTTGATTATCTCAACGATCTTGTTGAAGGATATTCTAATAAGAGTAAGGTTATTTCACTCAATAATTATAATCACTACTCTGTATTGAATACACCTGCTCTTGCACAAACTGTAATTAACTTCCTCAAACAATAAATAATGGAATATTTTACAACAGTACAAAGTATTCATTGTACCTTCATCTTCACTTATTCAGATCCTATAGTGAGATGGTGGATATCAAAGTATCTGTTTTCCCAGAATAATAATGTTAAGGATGATAATTTATCTATATTTATTATCCTTTCAATAAGTCAAAAAGTACAATTCCGTAAATCTTTGCATTGTCTTTTGTTAAACCTTAATGTTTTTTGGAAAAATGCAACTACTATGAAAGATATGAAATATTACTTCAAATCCACAGATAATGGATGGATCTTGTGTAACCTACCAATCACAAGCCTGTCTCCCAAAAAAATTATCAATGAGTTGGGCCAATTAGACAATTAGCATAATAGCTCTTTCTTCTTCTGAACTCTCTTGTCTTATTATCAGTGAAACTCTAAAGGCAACTCTAATTTTCTATAGAAAAATAGTTTAAAAAAATGGATCCACATGGCTCTTTTGTTTCATCCGAAACTTCCTTAACATCCTTCATCATCACCATTTAAAGATAAATGGTTCATTTGTTAAGATTTATATTACTCAATTTGTTTGTAATATGTTGTAAAACATAACTGTCATCCTTTTCAAGACGTTTCACACTTGTCTTCTTTCTTGTTTTGTGTTGCTTGTCAATTCCATTCTTTTTTCTCTCCTCCTTTTCTCTTTCCATCTTTGCCATTAATTCCCTATATGCTGGACAAGTATCATAATACTCCATTTTCCTGCTCAATCATAGTGGGCAATATTACTTAGTAAGCATTCAAAAATTTTGGAATGTCAAAGAGAGGTGAGAGGTTTAATTTTCAAACTCCTTCCAGAGGAACCAATTTTTCCTAACAAGTTAATTGTTGTGATTTGTAATGAGCTTGTTTATCATTTTCATATTGAAGTCAGTTTTAAAAGAGATGTTATTGTAAGAGTTTATAATGTACTCAATATCCATAACGTGACGGACTTACAACGAATTATATCTAATTTTTACTTGGTTTCAAAACCATTCTGCCAAGATTTTGAAACATATATTGATGATTGTTTTTTCAAATTTCGGAACCATCTCAGAGAGTGTTTCACCATTATTCAAGTTGATTAGTTAGCTTCCTATTATTAAGATAAATATTGAATTTTATAGATTATTCATAATAGAAATATTGAAGTAATTGTCAAGTTCTATGAAATTACAGATTCGAATACACAATACATTTTAAAATCTCATTCTTTCCCACAACAATTGAATATCATATTTGTTGTATCAAAATAAATATTACCCACTTACCTACTCAACTACAGTTCACTACAACTATTTCTAATGAGGACACAGATCCGCAGTAAGCGCACTGTCACAACAATCATCGCCACATGAAATTTCCTTTTGTTGCTTCTTTAAATTACAATGCAATACAAAAGAAACTTCATACAATGTATTCGAAACAATGTCTAGACAAGCTTTTTTTTACTCTGTTTCAGTTTTTAATTAATTAAATAGTCAATTCCTAAATGTGTTCACAAAAGCTAAACTTGTCGAAACAGTGCCGGTGAATTTCGCTAACGTGCATGACAAGTAACACATTCAGACAATTTAATGAAGTTGTTTCATTTTGTGATTTAATCCAATTGATTAAAGCTTGCAGTTTAATATGAACCATCCACAGACCAAAAAACCGTATTACTGCCAATACGTCAAATTTCAAATGGTCTCTTCATTTGAAAATACTTAAAAGTAATGTTGCCGTGATATGAAATCTTGTTATGGCTTATTTTGCTTTCGTACAGCCAGGACTTTAAGGGAAGTTAAGAATACTAGTGATATGCAATTAAAAGCTGTTGGTCGGTTGTTGCTGTTGGAGCCTTGACACATTTCGCACCGGTTTCAAGTTGGTATTGATTCGTATAAAAAAAACTATTCGAAACAGTTCTGCACCGAATCACTCTCTCGGTAGAAACACTCAGTCACCACGTTGAAAAAGCGAAATCTTTGGTAACATTATTGTTCATCATTGAAATGCCAACTACATGTCCTTATCATTATCTTACTCATCTAAAAGTTTGTAATCTTTACTGTTTTTATTAAATAATTAACAATCAATTACACAAATACCAACTATCCATTCTCAAAAATAGTGCAATCAAGATGTTTGTGTTATTCGAAAGGCTTACCCAAATGACTCTGAAATTATGGAACAACAATACTTTTTTCTCTTGAAAGAAATATATGAGAGAAATATTCCACAACGATCCCAAATGAATTCCATTCTGAGAGATAAATTCCTTCAACATGCTCCAAATTCAATGTTGGCACTCGTTGAATCAGTGAAGGAAATGAATGAATGTGGTATTAATGTTAAAGATGTTCCAAAGAGATCTGTATTGGCTTGTGAAATATTAGATATTACCAATGTTAATACCCTCATTTCTAATACCAAAGAAGTGGCTTCAAATCTTCATCATGTAATAACAATACCAACAACAAATACAAATTGTTGTTGTAGTAATAGTGCAGATGAGAAATGTGCATGTAATGGTCATCATACAACAACAACAATATCAAATATGCCCAATAATCATTGCACATCATCTAACTATCAAAATGGTAGTTGTAATCTATCGTCGCCTACTTCTCCTTTTGGAGCATGTTTTACATCAAAGTTTACTTTACAAAAGAAGAGAATTCCAAAAAGATCATCACCTCCAACCATACAATCCTCATCAACTGCTACATGTTCCTCAACTAACATGCCATTCACAAGCTACTATAACAGTGGGGCTGTGTATTTTGATCAACCAACAACTCAAATTTCAGAACAAAATCTGAAGAGAAAGCATTCGAATGTGAATGTCATGCAACATGAAACTTTGATTCCAAGAACATGCAAAGTAAGAACATTGAATCAACCAACACAACAAGTATCACCACCTCCACCTCCACAACCACAACAATATATATGTATCAGTTTCATGCAATTGGTTCACCTCAATCACCTTCAACATGTTCCTCTTCTAATACTAACAACACATTTGAATATAATAATCAGCAGCAGCAACAACAGCACGATTCAAAGAAGAGAAAGATTGTTGATACATCATTCCACCTCTCCACCCAATATTCCACAACTGCACACAGTTCTTCCTATGTTTTAGTACCAAATTCGTCACCTCCTCCACCTGTATATTATCCTTCTCCTCCAAATACTCCTAATACTCCACCTCCTCCTCCTACCAACTCATTCTCATCATTCAACACTTGTTTATCATTACCCTCACCAACTCTATCACCATGTAAATTACCTCCAATAAGAGATTTACTCAACTCTCTGCAGTATCCTTCCTCAATATAAAGTCCCTCAAAATTTCTTTTTAAAATAAATTTTAATTCTTCTTCTTATTAAATCGGAGTAATTTCCTATTAGGAATGAATGTTGTGATGATATTAGCAAAGGTCAAAACAAGGCTTTGAAATTTTAATTTTTATAAAAAAAATGGGACAATCACAAGGTTCCCTCCCACCAGAGTTTGAACAATCACTCGGAAGAGTGTTACATTTTGATGATCAATTGTTGATGGAAACATGTCCTAATGTTGAACAACAATTTGATATTTTACATGATATTGTACTCTCGTTATATGATCATTCGCAATTTAAACATTTTATACAAACACGAATAGATGCTCTAGTATTAAAACATTTAGGAAGAATTTTGTGTTTTCTTGTTAATATTCACAAAGAATTAATGGAACAAGAACAACAAATTTTATACAAGAAACAAACAAGTTTAACTTTAGAAATTGAAAAAGTTATTATATGTATATATGAAATGGCAGTACATTTTCTATCAAATCCATTCTTGTATCAATCATTAGCACTTAATTTATTACAAGGAGAAAAGAATTCTCAAGAAAAGGAACAAGTGTATAGTTATTATATCGATCCTGGATTTTATTTCCTTTCTAAAGCAAATATTATAGAACAAGTTTTAAGATTTTTGAAGGAATTAACAATTGGAGGACCAAGTAGACACTTGTTTTTAGAACCACAAACACCAACAACTGATGTAAATGGACAACAAGATCAAAAAATTACAGAACAACGAAAACAAGATTTTATTGGATCTATTATGGAAATTCAACAACAATTTGCTTTAAAATCTAGAGGGTGAGTATTTTACAATGTAATTGAATTCTCATCAAATATAGATTTGAATTAATGTACACAATTTTGGAATTTTATGTTCATGATAAGGCAAAGAAGCAAAAGAAACACATAACAAAACAAGTACTTGCTAAAATTATATTAACTGTCTTGGATATTTCTAAAAATATACTTGATAATGAAAATTCTACTGTTGCAAAAGCCTTTATTTCTATTTTTGGACTTGATGCGGATAGGGACATTGCTATACGGAAGAGATTTTGTCATAATTTATTATTCTTATGTCAAATTACCCAACCAAATATTCAAATACAAGATTTGTCACAAGATTCAGAATTGGATTTGTATTTTTTAATTAGAATGGGTGCTATTCACCTTCTTTTTATAATATTTAATTATTCATCAGTGGAGGGAAGAAAGTTAATAATTGATTGTGTTATTATTTATGGATTACTTTTAAATCAGTTGAAAAATTTAATAATCCAACAACAAACATCATCCCTCATTAATAATCAATCTAAACAACTAATGATCAATTTAGAATTTTTGAGAGTTTGCTCCAGTTTAAATACTGGTTCTCTTGAAAATATTTGTACATTTCTCTTGAGTAATTTATTACCCCAACAAATGGTCTTGTACATAACCAACTCACAAATTGTGCTTGAGAATGAAAATGTTGAAAATTTATTCTCTATGGATCATTATTCATACTCTCTGGTGTGGAATCAACAAATGAGAGATGAACTTGTTAAAGTCATTGATACAGAATTATCATTGGCAGAAGATAGATTGGATTTGATTTCCAATGAGCACCAATGGGTCTCTGTACTTAGTATTTGTAAAGATTTAAAAATTAATTATAAGAATTTGCATAGTGAAATTGAAGTGAATGGAATTTACATTGAAAGAGCACTTGAATATTTATCTCTTAATCCTGATGCAATTATTGAAAATCTACTCACCCACGAAACTTTTGATAGTTTGTATGAAAAGATGCAAATGCTCTCGAATACAGACAAAGAAGACTTGGAGTTGAAAAATAAGATACTGATAACACTTTCACGATTGAATGAGTTGGTAAAATTATTACAAATTAACTCAATGAACTCCAAACCAAATGAACAAAATGCTAATAATGAATCTGGTACATTATCAGTGCCTTCAGTGTCTGATTTAATTCCAAGAAAATCAGCAACTCCACCTCTTCACAAAATGATCTACTTGTCTAAGTTACTTTCATTGAAACATTTTAAAGATGAATACTTTTACAATACAGCAGTGCTTATATCTTCAATCTTATCAAATAAGAAGAAGATAGCAAATTATGTGGAAGATTTAGACAGAGAAGATGCTCTAACTAATATAATGATTCATTTAGCAAGAGAACAGCTTATATCATTTTACTATTCTGATCAAGGAAATACAGTCTATATGGAAACAGAAGGACTTAGAAGAATTTTATCATTGGTTTATATTTTGGGAGAATTATTGAACTTTAAACCTAGAAGAATGTTAGATATTGTAAATAATCCAAATTTCATTAATGTGATTGTAATGAATTTAAGTCTTTCATCAAATAAGACTGAGAAGTTGGAGTTAATATGGCAATCTGTATTTTTATTGCATACCCTTTTAGATTCTCCTCTTTACAATTCTCTCAAGTTGAGACAAACTATTCAAAAAACAGGAGTGTTTGAATATTTGCTTGTTATTATTTTAAATATGGAAGAACATAGCACCAAATGTTTAACTGCTATTGTTAACTTTTTAAAAGCTTTCCATGTAATCCCACTATCCACAACTGATCAAAGACAGTCATTTGAGAGTTATTCTTTCTTGAGATACTTTTTACCAAGTCAACTACTGAAATTATTAGCAAGTGATAAGGAAAGAGATGTAGATTTATTCATTTCTGCTCTTACTAAACGTGAATATAGTTCACCATTCCTGATTTGGAATGGAACACATAGGAGTATTTTGAAAAATTCTCTCTCTAAACGTTTAAAGGTATTTGATGAAAAGAGAAAAACACTTTCTAAACAAGTTGCTGAATGGCAACAAACTGAGCCAACTAAAATTGCAAAGGTAATATTCTCTTCGTCAATAACTACCAATTACTTGTACACTTTTGAGGAGCCAGAAATTATTTCTTATCAAGATCTAGATGAAAAACTTTCTATCAATGACATATTTGTAGAAGCTTTTGTTAATTTACAACCAGGTGGAACAGAAACAGATGAGGATGCATCTATTAATGAACTTGAATATCCTGATGTTTTCTTACTCAAATTGGTCGAAGCATTACAAAAGGAGCAAAAATATAGAAACATAGAATTAATAATTGAGGCCCAAACTAAATTATATTTGAACTTTTCATTAGGAAAATATACAACACCAAGCCAAGGTCATTCACCTCACTTTTTGAAATATCAAGGATATCCAATACTAATTAGAAAGTATCAAGGACTTCTTGAAGATTTGTCTGATGATTCACAAAGAATCAGGTTGTTAAATTTATTTGTTAGATTGATTGCTAGCCAGTTAGAACCTGAACCAGAAATTTCTTATAGAAACAAACTTTTATTTTTGACTTCTGGTGGTTTAATTTTCATTTCCGAATACATTATCAAGAATTCTGTTTGTAGAAATGATGAACAACTCATGATTAATACTTTGAGAGTTTTAGATTCTATAGCAGATATTTTAATGCCACTCATATCTGAAGATGAAGAGGAAAAGTTAATTCCTATTAACTTCTTTGATATATTTGTACCTCTCCTCGACACGAAGTACATTGAAAGTCGTACTGAAGTTTCACTAAGAACCATCCATTGCATAAGAAAATACGTAAGGCATTTACAAAATGATAATAATCCAATGGAAAAGGTAACACTAGATCCAAAGATTGAACATTCTGTCAAACTCATACATAACAGATGGCCACTTATACTTCAATTAATTAATGTTGGTTTCATTTTCAAATATAACGGTAATAGTAATACAACAGAAAATGATGACCATACCTTTATCAAAACAATATGTATTACAGCTTTAGAGATTATTCACAATTTGCTTTCTCTTAAGATAAGGTCATCATTTGAAACTTTATTGGAAAAGTTGTTATTGAAGAATATGATTGAAACTTTAATGCAAATTGGAAAGAGAGGAGAATTGCCAATATTTGACAAGATTAAAACATTTGATGATTTTTATAACTTGACAAGATCAGAAACTAATCATATCCTATTGGTTTGGAATGAAAATTTACGCAGTGAATTGCTTGAATTTATTGATTTAAACATTCATAAGAACAATAAGGAATTAACAGGTCATATTGAAAAATTCTCCTATACTTGTCTCAAATCTGAAGGCATGTTTAAATTGCTAGATACAAATTTAGATATTTATCCTACTTGCTTGATTAGTACATGGAAGGAAAGTAACTTGTTGAGTCTTTCTGAATTCTTGCAGAGTATTGTTGATCCTGCAATTTTAAATTCCACCAATTTGATTCAAAGTTTAATTACAAGTTTGCACTCCTTACTTGTTGTTGAATACCAACAAAAGATGATTACCAAGGAAACTCTCAGACCACTCGCTCAACAAATTACACTTCTCAAGTTGATTGTTTGTCAAGACAGTTCAAAAAATCTTTCCTCAGAAACATCTGAACAAACTTTGATTTTCCTTAACACATCCTATCAACAAGTTATTCTTCATATTTATCATTTACTAATTGGATATTTAGCTAATTTGACAAAAGATGAGGAGTTTATGGTAGAATCTGTTAATGATATTCTTGAAATTATTATTCGTATTTCAAAATTCTTCTCAAAATATTCTAACAAGATTGGAGAGGACAAGACCAAAGAATTTTATCAATTTATGGTTGCAACTATGCACAAGTTTATAATTTACTATTATAAGGGATGTAATAATGATAATTCCTTGAAGGAGGAAGCATTATTGTTAAATATTTTTGATCATTTAATTACCTTCTTTAAAACACTAACTGTTGGTACTACTCCAAATATTCAAACATATTGTGTCGGAAATGGATTATTACTCTCAGTATTACATGCATCTATCAAGGGAGGTATCCATCAAGTTCAAGCAGTTAGATTGAAATCAAGTTTATTGTTATCCACTCTGGTTAAACTTTCCATTCCTTCAGTTAATGAAGTTTTGGATCAAATGCTCTTCCCTTCATTTGCTTCATTGCTTGGTCAAGGACAATTAGAAGAATTTATCAAGCAATTTGATGAAGATGTTGTTAATCCTGAAGTTTGGTGGGATGGAAGAGACAGAGATTTGGTCAGAGAATATCTATCCGAACATATTAATCTTGCATCTGATTATTTCTTTATGGGAACACATTTAGAAGATTTTGCTTCCAATACTCAAAGCAAATTCAACGCAAACACAGAAAAGGGTTACAAACTTGGTAGTATTTATTTAACCAAGTTGAATGAAATGCCAACTTATCAATTTACTTTAATAACCAATCATCAATTTATTGAAATGGTTGTTGAAAAACTTTCATCCCTTTGTGCTAAATATGAGGAAAGTAATATTAATAATACTGAAGAAAGAAAAACAATTTGGAAAACTGCCTATGCATTCATTCAAAATCATTCACTTTACAAGGATGTTAATTCAACAGAATTATCTTTAGAAGTTGAACAATCACTTCTTCTCCTACTTGAATTATTCTGCAGAGAATTAGTATACATTACTCAATCAGAGGAAAAGCATGACATGTTCGTGATTAATTTACTTTGTTTCTTGACTACTTTTGTTAAAAAGTATCCAAGTTCTTTCATTCAATTTTTGAATAATTTCTCTGATTTTACAACAATACTACTTCGTGTTGCTAATAACTATAGAAGTATTTTGAGATCTGTTATTCAAGTTATTTTGGATACTGTTGGAATTTTAACAAAAGAAAAAACAGGAATGTCCCAAGCACTCTATGAAAGTATTTTGGAACAAGTTGGTTCAGAGTTGAATATTGCCTATTTATTCTTATTTATTATGAATAAGGTTCAAGCTTCTCAATGTGTGGAAGTACTTATTTCAATTTCAAAGATTGATGATAATTTAGTTCCATATTTGAAAGAGAGTTGGTTCATTCCTGAAACATTCTTCACCTCATCAGAACATCTTTTAGAAAGTTTGGCAAATGTAAATGATGAATTTTGGAATGATGAAAAACGAACCACTCTAACACAGAAATCTGAAGAAATTATTAAAAAGTTTGAAGCAAATTAAATAAATATTCAATTTTATTTCATCTACTCTTGTTATCAACTTAGTTTCTTAATAAATATATAAGCTTTCCAATAAATATTAATGTAATTGGGGAAAGAGCTAAATAGGAGAAATGTCCACAACTTATCAATGCTAAACTCATTCCAAATGCCAGTTGAATAAACAACTCAGTCCTGTCTTTTGATTTACTATTTGATATTAAATTTGAAATAGATAGAACTGATAAACTGATAGAAAGTGGAATAAAAGAAAGTAAATGCCCACTAAGCTTGAAAAGAGAAAGACTAAGAAAGGCACCAAACATTGGATCCGAAACTTTCTCAGTAATCGTGTAGAGACCAAATACTGTATTAGATCCAGAAATGCCCAAGAATGCTAAAAAAGGATAAAATGAATAATAAATTACTGAGCTAGCAATTGATTCCCACTTTGTAAGTTCCAGCCCAATTATTTCATAAACGAAACTCCTCACAAATAGTAGAATAATTCTCCAAATGAATGCATATATCAAATAAATACAACTACTAAAAATGGATATGTCAATTCTTCTTTTAGGTTCAATAATTATAAATCTCATTATCTTGATAGATTTGAAAATCATTAACAATACCATAATTACAATAAATCCTATAATTAATCCTTCCACTGGCCAAAATCCATAAGGCAACCACCACAAACCCATATCTAATGACCTTTGATCTTGTGGTGTGGAAGAAACCTTTCCAACAATTAATTGAGCACTCAATGAAAAGATTATGGCAATTGCAAATACCAATTTTTCACGATGGTAAGTGTAGAATCTATATTCCCAACTATGTATTTTCAAAATACTGTCAATTGGATCCCATTGGGAATATTCTAAACATTCGACAAGTTTCTGTTTGGAATTTACATTTTCTCTCACCTCTTCAAAACCATCTGAAGTTCCTTCGTTGTTGTCTGCTATTTTTCTCCTATTAAATAGTGTCAAAAATAGTAACTGGCTCAGTAATGACATACTATTCGAAAGTGGATTTTTCCAAAACTTTCCAATCAAGTATCCTTTCCTAATTAATTCATCATCTGAATTAAATTTAATGAGTGAAGAGAAGAAATTTGGTGGTGTGGAATTCAACACCATCTCCATTCTCTTATTAATGTGAGATAGTTTAATAATTGAAAGAGGTGAATTAGTAGTGTAGGATATGATATGGAGTAGTAATTCATCGGGAAGTTGATCAACAAATAATTGTTGTTGATCGCCATTACATGAATGGACTGCTGTTAATGGTTGTAACATTTTTTTAAAGTGAACTTTGAGGCAATCAATCTGATATAGATTTTGTAAATTGCATTTTGTAACAATTAACATTTTTGTTGTACGTGTTGATATTGTTTACAATAAAATCCAACATAAAAAAAAAGGAATTAAATGGGCCTATTCCAACAGAAGGAAGTTAAAATTCTCTTCCTTGGTTAGGACGGTGCTGGTAAAACAACTGCCCTTTACAAGCTTAAATTAGACGAATCAATGGAAACAATTCCAACAACCATCGGATTCAATGCCGAACTGATTCAATATAATAGAGATAAATTCACAATATTTGATGTTGGTTATATGGGCTAACAAACAAGATTTACCAAATGCAGTTGTTGATGTGGATGAATTGACCAAAATTCTACAATTAAATTCCATTAAACAAACTTCATATATTCAACCATGCAGTGCTGTGCGTGGAACTGGTTTATATGAAGGACTCGAATGGATATCCAACAATTTGTAATAAACTTTTGTAATAAAAACAAGCAACTTTGTGGCATAAAATTACAACCGCCCCACGTGGGGCTCGAACCCACGACCGTTGGATTAAAAGTCCAACGCTCTACCGACTGAGCTAGCAGGGCTGCTCATTAATTACCACAACAAGTCAAATTTCCCATGCCAGATACTGTCACCTGCACTATAAGATAAACATGGCTAGAAACCACAACCACTCCAATCTTTGAGGTAGTAACAATACCAGATAATAAAACAATTCCTGTTCCTTACAAAAACTACTAATCTTTAGAAAATGTAAAAACAAGTCATGTTACAATTTCAATATGAATTCTTCTATTAAAGAGTATTAACTTCTAATAAAGTGTTAACACTCTTCTTTGACTAATTTCCTCATACTCAAAATCACTTCTAAAATGTTCGAGTCAATGTCAACCTGTCAAATAATTAAAATGAGCAACAAAGAACCAATCGGAACAATCTCAAACATCCAATTTTAAACCAAAATCAAAAAAACATCTCAACATTGACCTTCTTCTCCTTCATCTAAAATACAAAATGTCAAGTGGAATTAAAAAACTAGCAAATTTTAGTCGTGTCAATGACATTGCAACAGATGTCAATGAATTTTTAACATTTTCATCAGGAAAATCATCATCCGATTCACAAAATCATAATTCAGTTAATAATGATTGTAGAATATTGTTAAGAATTACATCATTTCAATTTTTACCAATTGAATTGGCATCTGACAGCGCAACAATTTCAAATCCTTTTTGTGGAAATTGGAGAGTTAGAATTGAGTTAATTCACAATGAAAATAATGATGTGTTTGATAGTTTTTATTTTGATTTAAATGGATCTCTAGTTCAATCTCATTCTTCTATTGAAAATGTTTTTACAAATAATAATTCTGTCAAACCATGTAAAATTGCCCTGTCAAGTGTCAATGGATCAAATTATGAAGTTTGCTCTAATTTATTTGATATGATTTTTGAAGAAAAAATTACTTTATCATCAACTACACAACTTTCTCCCAGAAAAGAATTATATTATGCACTTTCGTATACTTTCCCATTTCCACACTTTCTAATAGATAATTTATTCTTTAAAATTTCAATTTACACCGTCGAAAAACCATCCACTAAAAAACAACAGCAACAGCAACAAGAATTAGGAAATTCACTTAACAATGTTGAAAATCTAGTTGCCTATTGTAAAACTGATGTCATTTCAACAATGTATCAACCTTTAAATACTACTTTTTTAAATAAGAAAATTAGAGTGAGAGCTGTTAAAAAGAAGAATAATATAACCTCTACAAATGCTTTATCATCTTTTAATACTACTATAAATGGAAATAATAATACTACCCTATCAAGTATGAATGGAATATCAAATGTTGCAGTGAATGGAATTGTTGCTAATGAAAAGGAACAAAAACCCAGATGTAATATTCAAGTTAAAGTTGAAAAATTTGTTTAATTTATATTGAGAAATATTTAAATGTACATATTGTAAAATAAAAAACTGTGATGTGATCCAGTTGTGGAGTATTAAGAGAGATTTTAAAATAGAAACAAAATAATCTATACAATAAGTACTCTATTTCAAATCTGAATTTGAATATAAATACACTTAAGGATTAAATCTGCCTTTACAGCAAATAAAAATCTAATAAACCGTTTACAAAACCAATTAAGGGCGGATATTATCACCTTAGAACTTGAACATTACGCTCGCAATTGATTGGTTTTTATGATGTAAGTGTAAGCAATTTGGTTAAATACATTGTTCATTTAACACAGTTTTCACAATATACCAGTCATGTATTAATATGCTAAATGTGTTGAATATTGTCTGGTCGTTTGAATGAATTAATTGATGAGCGGTATTTTGCTCATTAAATTACTGCTCCAAATATTATTAAAAAAAATATGAACAAATTCATCGCTTGTATTTTATTGCTTATTGCTGCCTTAGTCAGCGTTGAGGCTATGACCTTGAAGACTCAAGCTTCTTGTTATCAAGAGTAGGTATCATTATGATCATCACAATAACAATAATATTTATAAACTAGTTATGATTATCCATTGTACAAACAGTGCGGACAACCTTGGAGCAACCAACTTACTGGCACTGATACTATCTGCAAGTCTGGCTGTTTGATGACCTCCATGTGTATGGCTTTGAACGGTCGTGGAAGATCATACATGAACCCAGGTGAATTTGCTAACTGGTTGAAGTCAAACGGTGGTTTCAGTGGTAATCTCTTTGTTTGGGGAAGTGTTTCTAGATTAGGTCTTTCTTATGCTGGTAAGGTTTCTGGAACTGCTGCCATTGCTGAAAAGCTCTGTTCTGGAAGTATTGTCATCCTTAACGTTCGTTATGGTGGTCACTGGGTTTTGGCAACTGGTTTCGATGGATATTCATTCGCTGTCAATGATCCAGGTTATTCCAAGATTTCATACCTTGCTTCTGAAGTTACTCAAGCTGCTATTTACAATTAAATTCACTTGATTAATTATTTATTCATAATCAATTGTGAGTTGTCCCTTTTCAACCAATTCAATTTCTTTTTCGGTCAGTTCAGAAATTCTTTCACCTCTATTTCTTTCGAATCGATAAGGAACAATTCCAAGAGTACCATCAAATCTATTCTTCTTAACTTGTAAATATTTGTAATGCTTATTTCTTTGAATCATGATAATATTGTCGGCTTCTTGTGTTGCCTTTGCAGAACCAAACACACTGGAAATTTGTAATTGTTCCTTTTCGTCAATCTTCTTTGGATGGACAACAAGCGTCACGTGTACAGATCTTGTAGTTGCAAACTTTCTCAACTTTTCAATTGCCTTATCTTGTAATTCAAATCTATTAGTATATGATGCATCAGAGGTTGACATCATAAATTGTAAATTATCAATCACAATATGAGCAACATCATATACATAGACTGCATAGTCCATAGCATCCAATAATTCGTCAATATCTGTTGAACCATAAAAGTTCAAAAAGTACATTGGTAATTCTGAGAATTGTTCACTAATAATTTCAAAATCCCTCTTCAATTCTTCTGGAGAATATTGTCTAGCTGGTTGATAGGTTGATTTTGGCTTGGATTTAGATTCCTTAGCTGGCTTCTTTGGAGCTGGTGGAGCCTCTTCACCTGCATACGACATTAAACTCATTGGATCAGCATCATAACTGTCAAACATGCTTGCATCTGATTCATCTTCTTCCTTTGTTTGCTCTTCTTGTTGCTCTTCAATTTCTTTGATTTGAAGACTTTCTTGTTTTCTTTGCTCCTTTTCAAATGAATGGTTGGTAGCTAAATCTTTACCAGCCAATTGACACATCATCTTTTTGATAAGTCTGTGATTTCTAATTTCAAATGAACCCCACAGTGTTGGTACATTACCATATTTACAATAGTCCAATGAAAGTTGTGAAAGAACTGTTGTCTTACCAATACCAGTGGCACCTGTAATGATTGTTAATTCTCCTCTTCTGTGCCCCTTTAAGATCTTGTTCAGACCTGGGAAAAAGTGAGATTGAACTCCATTCACAACTTCTGATTTGTCAAAAAGTTCTCTATATACTTGTTGTTTAAATGTGTTGAATGTTAAAATTCTTTCATGTTGAATTGGTGCAGCCTCTTCTATCAATCTGTGGAAGTCAAGACCTGCAAGCAATGCTTCATTTGCATCCTTAATTTTCTTTTCATTGGTTTGTTCTATTGGGTCACCATACTCATCAACTACTTCCTTATAATTCGAGTGGACAATATAACATCTGCCAACACCAAGTTTTTTGGAGAAGAGTTCAGCTCCTTGTTGACCTGGAACATCGTCATCCATCCACAAGTAAATCTTATCAAAATCTTCTAGCCATTGGACGACATCAACTGGAAGTGATCGACATCCATTTGGTAATGAAACAGCTGGAATACCAGTCTTTTGATAGACAGCCATAGCATCAAACTCTCCTTCTGTAATGATAATTGTCTTCAAATCCTTTGGATTCTTCTTTCCCAAATCTCCATCATTTGCTAATGTCTTTCCTTTCACATTACTTTGTGGGTTAGTAGTAGTAGTGGTAGTAGATGGCTTTTCATTCTTAAATTTAGAAGCAATCAAGTGCCATCCAAATAAACCCCAATTATTTGTTTGAGGAGGATCCAATTTCATACATGTCTTATCTTGGATAGCTCTTATTTTATGTCTGGATAAAAGAATGCCACTTTCATGAGATTTGGTTGGTTTGAACATTGGGAATGTGAAACAAAGCTCATTAACTCTTACAAGGTTTTCTGTCTCTTGTTCTGGATTTTCGATTACCTTTGAAAATGGGAATACTCCACATCCAACACCATACATTGCTGCTACATCCTTCTTGATTCCTCTTACCTTTTCAAGATATTGAACTGCTTCTGGGAAATCTACTCCATCAAAGTTGCTTCTGTATGTTTCAAACTCCTTCTTTGTTGGTTTATCCCTCTTCTTTGGTAAATTAGTTGCTGATGTTTCATTGTTTTGCCCTCCTGCTTTTGGTTGATTGTTGGATACTGAATCTGAGTGAAGTGTTGAAATTGGTGAATCCTTATGGAAATTCATTTTAAAATCAAACCAAGAACCCTTAGCTCCACATCTGTGACACATATAAGCTCCACTAGCTCTGTGAATATATAATTTCCATAAATTAGTGACCTTTCCTTTAGTATCATGGCAGAAAGGACATTCTTTTACAATAATTTCATTCATTACATTTCTAAAGCCCAATCCTTTTCTTGTTAAAAACTCTTGAATATCACTTTCGTTGATCTTGTAAAAATTAGAAACAAATGTATTAAAAGCATTGGAGTGATTTTGAAGTGGGTTATTTCTATCTTCTGGAGTTTCCTCAAGTGTGTCGTCATATTCCTCTTCAAACTCTTCCTCTTGTTGTTGTTTTATATTTCTATTCGGTGCTATTGTTGATGATGCATTGGTCATTACTTGTTGAATTTTAGCATTAGAAGTTGTGGTAGGCTTTGATTGTGTTGATGTGCTTGTTGCTGTGGTATTATTATTGGTGGCTGCTGGGGTAATCTTTTTAATTACTTTTGTGTAACTAAATTGTTGGCAACAATTGCAATTATGATGATAACATCTGTGTTGTTGAGAGTTGTTGATATTGTGCAAGTGTTGATGATGGCCTTGTTCGGAAGGTAAATATTTGCTTCTCGATGAGACAATAGAGTTTTTGAAAGCCTTTGAAACCAACTTTCTCATTTTTTTGATTTATTTTGATATTAACAAAATCATTCTTCTAATAGAAATCATTATCTTTTTCAAAGATATGAATGATTGAAATTTTGATTGAGGAAATATTTATGAAATTTGAATCAGTTTTATTATAAAGTTCTATGTGTACAAGCCTCGAAAAACCTCCCTGGCTTTCAAAAGATTTAACCCAAAGTAAGAATACTACCATCGAGGGAGTGCTTTGGAACTTCCATGTTCAATGGAGCTGGTCCCTTAACAATTCTACCAGAAGCATCGTAGTGAGAACCGTGGCAAGGACAGAAGAAAGCATTCATAACACCAGCATCAGTGACTGGAACACAACCCAGATGGGTACAAATGGCCAAAATAACAGTCCATTCATCATTCTTAGTTCTATCAGAGTCTGCTTGTGGATCCTTCAAAGTAGAAAGATCAGTTTCAGCAAGTGATTTGGTTTCATCTTCAGTTCTGTGCTTGATGAATACTGGTTTACCTCTCCATGTAACAGTGATGGTCTTACCCTTTGGAACGTTGGAAATATCAACTTCAATCTTAGAGACGGCCAAAACATCAGCAGCAGCGGACCAAGAATAAAGGAATCTCAAAACAGCTAATCTGAGACCAGCAGCAACAACAAAACGACTGCTGTTGGCAACAAAGTAAGCAAATTGACGCTTATCATAATCACCTTCCTTAAGATATTCGTTAATGTTATCACCGTGATAACCAGTCTTTGGAGCGGTTTCAACGAGTCTTTGAACAGCTTCTGGGAGTTCGTTTCTCTTCAATGTTTTTTCACTTCCAATTTGAGTAGAGTAGAATCTAACTGGTTGGGCTATATATCATCAAATATATTAAATAATATCCACATAACAATAAATTATTTACAACAACAACAAAAATTGTTTTTTGATATTAATTCCAAAATGTTCTATCATCCAAAAATTTCGCTATAAAAACTTACCAGTCAACAAAGTCTTATGACGGAATGACTTGTTTACTGAGAATGTATTAGTGAAGATTTGTTGTGGTTTGATCTCTGGAATAGCAGTAGTCTTTGATGATGATTGGAAAATGAAGGTTGGTTCTTGATGTTCAGCAGTAACACCTGGGAAAGCTTGAATATCAAAAGCGGAGAGAGTCTTGTTGATTAAAGAAGCGCTACAAGCTTTGTGTGCAGAGAAGGAAGAACCGAGGTTCTTGATTGGGAGAGTAAGAACGGTCTTGAGTCTGTAGCTTTGGTTGAGCATTTTTTTTAAAGGTCTTCTTGTATTTTACAACACCAGCAAAAATTTGCTCGGGCAGCAAATCTCCTTTTGGATGTAGTGCGCAAATTGGTAATTTTCAAAGCAGAAGAAACAACAAAAGATTAACTCTGCTATCAATTCACCTTATCATCATTATCACCATCATGAATGGTTTTTAAAGTGTTGATCCTCCAATTTATTTTTCTTGCTTCACGGAGTTTTGTTAAACTTGGCGTTGTATTTTAAAAAATTAATTTTAATATTTCATCACAAAGCCTTCTTCTTGTTAGAATATAAAACTATTAGCAAATTAATTATTTACTTGACCATGTACTTAACATATTATCAATAATGCAAACTTGAAGTTAGAACATTAGAAAATTAATTTTAATTATTTCATCATATCTTCAATATCCAAACATCAATTTTGAATGGATATGGAAATGTACTCCATGCGATTGAATCCACAACACAATTGAACATGTATTAACCATTTCTCCTAAATGGCAATTGTACAATTTAAAAAACACTTGAAAGCATAATATGGAAAACCTCCAACAACAACAAATTGAAAAGAAGTGTTCTTCTTGTTTACTTCTTCAACAGTTGTTTAGTGTTGGTTGTTTCTTGTTGCTGTTCTTGATTGGAGAAGTTGTTTGTTCTCTTGATGCTGGTTGTAAACATAATGTTGGATTTGAGTGGAAGAGATGTGAAATTTCAAATCATCATGCTTACTTGAATTCACACGAGATGGAGTGTTCATTTGTTAGAGTTCCAATTGATTGGAGAAGATTTGATGTAATGAATGAAACAAATCATGTGAAGAGTGAATCACCAACTACTCTGGATTGGATATGTGTTCATGTAAAGAGGTTGAAATCTCTCAGTTCAGAAAAGAAGGGCCAATTGTGGATTCATAATACTCCTCTATTTGAATTTCACAAAACTGTATCTGTGGAGGTTGAGGAATTATTCTTGAAGGAATCAATTAGATATAAAGATTATGATATTTACTTTCCAGATATTAGAGGATTAGGTAAATCAACTCCAAAATTTGTTTGTGAATTTGAGGAACAATCAGGACATGTCTTCATTTCAGAGAAGGATATTGATGCATGTCTAGCCACAAATACTAAGAATGAAAAGATAATTAGTGAAAAATATGGAGAATATTTTCACACATATCAAATTGTTAGAGACATTTTTCACATGATTGAAATGACTAGAGTAGAGAATGGTGGAGAAAGTTATCGAATAATTCATTATGGATATGGTTTTAATACATTTCTCATTGGTAGAATGATACAGTTAGAGAAGGAATTGAAATTATCCTTCTTGAACAAGTCATCCAAGAGCTATTTGGATATGGTTATAGTTGATTCAGTTTTTTCAATGAATGTTTCAACAATTGACATGTTCAATTTTGATAAGAGATTTAATGAAATTGCTCTTTCATTCCTAGAGGAATGTGATAAGGATAAATATTGCACTGAAAAATTGGATTTACTACACAAAATTAAGGGAAAAGTATCATTGAGAACATTGTTGAATGGAATCTATTTGATTCATTTGAAAAGATGTTATATTGCGAATTCTTATTTTTTCAGGGATATTTTAACTTACTTTTACTATGAGGATGATTTGAGACATTTATTGATACCGCTAATATTCAGGATTTCAAGATGTAATGAATTGGATAAGAATGTTATTCAGGACTTTTTTTATCACATTAACCATACTATGATCACTACTGAGAATTCACATACGAAATTGCAGACCTATTCAGCTTTTGAGAGAGTAATTGGATCTTTCGAGTTAATGGATCATTCATTCAAATTTTATAAGGAAGAGGAAACCGGAGCTCTTGATTTGGCTGAATATCCGTTCTATTCTGGACTCTCACTTAATATGATGAAGACTTATAGTTTGTTTTTTCATTCACCCCATTCAACAAATCATACTAATAATACTCATAGTCATTTCACAGATTTTTCAAAACCAATGTTAATGTTACATGGCTCATTGGATCCCATTAGTTCAATCAATAATCTTATCGATTGGAAGGATTTCTACTTGAATGAATCAAAGGCTAATTTTGAAAACCATCACGCTGTTACTTTTCCATATGTTAATCATATTACTACTTTGAAATCTTATTGTAGCTTGGAGGTCATGCATACATTTATTCAATCACTTGGAAGGGAGTATTTCAATGAATGTCTATTGGAATCTACTGCATCAGATCAAATTAGAAGTCAACTGTTCAACGAGTCAAACTGGAGTGAGCAATTGAAAAATACTACTCTCATATACTTTGGTACGAAGGATGCTCTCGATGGTGGACTTTCAATATCTGCTTCAAATTATTATTTCCTGGTGGTTGGTATGAGTGTTTCAGGAGTTTTGCTCATTGAATTATTTGTTCTACTCATCATTTTGTTAGTCATGTCTATCAAGGAACTCAAGTAGTTTTCTATTGGTCATGGGGAATGTTATTCCTTCCCTTCATTTCAAACAATCGAACTGTGGTTCTATCTTCAATCATGAATAATTGAGGCAGATCAGTGGTGGAAATTTCCTTACTCACAACCATATCACGTTTTTCCATTTCACTCACAAAATATTCAAATGTTTTCTCATTTCTCTTTGTGATGGCAAATAGAATTATCAAATTTCTATTTCTATTAAATAATTGCTGCGTTACATCACACAATCCTGGAATAACACTACTGTCATAGGCAACGTCAGCAGCAATTAAAATATCAGTATCTTTTAAAAGCTCAATATCTTGCTCTGTGAAATTCATCCAATCCAATTTCATGACATGTAGATTGGAATTTTCATTCTTGCTTGACTTGTCTTCCTTCAAATAAATATATTCAGAGTTGTAAACTTTGTGTGGAATATTATTCAATTCACAACAGTAAGAACAATTTTCCAAAACACAATCCAAATAATCAGTCATGGTAATTCTTCCAGTTTCCTTCAAAATATTCATTAAGAACAATCCTACTAGTCCAATACCACTTCCCAACTCGACAATATTCTTTCTTTCAAATGATTCTAGATTAAAAATTAGCATTTCCAATTACGATTCATCAACATACCCAAATTAGCAATGATATATTCAATTTCAACGAGTCCATCAACCCACAATGCCAATCCAACATTTAAAAATTGAGGAAAAACTCTCACAACAATTGGGTTCTCACACAGAAAATCATAAATTCTAAAGGAGCTCTCTTTCATATCATATCCATAGAAATATCCACCTTCAGAACAATCCATATTAACCATCTCCTTTCTATTACCACTTCCAATCAACATTTCGGAATAATCTTCAATTAAATCATCATAAACACCTTCTCCATTATTTTCACAATTTTCAATCATTTCAATATAATTCCTCATCAAATTGATTTTAAAATTCAATGAGGGAATATTAAATTTCCTAGCCAATGAATTTTGCAACACATCACAATAACACAATTTCTGAATTTTCATACAAGTAACATCAAACATGTTCAATTCCTTATTTTCCGATAATTCTTTTTGAAAATAGGAGAGAAATTGTTTAGAATTCGGAAGACCATTAGAGAGAAGCATGGAAAGTGTTTTCGGAAAGGAACAAGATTGTTGATTATTAACAGTTGTAGATGATGGAGTGTTCATTTTTTTTGTTGAATTTGTTTTTTTCACACTTGTCAATTAGCTCATGTGAAATCTTTGAATTTACATGAGTAGGCACTTTTTTTGACTCTTTAGAAAGTGTTTGTCCTGTCTGGATGTTTCAGTTTTAATTAAAAATTGTGGAAAATCAGCTAAACCTTCATTTTCCTTTGCACTAACTTCCAAATATGTATAACATCCAAGTTTCTTTGCTAATTTTTCACCCAATTCAAATGAAATTGGTTTTGTTTTGGTATTGAGAAGTGTTGATCTTCTTAGGGAGGGATTAGTTTCAGCATCGGATTTAGTTTTCATCAAGACAATATTGGGATTCTTAATGTTCTTTCTATTTTAGGTAATTTAAAATAATTCATTAGAATAGAAAAACAAACCTCACTTCAGGAATCCACTGGGTTGCAATACTTTTAAAAGATTTCACAGAAATACAACTGAAAAACACAATAACCAAATCAGTTTCTGGATAAACCTTAATAAAAATTTACCAAATTAAGAATTTCCAACTTTCCCAACTTACCAAATGTCTAATTTTTTCGTAATCACCAACATTTGACGTATCCCTTTAAAATTTCACAATATTTCCATTTAATTTCCATTCAATTTCCAATTTAATTCAACAACTTACCAATATCCAATTGAGTACTGATTTCTAGGAATTGAATATGAATAATTATCAAATACTTGTGGAATATATTCACTCGGAAATATTCCACTTGAAATTGTAATGAAAAAACTTGTTTTACCCACTTGATCATCTCCAACTCCAATAATTTTGAATATTTTGGATGGATTTGAGAGAATTGGTTGATATTTCTCAATTTCTCCCTTTTCAATGTAGAAATTCTCTTTCGAATGGTCTGATTTCAATTCATCCACATACGAAATCAAGTCATTTTCTTCTTGTTGAGCTTGTTTCATAAAAGTTTCAAGAAATTTCAATAAATTTTCTCGATAATTTTCACAAACACTTTCCAAATATTCGAATTTCTCTTCAAATACATCATACGAATCCGATTCTTTGCTCGAATCGATATAATTCTGTATAGTTTGATAATAAATTGGTTTCCAATAAAAATCTTCATGGCAGAGTTGACAAATTCTTGCTGATTTGGATACCAAATTTAGTCTAAGCAAATCATTACTTGTTAGAAATGACAGAATTATTCTCAACATGTCATCATTTAGAAAATTGTTAATATTTAATTGACGTTTTGATCTTGACATTTTTTTTTAATTATTTACACAGATTACAATGAACCAATTTTGAGAGAAATTTAGGTATTTAAACTAAATAAGCTTTCTTATAAAATTTGTTCCAAATTAAATTTCGTATATTTGTATCTCAAATAATATTCAACAAATTCTTCCTCATTAGAACACAATTTTTGAATTTTCGAAATGTATTTCTCACGAGATTTGGCATTCATTTTGTCATCCGTTCCACTTTCTCTAAGATTCGCAAAGAGTTTCGAATATTTTTGAATGGTCAACCCAAGATTAATCAAATCAAGTCTCTGATTATGACCTTTCTTTAGTAGTTTCAAATCTTTCTTCAAAATAAATGATGTAAAAACATCCCTTTCTTTTGTATCTTTGGGTGTGAAGCTTTTGAATTGATCTGAAAGTTCTTTTGAAATTTCCTTCACCTTCTCCAAGTAATGTTTCTTTAAAAAGTGATAAATTAAATTGTTTCGAATAAAGTTTGGAAAATAATTTGCAAAAAATCTATGAGTGGCTGAATTGATGTAATGAAAAGAATTATTTAAACGAAACTTCAATATTCGAATATTAATTAGTAAGCAAAAGTAGGGAATAAATTGTTTTGGAGATAGTTCATAACTTTTCACAGTTGGAATGAGATACGATAAAATATGCTTCTCCAAATATTCAACTCCAGATATTCTGCCACCAGAATTTCTATCAATGAATTTGTAAAGAAAACATTGATTAGTTTCTTCCAATCTATTCGAAAGCTCATTTCTCAATCCACCAGCAGAACCATAAAAAAATTCTGCATTCTTCAAATCATCACTTTCCCTAGCAACATATAGAAAATAATCACTAGCAACAGATTTACCATATCCACTTCTTATTTTAGGAATATTCTTTCCTCTTACTATAATTGGTTCTTCAATTCCATCAATTAAAAGTTTCATTTTGTAAAATGGTACATCATTAAATGATAATATTATCTCTGTAAAGACAATTCTTGAGAGAATGATTTTCACTAGTTGAGAGGAAAATGCATTCGGAAAAGTTTGTTTAAATTCCAATTCTAATTCTTTCGATGGTTGAGAATTCTGGGAAAGGAACATGTTGTATTTTGAATAGTGATCACTAATTGTGTGTTTCCAATATAAAGTGTCATTGTGTAAATTACTCTTCTGGAGGGAGTTGTTTGTTAATTGGTGAAAGTAGGTTTCCCATAGTGGATTGGAATTGGCAATTCGATTCCACTCTTTGCAAACTAGAGATAGATAGGAAGTGTGCGAATAATCGAGAAATGAAAAGGTATAATACAGAATATCCTCATGAAGATGCATTTTTTTTCAAGTTGATTGATATTTATTATTAGCTCAGTTTATCTAGAGATTTACCTCAATTTCATGGCTCCTATTGAATATCAGGATATACTAAATTGTGTGAACATGAAGCGGTCTTGACCGAGTGGTTAAGGTGATTGACTAGAAATCAATTGGGGCGACCCGCACAGGTTCGAATCCTGTAGACCGCGATTTTTTTGAGTTACTTTTGAGAACGTTTAATTTAGAATAAGCAAGAAAAAACACCAAATTCTAAGTTGAGAGGAATCTGAGATATCAGGAGGGAAACGAATCTTGTTAAGGTTATATCTGCGAAATAGCCCAAGCCAAGTAGATTCAATTTTTCACTTACTACAGTAATCAAAGGGACCCCTATTGCTGCAAAATTGCAAATTGCACATCAAATTACTGTACGGTCGAATGATACATAGAAAAAAATTGTCTACATTAATAATTGCTGCGGAGCTGTAATAATTTATTTGCGCAATTTTAGCGGTGATATCATAGTTTAAAGGCTTTGAAAAAATGTCATCACAAGTGACTCTGATTTTAGATGTTGTTGACAAAAGGGATGCAACTTTTATAGCTGAATTTTATTCCAATAATTGTAGTTATCAACAATTTGTGAAAATTATTCGTGAAGAGAGTAAGAATCGTTTGAAATTAAACGAATCCTTTGTAGAATGTTACAAATCAGTCGAGTTGATCTTCCGAGGTCATTTTCTTCCTTTTGATAGTATCAAGCAAATTACACAAGTGTTTAAATATCCATTCTTGAAGAGTTATCAAAAGATGAATCAAAGAAAGGTCAAATCCTTTTTTAGTTGGAAAGACAAACCAGAATCTATTTGGGATAGAATGGAGAAACTAGATGAAATTGTTCGAATTCTTATTAATAATGAAACTGATTACAAATCTATGTATTATATTAATAATTTATTTAGAGATTATGAAAATCAACCGAGCTTGTTGTTTGTTATTGGATCTCATCCGAAAATGGATTGGGGGCATTTGGTTTCTGCTCTTGCAAAATCTCCCGAGTTGACCAAACACTTGTTTAACTTTAAATATTATTCATTAAATGCACTACCAGAGAAATTATTCCAAATAAGACATGTAGTTTCAGAATTAGTCAAGAAGGACATTTTAGCATTACAATTAGCTACTAATTTTAGAAATGATAGAGAGATTGTTCTTGATGCTTGTAAACACAATCCATTGGCTTTACAATTTGCTAGCTCAGACTTGAGAAATGATAAGGAATTTGTAATGAAAGTGTTGGGAAGAAGATTTAACACACTGCACTATGTGGGAGAGTCTTTATTATCCGATTCACAAGTATTGAGAAGAGGAATGATGTCTGAAAAAGAGTGGAGACATGAAAGATTTGATTCTATGAATACTTTTGAATTGATGGAAGAGATTTTGAAGAATAGACCACTAATGGTTCTCAAATTTTATCATTTATTGGAGGAGAGGGGTCTTGAATTTAGAATTGACTCAATTTGCAACAATTTCAAAATAATTATTGAAAAGTCTCCGTTCCAAATTCAAGAAAGCATTCTTTTGAGGAATCAAGTCAATCTTTTTAATTCAATTGAAAATCCAAATGTAGCTCTGAAATTTATTTCCATTGGATATTGTGAAAGATATCGTGCTTGTAAAGATCATTTGCTCCAGTTAACAAAATCGAAATATCCTCATTTGGAAAATCTTTCAATGGAAACAGAGGAAGAAAAGTACATTTTAAAAAACCATTCAAATGGTCTCATTACATGTAAAGAAGAATTGAGAAATGATAAGAACTTTGTACTGAGATATTTTCAATTACACACTAATAGAAAGAGGATGATTTCCATTATTGGTGTTGGGGAGGCTTTGTTAAATGACCAAGAAATATTGAAAGAATATCTTGTCACTAACGGTATTCCTGTAGATGATGAGAATAATCTATCATCAGAACTCTTGATGAAACAAATTATTTCAGTCTACCCATTGTCCATTGTAAGATTTTACAAATTTTTACAAAATGAAATAGAGTTCAATATCACCTCTTTTAATTTCCAAGAACTTTGCAGAACAGCACCACTTATTACCGATCTACAATTTGCTTCACTATTAATATGTAAGAATTATTCTTTTTATTATAAGCTATCAGATGAACTGAGGAAAGAGACATCTTTTGTTAAGATACTGCTTTTTAAAAATGGGGTGAATATTCATTTTAAAAAACTTCCTTCTACTTGTTACTCAGATAGAGAAATAATGACCCATATATTGACAACACCTTCATATCACTATAAGAATGAAAGTGAGTCAATTTGTTGTGCAGTTTGTAAAGCATTCCCATTTGATATTGACCTTATGAAACAAGCAGTCAAATGGCATGGACATACACCACTTCCTTACATGCATCACGACCTGTTACTAAATAATAGGGATTTCTGTTATTGGTTAATGGACAGTTGTGGCCATCCACAATCATACTTTAAGTATCTTCCAGAAAAAATCAGAACAGATAGGGATTTTATATTTGAATTGCTTGATGATTTGTATTGGAAAATTGGATATGTGAAAAATATTACAATGGACTTTGTGATGAAATGCATAAGGAAAAACAAAATTTGCTACAAGTATTTTGGACAGATATTTAGAGAAAATAGACAAGTAATTGATCTGGCAATGGAAATGGGTGTTCCAATCAAGGAAATTACAGTATGTCAAGCATTTAGTGAGCATTTGTGGGATAGTTCACCAGATAATTTTGTTGATAATTTGTGCCATCCAGGTTATCAAGTGTTTCTCAATAAGGATCTACTGAGGAGAGCTATTGAAAGAAATTCTAAAGGTTTTGACAATATTGAAAAATGGAAGAATTATCCTGGATGTGAGTGTTTATCCGAGCAAGATTGGACAGATTTGAAAAAGTTAGCAAGTGCCATGGAATAGTAAAATTGGATGGCAAAATTGGTTTATTATACTTAGTTAAGCAATTTAGTTACTTATTAGAGCTCAATACTGTTGTATCCTTTCATCTCCTCAAAGTTGAAAATCTTTTCTTTTGGAAGTGATTGTTTCTTTCTAATTAACAAGACAATAACCACGATAATGAGAACTATTACACATAATGTTAAAAAGGCAACACATAATCCAAGACCGATTACAGTGGTTTGTTCAGAATGTGATGGTTGGGGTTTGATTGGATCTGAAGATTTTGCAACAATTACCAGATTGTACTCTTCGTGCAAAATAGTTTCAGCACAATGCAATGTGTAGAGTGAATCAGTATTGGTTATTGCACTACTTCCATAAAATATTCTTTCAGATGTGACATAAACGCACTGAAGAGAATTTAAATCAGATATTTTGTTTCCGTATTCGTCACGTAATTTGTTTACGTCGAAAGTGAACATTCTGTCTGTGGAAATATCTGATTTAACAATTTGCATAATTGAGAAACTCTTCACCTTAACAAAACCATCCAACCACTTGTCATCATCATCTTGGTATTTCAACATGAACCTAACACCATTATTCAATTGAGGGAATGATTTGGAGGAGAAGGAGAATTCAAAATAGGTTGATGGAGACAGTTCATACTTTAAGGATCTTTCATAATGTATAGAATAGACTTTACCAATTTCTCCAATTGGGTTGTTGTAAGCAAATACGGCGAATTTGAGTTTTTGATTGATGGATATATTGATGGATAGTTTCCACGGATCTTTTGACTGTGTGTCATCACATTCTAACCAATTGAATTCTTGTTTCTCGTCATCAACAGAAAAAAATCGGTATGAAAATGGATCCAAGTTTCTGTTGATAGAGTTCTTTTCATAGACTAAATCTAGCTCAGTATCAATGCTTATACTACTGTATACATTGACTTTACTGGTATCCAAGACGTAAACACCAACCAAAGATAGTGGTTGAAGCTTAGTGTTTGGAAGTGAATAATCGGAATATTTCCTATTATCAACCATTAGCATATAATTTCCTGTTGATCTGCAGTTTGGATTGAAAGAAATAGTCAATGCATCCATAGGTAATACTTGGCTATAGAATGTATCAATATCAGTTGGTATAACAGCATTAATAGAGTTGAGATCCTTAATGTATACATTGCCAACAAATGGCTTGCCCAATAGAATGAAAGCAAATGTCTCATCTCTGATATCCTCCTGAAGGTCGATCAGTACAAGTTTTTCCTGTGCATCTGAGATTATAATTGGTTGAGATCCACTCTCTTCAAACTTTTCAAAGTTTGATTCTTTGAATAAATACCCTCCTTTAATATCTGTAAACCTTATCTTCATAAATTTAAATATGGAAGTTTCAAAATCAATGAGGAATTTTCTTCCCTCATCGAATCCATACGTCTCCAATCCATTTCCGTTTTGTTGTAAAAAGCTGTACAATACTGTATAATCATCCGTTCCCTTCATGTTTGTTGGATTAAAGTTGTTAATTGTAAAGTAAGGTCTGGATTCATAAAGAATTGGCGTGTAATATCTTTGTTTAAAGTAAACTGTAAGATTAATATGGCTTCCCAAAGCATAAGAAACTTCTCTCGGATAATTAGCAAAAACAACTTCCCCAATCTCTGCCTTTGATTGTGCATAACTGAACAATCCAAAAGTTCTCTTTTTATAAACTTTTGAATTGAGTATTGGATCCAAATTGAGGCTGAAACTTGTTTGGGAGAGTCTTGGAATATCATCAGAAATCATTTCAAATAAATTTCCTTCTGAATTTAGTATGAACAATCTCAGTGAGTATGGATCGACTCCCATCTGTTGGGATGATTCAATATGTACAATGATAGCATTTTGTGAATCATAAGTTTTCTTCACATTAGTATTGATTTGAACTTGTGTAAAGTCTATATCAAAAACATTTGTGAGTGTGAGACCTGATTGTGAACTTGGGCTATGATTAACGTCTTTAAATTCCCCAATACTATTATCTATAAATGTATAACTTCCAGTTAGTTGACTATCTGGTTTAAATGAAACTTGAATTTTAGGATTGGATGAAAATTCCCTGAGTGTTTGAGGGTCAATAGAGCAAGCTGATCTAAAAGAACAAACTTGAATGGAAGGGATTTTTCCAATAACAGCCATGACATATTTTGAATCCTTCATTATCTGGTTGCAAGTCAGTATGTATGTGGAAATTGTTCCTAGTGAATTTGAAGACGTAGGATCAATTGTTAGTTGTTTAAAATCAGAATCAGCAGTTGCGTAAGCGCATTTCAACGAGAAATGATCTACTTTCTTATTACCATATATTATTTCCAATCTGTGATGAATAGATCTAATTTCATCCAACTGGAAAATTCCCTTATTATCTTCTTCAATTGTGTATGCACCAAGAAGAACATACGAATCTGGAACAGTAACATTACTATCATAACTCGAAACAGTAACTGTAGGTGTTATGGTTTGGGATGGATCTTGTACGGATGCATTTGGATACAAGATGTGCATTTCAAATTGTTGGAGGTTGTAGAATAAATCTCTTGGGTATTTGAGAGAGACACTCTTTGAAAGTTTCTCCTCTGTTGAGGAATAGGCAAAGAATAGCATGAGCTTGGAAATGGAAGTAGCTCCCTTAAACTCATTCAAAGAAACATTAAATTCCCATGGTCCTTGTGTTGAATTAATGCTATCTGAAGTTGGAAACATTGGAGTAAAATCGAACAGAACTGGAGTCTTGCCAGGTTCAATGGTATATGCTCTTACTGAATAAGGGTCAATGTTAATCTTGAATGTTGGAAAAAACTTGATCGTCAGTGTTTGTTTCTTATCAGATAGTGCTGCACTTTCATTCCTTTTCAACTCCCAAAATAAGGAATATTGACAAGTCAATTGATTTTGAGTAACAATAGCAGGGACATTAATCATCTTGGGATTGGTAAGGAAAGAAAACTTTTGATTTCCACTCCAGTCAAAGTCATCATGATAATGAACCTCAAAATAACCTCTAAAATGTCCCAATTCAAAGAAGTACGTCGGAATTACCTGTGTATCTACATCATGAATACTATCCAAGTTATAAAACATGACTTGTTTTTCAAAGCTTTCCCTCACCATCACCAACACCATTATCAATACCAACACTAAACACCACCTACGGCTATCAAACAAGTGTGCATGCGTGCGTTCAATCTTTTGCATCTTTATCAAAACGAGAGAGAGGGAATGAAACAATGACGAGTCGTTGTATTTTTTTTAAGGCTAGAAAATTTTTATAATGTGGAGATTTTAGCGCGCTGTAAAAAAGATTTAAGGGTTCATTTTGAACCAGTAAATGGTTTACAATGAGTAGTTGATACCAAGTAGGGATGACTAGAAAGTATTTGTTAAAATATTCTCTCAATGGAAGTTTGCAGAGCTATTAATCTAAAATACTTCTTGTTTCTAATAACTGTTCAGCAAGTTTTGAAAAGGAAGGCCTTTGATAGAAATCTTCACACCACGAACATTGTACCATGGAAAACAATGAATCAAGAATTGTTAAATACTTTTCAAAAGGATCTTCCTGACTAATTCCTCAAGGAATGTAAAGCTCTCTGTTGTAAAAAAGGTAGTTTTGATTGTTAATGTAGAACTAGGCTGGTTGAGTAATTCTTTTTCAATAAGTAATACCATTCAATTCTGTTGCAGACTTTCTTTGGAACTGAAATATTTGATTTGTATCTGACAATTCAACATGTACATCAAATTCAGTCAACGATACTATTTTCTTAACTGGCTCTTTTGCATTTTCAAATAAACCAATAATAACATTAAATGGCTTTCCAAATTCAGTTTCAAACAGTCGTGAACCAGATAATGCTACAGAAACAAGCTCTGGAAATGTGTCATGATCTGATAAAACATCATTACCACAAAAGTTGTTCGAAAAAGATAGTTGATTATTGATTTTTGTTCCTATTGAAAACACCACCACCAAGAAATGAAGCATAACTATCTTCTATTTGTGTTTTTGATTCAATGCTAAGCTCTGTCTTGAATGTGAAAACTGCGCCACCATATTTAAGAGCCTTATTAAAAAAGAAATAGGAGCTGGAAAAATAGACCTTCGATGAATACCAGGAATCTACTGCAGCGTAAGCACCTCCATAGACAGCCGTATTGTTTTCAAAAAACTTGGAAGTTATTAGAAGGATAAAAATTTTTTTCAATACTCACGCTGTTTTGTGATAAAAATCTATGGGCATATCGAGACAGAATTGCTCCACCTATTAAGGCCGAATTTTTCAGAAATAAACAGTCATTAATTTCAAGTAAGGATTCACGTTGTAAAATTGAGCCACCACCTTCCTCATCTACTTTTTCAGCAATTGTTGTGAATATTTGCTGATTGTTTATAAACGATGTCTTAAAAATAACTAAATTGTAAATGTTTCGAATAGTGATAGCTGATCCTCCCTTAGTGTTTGAGTTTCCTTCAAAATTTGAATAGGTAATAACTGCATTTATACCAACGCCTTCCATAAAAAGAGATCCAACAGAGTTACAATCAAGAAACTTTGATTCAACAATAATTACAGTAAGAACTGAAAGAGATGATAAATATAGGGAGTGAAATTCATCTTTGGGGACTTTGTTGGAATATCGATAAACATACGCTTTTGGAATTAAGTGTTGGAATATTTCCAATAAACAGACTGTTCAAAACTATAACTCTCTTTGCTTCTTCAATGTGTATTGTTGAGTTCATAAAACTTGAACCAGCTATTTCAAACGAAGGAACTGTCCGATCGGTCACTGTTAAATAGGCAATGGCATACTCATATAACCTGCCTTAAATCTCGAATTTCTTATTACAATATAAAACTGTTTCACAAGATTAAAATGTATCTTTGAACCAAGGTTTAGAATTGTGTTTTCACTAGTTGAAGAGTCAATTGTTTTAAGAAGGTCTAATTTTGATTGAGTTCCCACAGTTACATTGTCAAGCGTAAGTTTACCACTTATTTCATTAACAAATAATTCTTCAATAACACAATTCTGAATTTCAATTTGACCATCAAAATACAGGTTCAACCGTAAATTCAAATTTGAAAATTTAAGAGGAACAAGATCATAATATTTAACAAAGCCTACACAAGATTTTCTTGTTGTCAAGGAAGTAATGTGCAGGCTCATAATATTCCAATTATTATTAATAAAACCAACACACATCACATCGTCATCCATAATATTAAATTGTACTGCCAGATTAGATGTATTAGTACTATTCATCTTCATTAATAAATCAAGTGCATATTTAATTGTATTGCATGGTTTTTTAGCTGATGAACATTTTTCATTATCCAAGCCCTTTCCACTTAAATATATTTCCCTTATTTCTTCCTGTAATGCTAAGGAGGAGGAAATTAATAGAATTATAGAAAGGATCATCACCACAATCATCCTTACCATCGAATGGTGATGTATTGTGCTGTAGCATGAATTCCTCATCTCACAATTTTTTAAGTAAGTTTGAGGAGCAATAAGTGAAGATCAACAATTCTCCGATTATAAAGCTCCCCTTTATGTTCTCTCCCTTTTCAACTCTGAGTTATGTTTTGCAAGATATTACAAATAAATTGCAGAATATCAAGCTTAACAAATGGAACATAGCAAAGGGATTCTTCCTTAGTATATCAGATGTACTTCTCTTAATATGGGAGTGCAGATTTAGGTTTAGTTTTAGCTAAACTCTTTTCATCATTCTTTTGAGTTTCATTATTATTTACATTGGTTGAATTATTTAGTATATGAAGCCAGCTTGCTGTTGATTAATAGAATTCGGAGAGTAAAAAATGTTTTCACGAGATTGCCCACAAAATAAGCAACATAATTCCTCCGAAGAAATTCTTCTTCAACAAGCACAAGATGATGATGAAGATTTAATGATTAACTTTTGTGATTTTGAATTCAATTTAAATTTACAAAGTCAAATTCAAGACTTGGCACAGATTCGTGAATTTGCAAAAACAATTTCATATTATAAACATCATGATAATAATCGGAATAGTTATGATTTATGTAATGACGACTGGTTTATGATATTGGATTTTATTCCATTCTTTGAATTTAGCAAATTTGCATTAGTTTGTTCATCATTTGCAGAATTATTGACTTTTAATAGAAGATATTTGGTAATGAGAAGAATTTTGAAGGGTTTTCCAATATTGCTGAAGGATCATCACTATTTACCTGTTGAATCATTGGAAATATTGGCAAATAATGAAGCACCATCTGATGATCCATCATTTGCCAAGTCAATTTACTCGGACATGATTAATTTTCTATTCGAAAAGAGGAGATACAAAAAGAATATGTGGAAAAACATTCCTAGTACAAAGATTTTGGAAATGGATCAACAAGTATTCATTTTACCATTTAGAGATTCAATGATTAGAAAAGTATTTAGTGATTTTATTGATATTCCACAAGTTTTGTTGGATGATAGGGATTTTATTTTGAAGTTTTTCAAATCTTTTCCCAAAGCTCCAAGATATTTCACATTCCTCAATTCAAAATTGATGCAAGATGAAGAGATTGCCAAGATGGCAGTGCAATCCAATGGATGGTTTATTAGATTTGTTCAAGATCCAACAAGTGAAATTCTTAATACTGCATTCTGTTCCAGAAAAAGATATATCATTTCATCAACTTCTCACCATACTTTTGAAAGATACAAAGAAAGCTTGATTGAATTTGTGAGAGAGCCATTTTATCATTTGTTGGAACAGAAATCAATTGTTAATGATTATAGAATGTCTAGAAAGGAATTATTCTTTAAAAGAAATATGATTTTCGATTCCAAATGTGGAAGTAAGAATGCAGAGTTCTTGTTGCTCTTTTCATTCTTTGAAAAATCACCTGAATTCAAGGGAGTTCTATTATATTTCTACAATGCTAAAACTTCCACTGAAAAATATGATCACATTGATGATTTGATTACTGACCTGTTATGTGTTCCAGAGAAATTTCAACCAATTCTATCAAAACCTATGTTAGTTCCTGAAGAATTGAAATGCAAGACAAGAGAAATTACCATGTCAACAATGTTGAAAAATATATTGGATGACAATTTCACTTTTGACAATGTAATGACTCATGACAAAAAGAAGCTTACTACATCAAGTATTGAATATCTAAGGGAAAGATTGATCCAAAAAATGAAACCGACACCACTCTTTACAGGAATGTATTTCGGTAAGAAAGTTGAAAATATTGATTGTGAAAACGAAAGTGAAAAAATCAAATTATTGAATGAAATATCAAAATGTAGGGGATTGAATATGAAAATGTTGAAATATTACCCAAAACATTACGTACTTTTAGATGAGGAAATCAAACAGGACGAAGAGTTTAAAAGAATTGCAATGAGATGTTTAAAATTCAATGCTCAATACTTTGACTTTTCCAAAGATGATATGCTTGTATTATTACTCTCAGCTAATGTGAAGGTATCTGTTGAATATTTGAAAAAACAGTCAAACTGGAGCTCAACTTTGGAAAGAATCAATAATATTTTCACAACAAATGGAAGAATTCGCTCAAATTGGTTAACTTGGCCACAAGTTTATTGCTTGTACAGGTTTTTACTCTGCTACTCATTCAACAGAGATAAATTATTCACATTAGAAGATCAAGTGAAAATGATTGATTACATCCCACCTAAACACAAGAAACTCCTTTTGGAATATAGTTATGAGGAGTGCTTGATGGAAAAAATCAGATTGAAAAACCTAGTCCAGTTTGATTTCTATGATTCAAGAGTATTTCTCTTTGGATTCAGATATATGATTAGTTATAAATCAATTAATGCCATATGTAGAGTAGTTGATGGTTCATTGATAAAATTCCAACAATCAGATAGACTCCTCTCAGAAATTTTGAAAGTGACACCCAAATTTATTAAGGTATTCATGGAAAAAAGACCTAAAATTTATAGGAAAGTAATTCTCCCTCCCTATCCAGTTGAATTGGTGATAAAGCTTGCATTGGAAAATCCAAGAATTATTCACTATCTTCCAAGAAATATTCAAAGTCACCCCTTACTACTTTGTGGGTTGATGGGGATTTATAGAGGTCAACATAATTCGACCACTGGAATGTGAAAAAGACAGTAGTTACTAATACTGATGTTTCAACATTAATGCGCACAAATTTCAGCACATCTCCGGACCTGCTTTCTCCAAGCAATACTACGCATAGGATGTCCTAAATTGTCCTCATCTACTATTGTTCAAATGAAAACACTATTTAAACAATGATGAGCAACAGCAGTCTTTTCCACAAACAAACAATAACAAATATCAAAAAATGTCTCAACAACAAACATTGCTTTTAACTGGATCAACTGGTACTATTGGTAAATTGCTCATTCAACAATTGCATTCCACCAAGCAAGAAGCACACTTGAAACTCAAACTTCTTGTCAGAAATGTTGAAAAAGCTAAGGAATTATTCGATGCATTGCAATCTGATTCGTTCCAATTAGAATATATTCAAGGTGATTTGCCAATCAATGACAAATCAGTTAATACTGAGTTGTTATTTGATAAGGTTGAAAAGATTTTCATTTTGGCACCTGATGTTCCTCAAAAGGTAAACCTTGAAAAGTCAATTGTCGAGAAGGCATTACAATACACCAAAGCATCAAATGGTCAATTGAAACAAGTTGTTAAATTGAGTGCATTAGGTGTTAGTAGAGATAGAGAAACCAACAATTTGCTTCGTTGGCATGCAGATTCCGAATACGAAATTTTCCAAGCATTGAATCATTACAATGAGGTCAATTCTGACAATACTGTTTCGCATGTATTTATTAGACCTGGAATGTTTATGCAAAATATCTTGGGTGGTTACGAGCACTATTATTTGATGAATCATAATATGATTGTAAGACCTGATTTGAATACTAGACACTCTTATACTACCTCCTTTGTTGATGTTAGAGATTTAGTTAAGATTATTTCATTAGTTTTATTGGAAACTGATGTCACTAAATATGGTGATAAAACATTTACTATCACTGGACCATCAACAACCACCAATCAAGAATTTGTTGAAATTGTCAGTAAGGTATTGAAAAGAGATATCCATTATGAGAAAGTTTCTGAATTTACTTTTATGAATATGTTGAAAGAAATGCAAATTCCAAATGACTATATTTGGATGTTGATAAAATTATATCAAACTGGTAAAGAGAATGGAGCCGCAAGTATTATTTATGAAGATTTTGAAAATATTACTGGAACTTCGCCAACAACTTTTGAACAATTTTTATTGGATCATTTGAGCTATTTTAATCAATAATTACAAATTTGGAGCATGGTTTTTATAAATTGTAATAAATATTATTATTTTATATGAAATATCAACTGATAAAGTGTTATTTCTTAAAAACTATTAAAACTATAAAAATGGAAATCTACGATAATAGTCAATTTCCATAAATAGAAATGGAGTTTCTTAATTTTGTGGTTCCACCATAATTATTCACCTACATAGCAGAATAAACACCTCATGTGTTGATTTTTCTAATAAAAAATTAAACAATCTTTAAAATTAGTCTCCTCAACCGATTTTTAATTTCTAATAAAAATGGCAAGAGTAAATGATTATTATTCGATGGATTGTTCTCCAGAATTTGAAATTAGCAATCATTTGAATTCTTCCTCACAGAAATGTACAACTTTCCACTCATCAACTAATCAAATTCTACCAGATGAAATTATTCAATATCAAATAATACCATTTCTTGATGTGGAAACTTTGTGTTGTAAATTTAGTTTACTTTCTTCACATTTATATAAATTGGCTGAAGACAATTTGTTGTGGAGAGAAAGATTTTTCAATACTCTGCCAAGTTCTCAATTAGAATTCTTTCAGAACAATCCACTTTATTGGAAACAGTGCTATAATTCAAAATCAACAAGAAACTACTTTCTCTCACTTTCTCCAACACTTCACGAAAGAATTTATCCTTCTCTTGATGCTTTCAGTGTCAATTTCAAAGATTTGTACAGAACAACATTTGTTGAGGGCCGTTTAGAAGGAAATCGACTGCTCAACTCTGGTAATTATAAGAGAGATCAATTCTCACACCACATTACTTATTATTATCTGATTGACATTGCTCAGAATTTGAAATTGACAAATGAAGAACTTCGATTGGTTGACAAGGTTTTCGATCAATCAGTTTCTCCAACCATTGAATTTTTCAGAGGAAGAACAAGAGAGAAGGGTGCTCTAAATGATGATGAAACTCGTGAATATTATGGAGTATTTGGTATTGTAATTGGCATCTATTTTGTAATGTATCAGGAATGGATGTCCAATGATTTGAGAGCTCATGTCATTGGTAGAAAATTAACACATCGAGTGAAGGAAGTTTCCAGACATGGAGATGAAATACAGAGAGAGGGTGCGAGTGTTGAATTGAGAACTCATGATTCTGCATTCGATTACAAATACTTTTACAATGAAAAGTTGACATCCACTCCAAAAAATAATGATGATTTTGAACTCTCGAAATTTGTAAATGGTGATGAGAGTTCTTATCCACAATACTTGTATTTGAATCAATCCACAGAAGATAAATGGGATCAGAGAAGTAAGAGTCAACCAGTGAGCCTTACTATTCATGGAGTTTGGAGTGATAATAAGGAAAGATGTGGTTTGTTCACAAGTGAAAATATTGATTGGTCAACCAGTGTTTTCGATTTGGCAACCCTAGGCAGTAAATTACATGATGTCAATTATAGAAGAGTGTACAGTGTTGATAATGAAGTTAAAATATTCTCCAAGTTGACTGCATTCAAGTATTGGAAGATGACAACACATATCAAAATAGACGCCACTCTCTCCAATTTCCAATCGACAGAATATAATGTCTCATTTGATTGTGATGCGTATGTGAGAGGAGAGGCAGCTGTTGCTATTCACCATAGTCAAAGTGGACCTTCATCCTATTCACATCAACATCATACTCATTATCAAATTGTTGGTAATGCAGTGGACAGTTACTTTTCATTCAATTTACTCAATCGAGGAGAACACATGTTCTTGGCATGGTGTATGTTTGATGATATGAAGAATGAATCCAAATTGAAGAGCGAACAAGCAATCAGAACTAAAGTTATTACTCCAAAAGAAGCTCCAATCACACCTGAAAAGGTATTGAGTGAGGAGAGAAGAAAGATGGTCCTATCATCAGACAAGTGTGGAATGTTTCCAACCATGGACCAATTCAAACTTTCAGGAATATTGGTAGATCGTGATGGAGTGAAGGGATATGTTGAGCTAGAGCCAAGAATTCACCTCAAACAACAACAGCAATAAATTTCAAAAATAAATTTCAATATCTTTCAAAATTATCCACACATTCAAAAAGTTTCATATTTCAATTTAAAAATAATTTAGTTGGCAAAATTTTGCAGCATTATTACAAATGAACTTATTGTTCTCTCTTTCTTAATTCTTCTTCATCCTCAGTTTCTTCACTAATCAATTTTTGAATATCAAATGTGTACTCAGCAGAACCACTTCCGAATCCCTTAACTAACATGTTCTTTTCAATGTATTTATCAAAAGTTTCAGAAATTTCCTTATCGTTACCCTTGAGCATGACGTACTTTTCAACAGTTTCCTTGGCCAAGAATGGCTTGACGAAAGCCCAGATCATTGAAATAGTCCAACCAGCATTGAGAACCATAGTACGAGCCAATCTTTCAGTGTAATAATTACCCAATTGCACGAATCTAAATTCAATAATTGTAAATTACATTCAATAATAATACTAAATACATACGTATCCTTCATTTCCTTGACCAAACCCATTGAGAGTGATGAGTCCTTCAAGTCAACCAACCAAACAATATTGTTAACACCTTCTGGCATTCTCTTGATGCACTTTTCCATCATGTAGACGAAGAGTTTGAACTTCATCTTCTTATTTTCTTCAGTATTGTCAGCAGTGTCCTTACCCAAGAGACAGTAGATAATTGGACGACCAGACTATTTTTCATCATCATCAAATTAAAATCCATAAAGTAAAAAGCTATTTCTACTATTACAACTACTATTATACTAACCTTATCATAACCATAATGGTAGAGGAATCCTTGCTTGGCAATTGGTTCAAGATCCTTCAATCTAATATCTTGTGGACGGAATGAAGCTCTCCAATCCATAGTTTCCTTCAATTGCTTGGAGGCAACTTCCATATTCCATTGCAAACCAGAAAGATAACGGAAGAGACACATGTCATCAAGGAAGGCCTTTTGTTCTTCATCCAAATTCCAAGTTTCACTAATCTTACGAAGGTCTTCCATGAGCTTCTTTTGTTCATCAGTGAGTTTAGAGAGTGGTGAAACAACAGAAGATCTAACTTCTTCAGCTAATTTACCATAGGTTTCATCTCTTCCGGAAGGTAAGAAACTGTCTCTGACCATTTTGATTTCTACATGAATATAATCAATATTTAAATTATTATATAACAATATATTTTCATCAAATCACATAAATTATACAACAAAATCAAAAACGGATAATTATTATGATGAGTAAATCATATTGATTTAAATGATCCAAAAATCACACAAGTTATAATCACCACCATTGATGCAAATCACCATCATCAACACGTCAATCAACAATATGGAATAACAATAATTAGCCTTTGGAAAATTCCATCACACAAAAAACATACAAGTTGAGGAGAAGGTTTAAGAATTTGAGTTTTTTTTAAAAATCTAATTTGTGTGCTGGATGATGAAAGTAGATATTGCTGATGAACCAAAGGGCAGAATGCAAATAAAAGGTGAGAATCATCATCCTAACGGTAATGTTCTTGATGAGTTTGGTGGAGGTATGGATTATTATCTTGTTTCCAAAGCGATAACTGTCATTAATATGAAATATTGTTACTTGGTGAATAAATATGTAGAAATAGTCGGCTTTGATGACCGTTACGCACTATTCCCGCTCATTAAATTTATTAATTTAAAAAAAAGTCTTTAAAGATTCTTGAATTACCTCTTGATAATCGGGTTCTTGTATCAAATCAATTGAATAATAATAATTTTATGTAGATTAAACTATTGTGCTGAACTCGAAAAGATTGTAAGCATCAATGCATATATCTTTTGAGTTTGGAATTTCTTGCTTGTACAGAATGCCAAGCAGTGTCGATGGTTAGATTGGAAATTAGAAACAACAAAGGCAACAACATGGATTGTCTTTTAAGTGTCGCATGTTTAATAGTAGATCCACTGTGCGCTTACTGAAAGTTGTTGTTAGTAAGATCCTCAAAGGGATGATAAACTCCACTCACGAATGTTGCCTCTTAATTTCCAAAAGGCCCAATTCATTTCGAAAAGGAAACAACCTGTAGAGGCTTTTAACTTGTAGTACCAAGTTCAGTGAGCCAATGAAGAAAGAAACAAAGCAAGGACCTCTTTCAGTCAATAGTTTATCTTTGGATCACAATTTAATGTTGTCTTTCATTGAATACTGTTGTGATATGTTAATGTTTGTTTGTATTTAACACATGAATGGCTAGATTAATTTATTTCGTGCATACAACTGATGTCTAAAACATTTTTGTTTGGAGTTGTCATGGCATCTAACTCTTGATTGTGAAATACCCCATAATTGTAAGGTTTAATTCTCATTCGGACAACCCAAAATTCGAGGGACCAAAACACAATTCAAACGAAAACAAAAACAACAAAATGGTGCACCAAACTGAGTCGTCACCACTTTCCCATGGTGTTGAATCAGAAAGCTGCCGAAAGTCATCTGCGCATCACGGATTAACAACAAGAACTCTTCCTCTCATAACGATCCTTCTATTCATTGGATATTGTTGGGTTTTTGTATCATCTTTAACTTTTTTATGGAATCACTCAACTACTAGTAATTACACACGCAATTCGCCCAGTTTCGTCTTCATTGAAGCTGCTAATATTTGTTACACAATTTCAAGTACTGATCCAACCGTTTGCTCTGGTAATGGCACATGTATTGCTTTGAATACTTGTCAATGTTATCCAGGCTATTCAGGTAAGTTTACTTTCGAATTAACGTTGTGATAATCATTTCGTAGGAAATAAATGTACAACACTAATAACATGTAATAACCTTGGAGTTAATGATACACAGGTTTGTTCGGGGCACGGTGTTTGTATCGCCAAAAACAATTGTACATGTACAGATGGATATTCAGGAGCTAGATGTCAAACCGCCATGCAATGTTATGGAATTGACTTTACCAACACGACCTATGTCTGTAACGGTAATGGTAATTGCACTGCTGCCAACAACTGCACCTGTAAAGATGGATTTTCAGGTACCAGATGTCAAACAATCAGACAATGTAGTAACATTGATTTTAATGATCCAACAGTTTGTTCTGGCAAAGGATCTTGTGTTTCGAATAATAATTGTGAATGTCTAACTGGTTATACAGGTAGTCAATGCCAAAATGTCATGAAATGTTACACAATCCCATTTAATGATCCAAGCGTTTGTTCTGGAAAAGGTCAATGCATTGCTTCGAATAATTGTTCATGTATTCAAGGATTTTCTGGGACTAAATGTCAGAATGATGATTCTATATTTACGTGTTTTGGTTTTAACTCGACTAACCCTTTGGTTTGTTCTGGAAATGGAAATTGTACATCGAATGGAAATTGTACATGTAAAGAGGGATTTTCTGGGACTAAATGTCAAAATGATGACAGCTACTTTACTTGTTATGATATTGATCCATCAAATACAACCTATGTCTGTAATGGAAATGGAAATTGCACAGCTCAAAATAATTGCACTTGTAAGGAAGGATATTCAGGAACCAGATGTCAAAACGCCATGCAATGTTATGGAATTGACTTTACCAACACGACCTATGTCTGTAACGGTAATGGTAATTGCACAGCTGCCAACAACTGCACCTGTAAAGATGGATTTTCAGGTACCAGATGTCAAACTAACAATAATTTAATTACATGTGGTGGACTACTTCCAATTGATCCACAAGTTTGTTCTGGAAATGGAAATTGCACTGCCAAAAATAATTGTGATTGCCTTTATGGATACGTTGGTAATCAATGTGCTGATTTACTTCAATGCTTTACAATTAATTACAGTGAAAGTTCTGTTTGTTCTGGAAATGGAATTTGCATTGAAAAAAACAACTGCTCCTGCTTTGATGGATATACAGGAAACAAATGTCAGACATCAATTCTTCATACATGTTATGGATTAAATGAAACTGATCCACTGATATGCTCTGGAAATGGACAATGTGTTCAGAACAATAATTGCTCATGTATTTATGGATATAGTGGAAATCAATGTCAAAAAGTGTTGAAATGTCACACCATTACATTCAATGATCCATTGGTATGTTCTGGAAATGGAAATTGTTCGTTGGATGGAAATTGTACTTGTAAACAAGGTTTCAGTGGTAACAAGTGTCAAAATGATGATTCAGTTTTCTCATGTTACGGTTTTAATTCGACAGATCCATTGGTTTGTTCTGGAAATGGTAATTGTACTGCTGACAATCAGTGCAATTGTACAGATGGCTTTAGTGGAAATAAGTGTCAGAATAATGATAATTTATTCACATGTAATGGAATTGATTCGAATAATGCAACTGTTTGTAGTGGAAATGGAATTTGTATTTCACAGAATAATTGTTCTTGTTTTTCTGGATTTTCTGGAAACAGGTGCCAAAAGGATGACAATTTTTTCACTTGTTTTGGTATTGACCTATCAAATTCCACAGTTTGTAATGGAAATGGTATTTGCGTTTCACAAAACAATTGCACCTGCTTTAGTGGCTATTCAGGAAACAAATGTCAAAATAATGACATGATTATCAGATGTTACGGAATTGAGTCTACTGATAGCTCAGTATGTTCTGGTCGTGGTAATTGCACCTTTGATAATACTTGTAAATGCAAAGATGGATTCAGTGGAAGTCAATGTCAAAATGATGATAATATTCTCAAATGTTATGGAGTTGAGTTCAACAGTCCATTTGTTTGCTCTGGAAATGGAAATTGTTCTTCATTTGGTAATTGCTCATGTTTTGAGGGATTTTCAGGGAAAAAATGTGAATTTGATTTGAATTCCAATGAGACAGCATCATCTAATTATACATGTTATGGTATTAATGGTGGATTATCTACTGTTTGTTCAGGAAATGGAAATTGCATTGCAGATAATGTTTGCGAATGTTTCTATGGATTTGATGGGTCTCAGTGTCAGAAAACACTTCAATGTTATGGAATTGATTACAATAATCCAAGCGTATGTTCAGGCAATGGTATTTGTAATTCAAGAAACTCTTGTTCATGTTATGAAAATTACGTTGACACCAAATGTCAAACGTACAGAGATCCAAACGCCACCTCATTCAAATGTTATGGTGTTCAATCGAATGATTCAAGTGTTTGTTCTGGCAGAGGAAACTGCACAGCAGATAATTTCTGTGAATGTCAAACAGGCTTTAAAGGTTCCAAATGTCAAAATTTGGTCAACTATTGCTTTGGCATTGATGAATATTCCAACAATGTTTGTTCAGGAAATGGAAAATGCACAAGTCAAGATACATGTGAATGCTCTTCCAATTATTTTGGAAACGATTGTGGTGTTTACATTCTTCCAGAAACAAGTACAATCAAGATTCTTTCCAAATATTTGTATTTGATTGATAGTGCAACAGAGAATAATGTGATAACAGTTAGATCACAAAGATTGGTTAATAATTATAAGGGAATGGAAAGTAGATTGAAAAGCGTGTTGATTTTGTCAACTGAGCTAGTCAATTATGAATTTTCCCAAATTGGGCTTTTTGACAAGTTACAATTGTTTTCAAATATGACTGTTGGTGAATATACAGCAAATTTGACGATTGTAGATACTGGTTACAATATTGTTGTTGGACAATCTATTGTAAAGTCACTATTTAATGTTATGACTCTCCAACAATTGAGTCAACCTGAAATTCTTTCAAAATTAACACCTAAGGAAATTAATCAAATTACAAGAGAATTGAAAAGAATATCAAATGACCAACAAGTTGTCTCCAATATAGTTTCGAATTTCAAGGATAATGTCAATAACTATACTTTGGATGATGGTTTGGATTTGACATCTTCTTTATTAGATTTGTCAATAACTAAATTAGAATCTAAAGAAAAGATAACTATTTCAGAAACATTAACTTCTTTCACGCAGAATTTAATTGAAAGCTCGTCAAATTTCACTTCAGAACAAGTGACACCTATTGCCATCAATATTGTGTCTGTGGCTTCAAATATTCTCGACAATTCTGGCGATAATTCAGCTGGTAAATCGCAAATAATTGGAAAGTCAATCGAATCTATTGAAAAAACTATTTCTTTAATTTCAGTTGTAAACTCGACAGAAAATTTATTGATTACAACTTCAAAGATTATGGTTTTGCTAATTTCCAAGGCAGAATATAAGAATTCACACGTGATCGATAAGGATTATTCTTTATCTCTTCCAGAACTCGATTTTGGATTTTCGTTTGGTTTAGTCAAGTATGAAAATTATTTGACAGATGACTTACAGAATACTACAGCTATTTCAGATATTCTACAAGTGAGACCATTATCAAATGGAGTATTCACACCACTCCGTAATCTTTTAACTCCATTCAACTTGACCTTCTCTATTAAGAAATACGAAACCCCAAATAATGAAACAATCGCAACTGTTGTTTGTAAATATTGGAATGAAACAAGAAGTGAATGGTTGAAGGACGGCTGTGTAACTACAATATTATCAGAAACTCAAGTAATGTGTTCTTGCTATCACACAACCAAGTTTTCTTCATTTGTAGATTATTCGAATATTGACTTTACAACAAGAACAGCTCAATCTTCACTTGCAGTTGCTAATATTATATTTAGTTCTATATTCATTGTAATCATTATTGTAATTCTCATTCTATTAGTGGTGTTTAGAAAATCTCAACCTGTCAAATCAAGACACGTGACTCCTTACCTTGCATTGACATCCTTACTCATTGAAAACTTAGTTTCTGGAATAATTTCTAAAGGACTTTTACTTGACAAGTACAATTTCAATATAACCATCATGACAAGCGTCTGTGCAGTCATTTCTACTGCTTTATTGACAAGCGCAGTTTGGTGTTATTTCGTCATGTCTGTTCGATTCATTATTCATAGATATTTCTATGAATACATGATGAGAATAGTAGAAAATAGACAGCAGAAGAATAATCTATTAATCAAGATTTTGAATATTTTCAAGCAAGATAAGGTTTTGATCTTGTCAAGTGTCATGCTTGCTGTTGGATTTATTTTATATTTTGCTATTTTTGTAATTTTGAGAGGAGTTTCTGTATTTTCTGATTCACAATTTACCTATTCAACTACTATTTCATTATTTATTTTTTTACTTTCAATGACAGCAATGATTTTTGGCATTTATATTTTAGATTTTTATTTGGATTGCACTAACAAGCAATTAAGAGATGAATTGGTTGATATTTCAGATGAAATAATGTTAGTAGAAAGTGGAGACTCCCACCTAAGCAATTTGAATTCCAGAAAATCACTCAAGATTACAAAACCATTTATTGAGCTATTGGAACAATCTCAAGTGAAAAAGATTGTGAGCTTGTTTTATTCGAATGACAAGCTCATGTTTAGACCAGAGGCAGTTTTCTTCATGACTGGTATGCTCTTCTTTACAGTTTCGTACTGTTTAGGATTTGCAAGCGTCAATGATCGTTACTTAATCAACCCTTCAGCTGCCATAACTCAACATGTTGATGTGTTAGATGCCATATCATTCCTCTTTGACATTCTCATGACTATTTGTTTTATCATTAGTTTCGGTGGTTTCTCCGTTTGTTGGGCCATTGTAATTGAATCCAGAAAGAAGAATTGTTTCGTTGAATCTAAACAAGTTGTTATTAAGGAACGAATTAAGTCTCAAAGATTGGAAAATCTTGCAGATATGACCGACAAGTTTGATATTTACAAACTCATGAAAAACAAGTATTTGCTTAGATTATTCCGTCAATATTCGAAACTGGAAATGTCATTAGAAAATTATGTAATTTGGATGAGAATTGAACATGCCAAGTCTAAATTTGCTAAATTATGGATAGAAATGGAAGGAGAACCAGAATCGATTGAGGAATGGAATTTATTGTTACAAGAATTGGAGGAATGGTTGACAGAGCATATTTCATCAGAAGCTGAGCTATCTCTCAATGTCAGTGCTCGTTCAAAGAAGCAGTTTGTGACAGCAGTGAGAGTATTGGAAACTAAGGTTGCAAGTATTCCATCAAAGAATAGAGATTCTTTATTGAATTTGAAACAAACTGTCAGAGATGCTATTGAATCATTGACCACTGATGTTTTATATAATTTGATGGACACTTATTCAAGATTTATCATTACTAATGAATACAAAGCCATGAAGGAAGTAGAAGCAGTTACAGAAATGACAACTTTCAAATAACATTTTAAATAGCTGATTGTGAATAGTGATAACTAGTGTTAATATTTTATTGAATGAAAATTTCTGGTAGATTTAGTTTACAGTAACCATTGTATTACACAGATATTTACAGTTCATTGTAATTTAGGATATCCTCTTTAAATGTTTCGAATAGCTTTAATAATGACAGATGTTTTCCATCAACACAATTTTTTGTTTTTCGTAGAACACATTTATACACCAACTCGTCAAGTCACTCATTTCGAATTAGGAATTCATCATTTCCATCAGCACAACAGAAACTTAAAAACACAAAAAAAAATGCAAGATTCCATTAGCACCAGTAGCTCTGGCAGTAGTAGTAGACAATTCATCAATCCAAGCTTGTTTAAACCATACTCCGCTACACCTTCTTCTGAGCAAGGTCAACAAGACGAAACAATTTACATTTCGGATAAACCATTTCCACTATTCGAATTCGATGCTACCAAAGAGAAATGGCAGATGAATCAAGATGCCTTTGCTAAATTAGAAACTGTGAGTGGTTCTGGCTTTGTGAAAGTAATTTCTGTGGTTGGTGCCTATCGTTTAGGTAAAAGTTATTTGATGAATCAGATAATGAATGGTAAGAAAGGAGGTTTCGAATTGGGACACACCACAGAGAGTATGACTAAAGGTGTATGGGCCTGGGGTGAGGTTGTTCATGATCCACAAGTTGGCACTCATATTCTTCTCTGTTTGGATTCTGAAGGTCTTTTAGATGTCGATAGAGAGGACGAAACTTTTGACATGTCACTTTTCTGCATATTGACAATGTTGTCAAGTTATATGATTATCAATTTGGAAAAGAGAATAAGTAGCGATGATCTTAACAAGTTGGCTTTTGCATCTGATTTTACAAATATGATTGTCACTGATCAACAAGATGACAAGGATTACAATCATGAAGATATTCAATATTATACTCCACAATTATTATGGCTAGTAAGAGATTTTACATTGAAATTGAAAGGAACAGAGCAAGAATACTTGAATGAGATATTAAATGAAGAGGATAAAAAGAAAAAGTCAAATGTCTCTCTAATTAAGAAGAATATTAAGAAGTATTTTGGTGACAAGATGGAGCTCAAGACTTTACCATGTCCAAGCAGTGATGAAGATGTATTGACAACCATTGAAGAGAGTGGTGATCAATTATCTGAGAAATTTGTTAATGGAATGAAATCTTTGGTCAACCACATTAGAACAACAGCTTCCCTTAAAAAGATACTTTCTCCAAAGAGTAATCGTGAAATGTATCTCGACACAATGGGATTTTACTATTATTGTAGAAAATTAGTGGAACAATTGAATGAAAATGCCAAACAAATTCAAATTCCAAACACATTCGAATCAGTCTTGACACAACAACTTGAATCTATTCTAAACGAAACGTTGGAGAATTATGATAAGAAGATTCAAAGCTTTATTGCTAAATTCCCAATTGAGGAAGATTCCCTCTTGGATATTCATAGTGAAGTTTCCAATTTTTATATGCAGAAAGCTCTCAATAGAGTTCCACATTTCAAGAGAGAAGAATTCCATGAAACTTTGTTGATTTCCCTTGGAGAAGTTTCGTTTAAGGATAATCCAGAAGAAGTTCAATTGAATTCTAGTTCCAAACTATACAATCTTCTTGAGAGAAACAGGGACGAATCTGAAAGATATTGTGAACAAATCTATATTAAGGAAATTAATTCTGTCAAGTCAAAGATGTACTCTGTTGTTGAACAATGCAGAAGTGATTTGGAATTTGTTAGAGCTAATCTTCTTCAACAATTGATGGGTCCAGCTGCCAACAAGTACATGACTAAATTCTTCAGTGAATCCCAAGAAATAATGAAACAAACTATTCTCTGTCAAAAGATTGATCAAGCAGAGAAGGAAAAGGAGGTTTTAAAGGAGGAGATTTATAATATGAAAGAACAAAGAAAGCAACTGGTTGAGCTCATTCAAAAAGAACGAACACAAACAAACTCTGCCATGCAACAATTGCAGAGTCAACAACAAGCTCTCGAACAGCAAATTCAATTAGAAAAACAATCAGCCTCAAGTCAGATCAGTAACTTGAAAAATCAATTGGAAAATATACCAAAGGCCACACCAACAGTCATTTACCAAACTGTTTCAGAGCCAAGCAAAAGTACTTGTAGTAGTAGTAGAAGTAGTAGATATTACTCTAGCTCAGATGATGATGATTATTATTCAAGAGGTAGTAGAAGAAGCAGTGGTGGTAGAAGTGGAAAAACATTTTACAAAGGTGGCCAGTTTATTCCAGGTGGTGGAAGAGCTCCAAAAGGAGGCGTTTGGATGTAAATATTACTGTACATATATTAAGGTGTAAATAACAATAATTGAATGAAATACAAAGCAATCGAAATCGAATAACAACTGTAAACTCCTCATTGTCTAAATATTCAACTATAAACAATTCCAAATTATCATAATGTTAATTAAAAAGTCTTGCAGTTCCTTTATTTAGATGTTGAAAATTTAGACTCTTCATTCCATGGACATCGAATTATTTGAATTTAGAGAGATTAGTGAATTCAGCAATTCTCAAGAACAAAAGCCAACTGTGGTATATCACAATTTGACATTGTTCTTTCGTTAAGACTCACTTGATCAGTTTGAAATTCAAACTAATTAGGGATGTCATGATTATGAGAGTTCATTTTCTTAGTTAGCCAGCATTTTCTCTAATTCTAGAGGAAACGCAAGGAGTAGGTTGAGGAAATAGCCAGACTAAACAAGAAAGAAGGGCACATACTAAAACTGTGATGACAATAATTGAAAAGGCACCTTTAGCGAATGGTAGCCAAACCTCTCTGTAGATAATTTTACCTATGAGGATTCCAATATCTTCCTTTGGAATCTGAAAGAAAACTGTCTGATTATTATTGTTGATTACAGTGATGATATTGGTGGCAGTAGTTTGATTATTGATTATTATCGGATGATGGTTGTGTTCGGTTGTATGTACAAGAACAGTAAAAATGAAAAGTAAAGTAAAGAGTAGATTTACAGGCATTTTTTTGTGATAAAGATACCAGTAACTGTTTGATAACCGATATTTAATACCAAAATGGTGAGGTGGGCACTTGGATACAAGAAATAATTTGGAAGCCTTGGTATCCACCTTTTGTTCAAAACAAATTGAATAAATGAAAAATACTATTGTAAAGTTTTGAAGAAATCAAACTAAATAGTTTGTGTGGGAAAATGGTAAAATCAATTTTGTAAGCCAATATTGTCTATCACATCCAAGTACTGTTGGTTGAACATGAAGAATACTAAAAACAAGTTGTGGATGTTCACACATTAGTTTATTAAATTGAGATGTTTTAAACACACTTGCTTAAAACCGTTCGAGACCGTACAAGTCCATTGTTGTATAGTTAGCCCAAGAATCACAATTGGAAACATTATCTATAGTCGTCGTCATTGGAATAGTCTCAGGAAATGAATTAGTTGACAGCTGGAATGATTGATTCATTCTAATGGTTTGCAAAAATTCAATGAAAGAATCACTCATATTAATCTTTAGCTCACCTTGGCAACATTCTATTTTACAATCTTCTTGCTCATCTGTTTTTGGTAACCTATTACAGTTGCCATTTAGCATGATTTCCTCTTTTGTATTGAAACCATCTGAGGAAAGTGATTGTAAAGTAGTAGTACCTGTCGTTGTCGTCGTACTCTGGGAAAGAGGAGAATTTGGATTGCTATTCACGGTATTAATTGGAAACAAAACAGCTTGTTCGTAATTGACCCCACTTGATGTGTTAAAATTGTTTGTTGAGGAGCATGTATTATCATGATTACAATATTGATGCCTACAGTCAAGAGGATATTGTTGATGGAGATGATGAATATTAGAGTAAGTGAGACTGCTGTTGCTATTACTACTTCTTGGTGATACACTAAAGTGGTTAAAGTAGTGTTGGTGATGGTGATTTGGAGAAATGGTGGTTGTGGAACTTATTCCACTTGGAAAGGTTGGGTGTTGTGGAGGTGTGGTTGATTGTTTCTTCGTCTTCTTTTGATGATATCTTGATGATGCTCATGAATTTTAATCGATCTTTTGTCGTTTCGTCCAGATCTTTTAGTTTAGTTTCGTGTCTGATTTTCTGTTCTCCTACTCGTAATTCAAAGTAATTTTGTCTAAAGTTTGTGTTATTGATTTCCTTCTTCAATTTTCTAATCCCTCCTTTGCAGTCAATTGGTGGTGTGAATGTTGTGGATGATGAGTCATCTGACAACACTTTCTGTTTATTTGTCATGGCTGGTTTAGGTTTTAAAGGTTTTTTTTTAACAGTCCAAATGTGAAATTCACTTGTACGGTTTCGTCTAAATACTTTCGGCAGCACCGGCGCAAACAAAGGAAACCCTCAAAAAACATGGATGAATGATGGCAAACCTGGAAGGGTACTTTGTGTAGATCAACAAGAATATGAGCCACCAAACAAGTTTGCAAAGCAATACGTTTCTACTGCAAGCTCAGCAAAATAATCTGCAACACATAAATTATTCGATATTACCTCTGCATATGATCATTTCGTTACATTCCCAAACTCAAACCTTACCAAATCACAAAGTAGAAAAAGCAATTTTGGGTTGTGAAATTGGTCTCTTGCCATTTTTCCCGAATTTGTGATATCATAAACATCAGAGAACATTAACAAACTGCAATGATATCAATATTAATTCTTTCTTTGCATTGTCCTTTGGGTCTCTTCTTACGCGCACAATCTGCATTGACTCTTCGTATTTGCTTTAGTCAAAAACAGATTTTTCTATTCTTGTTAATAGGACCAAAATAACCTCATTAAGGATTAATATATCACTAACTGAGTGCCTAATCAAGTCGGTACTTGAACGGTTTTTTGTCCTTACTGAGAGGTTGAGCAAATTGAATGTGTATGACTCATTATTTTGTTCCATTAAATTAGCTTGATGTTTTTTCTTCCCACATGTTAAATGATTTAATTAAGTTATGGTGATGATGATGAATTTGACCAGCTGATAGAGTCATTTTCATGATCAAATACATCCCGATTCATTCCTTTCTATACATATAATTTCATTACCACAACAAACAATAAATTCATAAAGTGGCAAAGTCAATATTTTCCTAATTGCTTGCCAAATTCCAATATTGGAGAAATACATAGATGATAATCGCCATGATGTTATTATTACCAGGGTTCTCCACAGGGTTAATAATTAAAAAGGAAAAGCTGGTTTTGTATTGAGCTTGTATTTTTTTGGAACAGGTAAATAGAATTGTTTTGGATTGTGTGTTTATTGAAAATTTTGTTGGGATGAAGTGGGTGTTTTCACCGGAGCAGCAGTTTGCATGTCCGCACAAGCAAACGCCAGCGTGAAGGTCTGGTTCTTGGTAGCTGTGTGCTGATAACACCATCCAATCAACAGCTATGATACATCATCGTGCAAATGAAAATTTGAAATTTTCAACATTACGTCAATTGACTACTAAAATTATTATTTGTCTATGTTGATGATATTTGTATTAATTGATATGATTCAATAATATTACTCATTCCGAAGCTTTACATCACAGTACAAGTAGCCACGTAACAAAACTGCATCCACAACAAATTCATTTTTTATATTTGCAACGGCTAGCGATGGCGGTACGCAACTAAAACAGAACTATAACGAAAAGCTTGATACCAATCGGCAGCAAACTGCTGCTCCTGTGGAGAACCCTGATTATTACTCTGTCCAGATCTAAAAAAGGGTAAGTAACGTCAAGATTATATTATTATTTTCCACTTGCGATTTACTAGTAGGAACAAATGCAAAAGTGGCCCTGAGGGTACATCCCATTAAGAACATTGATTACAATCTTTGCATCCGTAGTTGAAGAAGGTGGGAAGTCGAGTCTTTTTGTTTTATTAAAAATAAATTATTAATAATTTAATTTTTAAATGCTATAATAGAGAGCAAAACGATTAAGGTTCAATTAGAGGAGAAGATTAAAGAGGAATTTTAAGAAATAACAATATTCACCACGGTGATAAAAATATATTTCAAATTTTACAAAAAAATGTTTAAATTGCAAAATGTACTTTTTCTTCGGAATAATTTATTTGGATTGAAATTAGCAAGAATTAATGCACAACAACAACATCAAATGCATACAAAATGTTCTCAACAAGCTTATACATGGAAATCGGAAATATTAGCAAATGAATTTTCACTATTGACTGATGAAAAGATGAATTCTGCTCCCTTCCGATTTATTCAACCCTTGTTGAGACACTTTTCGGAAAGAGTTAATAATATGGAGAATGTTGGAGGTTTTAAAGAACCAATACCTGTTCAATATTTAAATGATTTGAGTTGTTCAATGATGAAGAATATTCAATTTTCAACAAGCATGACTGATGATAGTGAATGGTTTAGGAAATTAAAATTTGTGGATCAGGACTTTATTATGGCCAATGTATCGTCCGAAAAATTGGAAGAAGGGTTTTGGTATGAGAGGCATATTTGTGAAACGAGTCAAGTTCCTACTCGATTCAATAATTTGCACGATTTTTATGGGTTTCTGATATGGATGACCTTTCCAAAGACAAAGAGATTGTTCAATTTGTTGCATAATCAAAACATGTTGGAGAGGGATAATCCACATTGTAAGAAGAGATCACCCACACAAAATTTCCTTACACTTTTTGATGAGTGTGGTGTGTTGGTGTGTATTGAGGAAAATCATTTCGAGGAGTTGAAGAGTTTGCTATACAACATGGAATTTAAAGAACTATTTTGGAAGAGGAGAGAGGTAGTGGAGGAAAACATGCTGTTTATCAATTTTGGACATTCAATATTGGAAATGCTTACAATGAGACCTTACATTGGATATACCACAAAGTTTACAGCCGTACCTGTTAATTCTGAAACATGTAAGTCTTTAATCGCCAACTTTTGTTCACAGAGATAGTTAGGAATATTCACTCAAACATTACAAATAGCCCCTCAAAGGAAATTGATAACCTTGTGGAGTGTTACAAAACTTTAGATAATATTGCATTGGATTTATTTCAAAATCAGAAAACATACGACATTGATATTCAAAACACAAAATCTTTACGCCCATTACCTGTCCTAGGAATACCTCAATGGTGGCCAAACCAAAACGAAGATTTCTACAACAATCAACAATATTTCAGAAGGAAGCCAGAATTAAACACATAAATAAGGCAATATGACGCGAAATTTGCCTTTCGGGAGTATAGAATGAGCAGCCCCGCTAGCTCAGTCGGTAGAGCGTTGGACTTTTAATCCAACGGTCGTGGGTTCGAGCCCCACGTGGGGCGGTTGCAATTTTTTTTTTGCGCCTTAACGTTTTTTTGAGAGTTCTAGCATTTGTTGAAACTCTATTAAGAAAAAATAAGACAACATCTTGTTCTAAGGAACCTGCTGTTATTAAGAAATCCGCTCTGCAATTAATACCCTTGTTAATTACAGAGAAATCACACAATACAATAGAATCAAATTGGTTAAATTGTGATTAAGCTCCATCACCATTTCGAATTATATTCAATTCTATATAATATTATTATTCAATCCTAACCACTCGGAAGAACATGGTCACTCTCAGATTTTGTCTCTACGATTTTGCTTCATCCCTCGATGAATTGAATATGAAGCACAGAATGTTAAGCCTAATTAATCATTCTCAATTTTCTGATATTTCCCTCCAATGTCAATCCCTTAAAAGCACTGATGAAGAAATTCGGTTTGAATTTCCGAAACTCTTCACCACCAGAGACTGGACAACAAGAAGAGAAACAATTATATGGACAAACTTTGGTGAAAGCCTGGTACTCATTGCTCAAATCCATAGAAAATCATTTCCTCTCTACTCGATTATCATTTCCCAAATTTTAAAGCAATATGAAATGTTTACCAATTCAAAAGATCTTTGTGTCCATTTCAATCCGTGGTTACATTCGGATAAGATTGTTGATATTGATATTCCTAGATACCTTCCATTGAGCAATCCATTCCTTTCCTATTCAAAATTTAATAAGGAAAGATTTCAGAAATTGTTTGGTTGTGTATTTGGAGATGATGTATCATTCATGCCTGAATCTGTGCAACAATTACTTAGTTCAAAGAGAAATATCTTTAATGCAAGTCCTATTTCAATAGGAAACCTCCATCAGAGAACAACAGTTCTCTCCAAGCTTATTACCCTTCCTCATTATGATCCAATTATGGAAGATTTGATTGAGTTTTTATATGAAATGTGTTATGATTTGAGTCCATTATCGTTTGTGGTTGGAACGTCTGCTAATCATGATTTGGCTTTAATGGAAAGAGATGTTTTTCAATTATTGGTTGATCTGGAAAGTCCTGTTCTAGGTTTTGGAGATACCAATAATCCAAAATTTAGGAATAGATTATCAACCATTCTTAGATTATTAGAAAATGAAGATGATTTTAATTATTACTTTACTTCAAAAAGAAGAAAACATGTAGAAACTCCAATAGATAATAGTGATATTTATTATCTTTCTCAAATTTCTCAATATATTGAGATGCCTTCCAGATTACATACCCCAACTCTGAGGACGAATCAAGAAGAAAAGTATTTAGAAGCAAGTTACAAGTTAAAAACTGAAGTTGAGAATAATGACAGATTTGTAAATGCTCCTCTCTTAAATTATAGAAGAAAGGTTGCAGAAAATGTTAAAAAACTGAGAACAACAACCTTTAGCGAATATCCTAAAGTAATCAAACTTGCCCTTAAGACATCAATTGCTAGTAGTTACAGACGTGACCATTTAGTTGGATTAGGAACTCATTATGGCACCACAATATTAGAGGTAACCAATAGACGTAAATTAGAGTATAGAATTTACCAACTCAGAAAGTTTTTGGGTTTTTGAGATTACAAATCGTCAACTCCATTCACTATAACTGCTTCTTTCTTGTGGAGGTCATAGATATGCTTCCACTCTGTGTATTGTTTAGTTCTCCTCAATCTAGAGAATGTATCATAAATGTTCAGAGCAAGCTCTGGTAGTAAAATATTGAGAATATCTTGTCTATTGAGAATGTACTCATCTGGTAAATTCTGTTGATCCATTTCAATACAGAATTGAAGATAGGCCTTCCTAGATCTAGCACTTATGTTGACCTCAAATTTGGCATAACTTTTGATGAAGGTGTGGAATATATCTTTCATTCCAGCAACTGATACCTGTTTAGAATAGTCAGCAATCATTAGTTTTTCAAAAAGGAGGTAATTTTCATAGGAGCTTTCATTAATAGAGTACTCTTTGAAAAGCTCTCTTACATCCTTATTCGCAACTAAAATCCTTTCAATAGCCGTAATATCTTTCGATTCTGTACTGTTGTGCTTTGAATTGGAACCTCTTCTCCTTACGAAACCTCTTATTGAATAATAAATCTCAATAATCATTGCATTACCACCATAGAAGAAGAACATTACGAGCGCAATCGCTATTCTCACTGCCAAATTTACTGAAGTAGCCGATGATGAATTATTTGGTGTAATAATAATGAAAATAACCAGCAAGATCACAATGGCTAAGAAAACCATGAGGTCAATTCTGATATAAGCTGGATCATCAAAGAGTAAAAACTTTGCCAATCCTCCCTCCTTAATATTCTTCCTATTGATTATCATATCAATTGCAATGCACAATAGAGCAAAGAAACATCCAATCAGAGTAATAATGAAAATATACAAGGTGAATGAAATGAATATCTTGTAAGGATCCAATACAATGATAATTACAATTGGTATCAGCAAAATCACAGCAAATATCACTGAAAATAAGAGAACCAACACAACTCCAACTGTACTCGATGCAAGTCTCCTCAGCACCTGAGTATATCTTCCATTCAGTTTCCTGATGAGAACATATAAATTTCTCAAATAAATCCATCTCACAATACTGAGAGCATACACCAAACACATTATATTGAACACAAACAATGATGCCAATGAGCTAGCAGTCGCACAATTCACTCTAAACGGAGCTGTCCACAAATTGGTATAGAGAAATGCACAAGCTGGACATAAATACGGAATCAACAATCTTCTCTTCAGTGAAGGTCTCTTAAACATTCCAAATAGAAAGAAAACCACGTAAAATGAAACATAAACAAAGAACATGGTATAATTGGAGAAATCTAGTGGAGTAAAATCGGAATAACTCATACATGCACTTGTGGAACAGTCAGAACAGGTTGCATTCCACAGGATCATTTCAGATTGATGACTTTGTATGAATTCTGAAATATTCCTTTCGTATAATAATACTTGATTGACAATATTCCAATCAGGTGTTAATCGAATAGATCGAATTCTTTCAATTTTAGAAATATCCTCTGTTGAGAAATTCAGAAAATTTCTTCCTCTATCCAAAACTATCATGTCATGTAAATTCGAAACTTTACAATCATTCGAATATAAAATCAAATTCGTCCTCGTATCCACCTCCTTCTTTAAAATTGAAACTTTCTGATCTAATCCCCCAGAATCAACAATTAACTGCGAAGGAAATATTGGAAACATTACAAAATCCGAAATTTCATAACCCTCCTTTCGAATACTTTTCTTGGGCGAAATATAACGATTCCTTCTCACTGCAAATGTAAAAACACTAGAAGGTGCCAAAATTCCATCATAATTATCAAAGAAATGTCCAATAAAACAATCCGAATAGAAATAATCAACTTGTACAAGTGACATTTTGAAACTGGACGAAACTTCATTCCAAATCTGAGAACAAGGTTGCGAATTTTGACAAGCTATTCGAAGGTTTGTGTGATTTGCAATTCTATCATTTAGAATAAACAAGGAGAATGTATCAAATGCTCCAATAATTTTAGAATTATTTAAAAGATTCGAATAGAATATTGTACTGTTTTCTTGGCCGAAAGTAAAATATTTCATCAACACAGTGATTGTGATAATCGTCAGAAATGCGTCAAATTTGATGGGCCTAGTCGGTATTAGTATTAGATTCATTTTTTTTTTCTGTTGAAATCTGTCAGTGCTCAAGATTAGTGAAATCTCCTTTTGACATTTTGACGACAGGATAGTAAAAGGAAGCGAATTAACGATTGTGCTTTTTCAAGAAAGAATCTGGATAAGCAAGTTAGTCTGTAATAGAGAACATGTTTACAATACATATTCATTATTCGAAACTTGTTGTAAACTAAATATGTTTTTCTCAAACACAAATGTAACATTAAGGTTTCTAAACAAGATCACAAAGGAAATTCGAAGGCTAAATTCCCCTGTCTTTCGAATAAAAATATGCGGTTTGGTTGACCACTTCACATTTAGTAATTTTTCTGAGCTACATATTTGGAAATTTTATTGCATATTCGAAATATTGGTTCGGCTTTTCAATTTTTAAAAAAACTTCTTTTGAAAAAAACTGTCGCAAACTTGCAACTGAAATTCGTCCAGTTTCGAATTGGACTTTTTTTACACATTTTGAAAACAAACTAATCTTAGTTTGTAGAACTTATTCGCATTTAGAAACTAGTTCCAGAAGTTGATAAAAAGAAGTCAACCACATCGTATCTGTGATATTCGAAACCTGTCAATTCAATTAGCAATACAAAAAAAAAATCTAATTAGTCCACCATCAACGACAATTGACACTTCATCATCTGGATAACCCAACATACTAATATTATTACTTTATACAAATTTTGTTACTACTCCATCCAAGTTTCGAATAACGTTTTTCAAAAAGAATGGGTTTCTTCTCCAATTTATTTCATCATCACAATAAGAATGATCCTAAACACCAATCCGTTTCCGTTTCTTCCACTGCTCCTTCACTAACCTCTCCACACACAATAGACGAAACCTCCCATGCCGACCAAGCTCTCGATCAATCCTTTCGTTCAACTGTCAGTTCAACTCACATCAATTCCAATACCTCATCCAGTCGTTTATCCATCGACTCAATGGCTTCCTCCTTCTCCAATGCCACACAATACAACTCAACTCATAAACATTCAATGAGTAATCCATTTCATTTCCTTCACACTCACACTTCACATCATAATCCACAGAGAATGAGTGTTCGTGATTTTGCTCGACAATATTTGGAAGTTTTGGAGAGTGAAAAGAGGAGAGAATTGTTGAAGAGTGTTTCAATGATACAGACAAACTATTCGAATGGTGGTTGTGTGAGTGCGAATCAGTCGTTGCATGCAATTGTTGGTGGTGCTGCTGCTGCTACAGTAGTGGGTGATAATGTGAATTCGAATAATGAGAATTTGGTGAGTGAGGAGGCAACTGTTTCGAATGGAATTGCAGAGGTGAATACAGAGTCAACGACACTGGTGACAGCTGTTGATAATTCAAACACTTCCAATGAGGATGTTGCAGTTAGTAATGAAAATAATCGTCTCAGTATTGAAAATTCACAACTTATCAGAAATATCAAGAAACAACATGTAAATAATGAGGAGAAACAAACTTTTAAAAAGTTTATTATTGAAAATGAAAAGTATATTCAAACACTCGATGAAATTTATCAAGTTTGCATTTATGGACAAGTTGAAAGATTGAAGGAACTTGTCTCTGCACATAGTGAAAAATCCGGAAGAAAATTTTCACTCACAATGGCAAGTTTGAGAATGACTGGTTCTGTAATTGATATGAGTGGTGATGCAGAACATAAGAATGTAAAGAAACAATCGTGGAGTCATTGTACTCTGGTTCACTTGGCTGCACGTTTCAATCAGGTCGATGTTTTAGACATGCTCTTGAAAGAATTTACCAATGAAGATAATCTTTCAGATGTGCTGAATTGTGAGGATGATATTCATGCAACTCCATTGTTCCATGCTGTGACTGCTGGAGCCATTGAGGCAACTACATTTTTATGCAGTTTCACTCAACAAATCAAAATTAATGTAAAGGACATGTTTGAATGCAGTCCACTTTGGTATGCTCTCAATAGAAAAGACTTTGAAATGGCCAATATTTTATTGACATTTGGTGCTGACATGTTCTTTAAAATTCATGGTGGAGAATCCTATCTCCATAGAGCTTGTGACAATAATGATATTGCCATGGTTAAGTATATTCTTCTAGGTATTGGAGTGGACGATGAGATTGATTTGACCAATCAAAAGACTTTACAAATATTCGAGGAGAGACAGAACTTATTTTTGAGAAGTGATCAAAGACATCAAACACCTCTCTTCAATTCTATCAAATCCTATCAGGATAATATGAAGAAACGTAAATCTGATACTCTTCCATCTCCAAATGAAGCTCCAAATCCACAAAAGGAACAAGTGATGGACTTTTTATTAAGCTTTTTCAATGAACATGCCCCAGTGTTATTGCAGAAAGCTTTAGATCAAACGAATCACTATGGACACAATGTATTCCACTTCTGCGCTGAGCAAGATGCATTCCAGCAATTGCTCAAATTAATCAAATATTTTGAAACTGATGAAAAGCTCAAGTTTGCCCTAAATCTCAAAGACAAAATTCTAGGTAACACCCCACTCCATATTTCTATAATGACAAGTCATTATGATATTTTTAAACTATTTATTAATTGTAGTGAAGTTGAGTTGAATATTCCAAACCAACAACTAGATTTACCACTCCATGTAGCCCTAAGACAACACAAGTTGAGAATGTGTCAATATCTCTATATTCACTATAGTCAACAAGATTTAGAAGTTAAGAATGCTCAAAGATACTCCTCACTGAAATTGGCCAAGAGATTGGACATTAACATGAAAAAGCTTGCAGAGGGTTCAACAGAAGAATTTGAAAAGAAGAAGATCGTCAAGAACACTTCTGAAAAGAAATGGTGGCACATTTTCAAGATTCACAAGCAAAACAATCAACAAGATTCCAGAAAGAGCATGGTTGAAAAGGGCCATACAACACCTCTCGAAGAAATTTCTCAAAATGAAAGCGAGTTCACCTCATCAACTGATGCCTCTTCCTCTGATTTATCGGCTCAAAGAACAACCTTCCCTCTGGTTATTTGGACTAAGGAGCTGACATTGGGAGTTGATATTATTGACACTCAACACCATGCCCTTGTTGACATTATCAACAAGTTGATCAAATTATTGTTTGGAGAAGATAATGCTTTTATTCCTGACAGATCAGCAGATGAATGGATTCTGGGTTATATAATTGGCAATCTACTCGAATACACTGAATTCCATTTTGAAACCGAGGAGAAAATTATGTCCAAATATCAGAAAATACTTCCAGATGGTTATTTAGATGAACATCATCAAGAACATGTCGAATTCACATCGAAAATTCACAAATTGCATCAAGAATACCTTGAAAGTCACTCCACTCTATCCTTCCTCAATGTGGATTTGTTGAATTATTTACTGAACTGGCTAGTTACTCACATCATGGGAAGTGATCATATTTTGGTTTCTCATCTTAACAAGGGTATGAAGGAGGGCCAAAAAATCGAATTGTAAATAAAAATTTAATCCAAACTGTATCAATAATTTTAGAAATAATCTATTAATTATTTATCTTATGTTTTTCCACACATTTCAATTAAAATAATATTTTGTACAATTAATCCTTCTTTGATTTCTTTCCAGACTCTGTTTGTTTGGCATCCTTCTTTTCCTTCTTTTGTTTTGGTTCTGTAGTGGAAGGTGAAGCTGGCTTAGCAACTGGTTTTTTAGATGGAGTAGACCACCAAGCACTGACAGCATCAGCAGCGTCCAAAATAAGTGGGAATGTAACAAACACTACCATAATGATATAAACTGAATTATAAGCAATGAGATATAAAACAGTAGATTTGGCTCCCTCATCTCCAACAACACTTTCCAAATAATAATAACTCAAAGCATAGAAAACAGAGCAAACAAATGGCATTTTCAATCTCCAAGATGGATTTGCCAAAAAGGTACTAATTCCATAATCTGCCTTTTTAAGAACCAAATGAGCTTCAATAACATTCATTATTAAACTTCCACCAACAGCACTAAGATAACCCAAAAGGGCAGGGAAAAAGATGGTAGAAGAATGATTTTCACTTCTAGCCAACTTTAAAAAGAACAAAGTGCTAGCACACAATGCACAAGCACGTCTAAATTCGTTTGGCAAAGTCAAAACATATTTGAGAATTGGATGAGCGAACCAGGAAGAGAAGCTTTCCTTTGCTCCCTTTGAACGGAAGAGAATATAGGAACAGACAGACCATACCCCCAATCCACACCACAACCTAAAATCATTAAAGATGAAAGGAGCTGGTTTTCCGACGAGAATTCTAGAAATAGTTCCACCTCCTTCTCCCATCACAATAATATATACCATAGCCATGACGATATTCATCTTGGTTGAATCATATCCAGCAGCAGCATAATATCTCTTAATGATGAGCAAGTGCTTGAGAACATACAATACCTGAAACAAGGTAATTGCGATCCAAACATTTTCGAACAATCGGAACGAGTTGAGATCAAACTCTTGTATGAGAGAAAGAACAACTTTGGACATTTTTAATTTATTAATTTTAATAACAATAATAATTTTAATGATGTGACGAGGGAGTGTAAAATTTATGATGACCTTTTTTATCTTCTCTCGTTTTAGTAAAATTAAATCGATATGGCTTAGTGAGATGCATCGATAGTAGATAGCAAATTATATCATTAGAGTTGGGTGGAAGAAATTTATTGGAATTGAATATGGAGAGTCATCATTGTGTTGATTAGAACGGAGCTCACAATTAATTGAAGACCTTGGGTCGTCAAATTGTCTTATCAACTTCTTCAAATTACCTTTCTAATTGGCTCTTCTCCAAGTTTCTCATTATTGCCTCAATAATGAATTGTCAGATTTGTCATCTTTGTGGCTTCTTTAAAAATGTAGTATTATCGTCAAGAAGTATGAAAATCAAGTTTAAACTTGTGACCAATTTTTGCTTCTGAAGAGTCAATAGTCATGGCATTGGTGTATCGACATTATGATTTTGGCTACAGTTGTGCTGTATTGGTAGAACGGCAAATGAAACTCTTGGTTTTTGCTTCTTTCTTTGCTGATCCATGTTGTTAACCTCCTTCCGATGATGGTTGCACCATGATTTTACCATGATTTTGGGTAAGTGAGAAGAAGGATAGGAGTTTCAATGAACTTGAAAGAGAAATTACCAGATTGAATGAAATTACATGACGAATTTGTTTGGTGTTGTTGTGTGGGCTTTGTATTGTTGGATGAGGTTTTTTTTACTGCGTTCAACCTCCAAAACATTTCATTGTAAAATTCTAGTCACCCGTTAATGATAGAAAATTTGTTGAAAAAAAAAATCGCAAGGTGAGTAACCTCATAACGTTATAGTTTTTTCTTACAATTATTATCAGAATTCAAAATGCCACACAGCTTCGGTTATAGAGCCAGAACCAGACACACCTTCGCCAGAGGTTTCAGAGCCCACGGTATTCTCTCATCAAAGTTCTTCTTGACCAACTTCAAGCTTGGTGATTTCGTTACCGTCAAGGTTAACAGTAACGAACACAAGGGTATGCCACACAGAATTTACCACGGTAAGACTGGTAGAGTCTGGAACGTTACCCCAAGAGCTGTTGGTGTTGAAATCACTAAGCAAGTCAGAGGTAGAATCATCAACAAGAGATTCCACGTCAGAATTGAACACGTCGTGAAGAGCAAGTGTAGACAAGACTTCTTGGAAAGATGTAAGCTTAACAACAAGATTGCTCTTGAAAATAAGGATAAGCCAGTTGAACAAAGAAAGAAGTTCGTCAAGAGACTCCCAGCTCAACCAAGACCATCTTTCACTTTGAAGGTTGAAAATGTTGTTGATGTCATTCCACCAGAATTCGTTGAAACTGCTTAAATTTCATAATAAATTAATCATAAAAATTCAAAAACATTTAATTTTCTATTAAATATCATCATTAAATTTTCATACTTGCCGTATTTTCATTCAACGTTTTCCATCATGTGATTAGATAAATTTTTGTTTGATGCCTCTTGCTTGCAATCCATCAAATTACCAATTTTTAACGGTTGCAATGTTCAAATATTACTTGTACAGTTTGAAAAAAATAACGAATCACCACATAGCAATCCCTTTCGCTTGATCATCAAGTTGTACAAGCAAAAGATTTAAAAATGCAAGAATCCATTATGAGTGCTGAGACTCTAGAAGAGGGTGATGCTAACGCTTTAAATTTAATAAATAGTTTAGTAACTGCGGAAGAGGAACAACAACTTCAACATCATCATGCTCACCACCAACATCATGATTTTACAGAACTGACAGATAATCATTTTCTTGGTGACCATCATTCTGCTACCACTCCAACCCTTTCCGATTCTAAAATTCATCATGACAATGAGATACATTCCGTTACGGATGAAGAACATTTATTCAATTTTAATTTAGGTAGTGGAACAACTCCAACTAATCAACCACACCGAGATGACGATTCATCCTCTCATCATCTTGTTGGTAATTTTGATTCAACAACCTCTACTCCAATAGTACAAACAAACACAGGTCAGCCTTTGGATGATAGGGATCGATTATTAAAACGAATTAATGAATTAGAAGAACAAGTAAGAGCTTTGATAGAAGACAACAAACAAAAGACTGATGCATTTAATGTTATCACACAACATAATATTGATTTATCATATCAATTACAAATTATTCAATATTACCATCCCGAATTAATATCAGCAATTCCTCCACCAAGTGCTGCTAATCCAACACCAAATTCTCCTCTCATGTTATCACCAAATAATCACCACCAGCAACATATTGCAACTACATCACCATTCTTTTCAAATCCAACAGGTATTACGCCATCTTCTCACTTTTCAACTTCTCCAGGCGTATTATCAAATATTACATCACCAATGACCTCTCCTTCTGCTAATACTCCCAACATGTCAAATAATATTAATGGAATTTCACCAAATCTTCAACCTTCATTGGTTCCAAATAATCCAGCAGGTTATTACCCACTTCATCATCCACATTTAATGCAACCAACTCCTCTCATTCCACAACAACCAAAGAATGGAACAAAAAAGAAGAAGAAAAAAGGAGAATCACCTGCAGTTAATTCTTCATCATTTCAATCACCAATTTCCTCTGTAACATCTCCAACTTCCTCTGTACCATTAAATAAGAAACAGACTAAAAAGAAGAGAAAACATGAAAGTGATGGAGAGGAAACTTCCGAGTCTGAAGATGAAACACCTGAAAATGCCACTTCTACCCCTTCAAACCTTCCACCTGTTAATACTCATTTACCACCACCACCTTCATCAAATCTTCCACCAAAACCTAAAGTAACACTTCCACCTCAACCATCTAAGCATTTGCCAAAGCTTCCACCAAGATCTCTACTTCCTGGTATGGATCCTTTTGCTATGCACGCTACAACACCTTTTCCATTTCCACCTCCTTCTGGTTTACCTCATCCACCATTGGGAATGAGTGAACATCCTTTAATGATGGATCCATCACTTCTTCAACATCATATGGCTCATCATTCTTCAGAAGCTCCTTCTCCAGGTGCCTTCTCACCAATGGGAACAACAGCTGAAACTCCAGGTGCATCAAATCAACGAAGAAGAAGTAAAAAGGGTGAAGGAATTGAGAATAGTGATAGTAGTGAGACATTAAATCCATCCAATGCTGAATTAGAAATTAGAAAATTATTTGGAAAAGTTAACAATGGAGGAAAACGAGGTATTTTAGCTGTTCATGCAGGTGATGGTTTGGAAGCTGTTAAAGAAATTATCAGACAAACTCTGGATCAGGTAGAATTACTAAAGAATCGATCTGTTACAGAGTATAATTCTAGGAAAGAAAACAATGCTATGAATTGCATTAACAAGGCTTTGGATTTATTACACCAAGCAACACGTGGAATAGTTGGAGGTTTATTACAATTATTAGAGTCGAGTATTTCTCAACTTTTAGATGGTACAAGAGATAATTGGGGTTTAGAAATAGCTAAAATGATGGAAAAGAGTTGGTTAGATTTATTCTCAGTTATATTTGTAGAATCTGAAATCACCAGCTATACACAATTAGGTACTCTTGTTGATCCTATACAAATGCAAAGTTGTCTTGAAGAACTTCAATCATTTGGAAAATCTCTTTCTTACTTTAAATTTGACCATCTGACTAGAGTGTTCAATATCATGTTTGGTTACATGAAGAAGAATAACTCTGTAGAGTGGTATCTGGGCTTTTGTTTACAAATCAGATATTACAAAGAGTATTGTGCCAAAATGATTGAACTTTATCACTATGAAGATTGTTTTAACAATATTGTAAATAATATTCTCACAGGAAATGCTCACTCTGAAAGAACAGGAGATTATAAGGATGAAGATAAGACATATCTTGTCGAGTATGCTGTTTTATGTCTCACTAAAATTTATGATCAATCTGTAGAAATTGTCAGACAAGAATATATTGATAACCACATTGAAGATAGTATGCCAATCAACTTGTCAAATACTCAATATTCAGAAATGTTGGAAAAGATAATGGGTAGCTGTGTAAATATTCAAAATATTGTTTTATACCCAAGAGAATTAGTCCCTCTACTCAAATTTTTGTTAAAGGTTTTCCCAAGTGATGAAGCTTTTATAGATGGAGGAGGTTTGGGAGAAACAAGACAAGATATTAGACATTTAACATTTATTGCAGATCTTTTATTTATTATGAGTAGATTTATTGTTGAATTAGATGAATATAACGAAACCATTGATTCTGTCAAAGCAGTAGGAAGAAAGATTGTACTAGAATGTACAGACAACCTCCTTCAAAAGCTGATTAAGATTAGATTTGAAGGTGCTGCAACACATTTGAAGGAAATTTTGGAAACAAATGACCTTTTCAAGATGAGTATTGCTCAAATTTGTGAGAAGGCTGTTTGGATACCAATTCATCAAGAGGAGAAGGATTATAACTGGAAGTCTCTCCATGACTATAATGAAACTCTGCAGATCAAACAAGATGAAGCTGCTGTTACTGTTAGAGGAAAACTTTTGGAACATTTGAAAATACTATTACCTGGTGCATCTCAATATTTATCAGTAATGATTGATTGTATTAATTATGCACTTGGTTGTAAAATTGAAAACAGAAGTAATACCAGTTATGAACAATTTTTCAATGTCATGAAGAGAATTGGCGTTCACTATTTACAAAGTCATAGAGAAGCCCAATGGGAAGAACTACTTGCAAAGATTTACTTTATTCACTCTAGGAAAGTTAAACTGAAGAAAATGTTAAAACAATGGAATACAGAATTTAAGGGCAAGATGGAAACCAATGTCAACTGGTATGATCAATTATTAGGAGAGAATTATGTAGAGACAGAACCTCTTGTTTTGCTACCAAAAGTTGAAGAAAAACCTCCAGTTCCAATATCTGCTCTGCAGCCACAACCTGTCCTTAATCCAGCCACCACAATCACTTCAAATACACCAGTCACAAGCACTACCAACGCAGTCACACCTACAACAATTACTCCAGTGACTTCTACCACTTCCTCAACACCCTCCTCTGGTGGTCTAACCACACAAACCCTTAAAAGAAGAAAAACTAAACTGGTCAAAGTAGAGGAAGTTTCCTCAAATGGAAACAATTCATCTTATCCAAACTCTACAAACGCCTCAACTACCACCACAACTACAGCAGCAGAGGATGATATGGAAGAGGACGAATAAATGCTTTGCCACTTATTGAGAGATATAACATGGAGAGAAAATCTTGTGAACAGTTTGATTCTGTCTCTGTAAGGAAGTCGATTAAGGGATATTAAGGGATCACTTCCTTTAAAAAAAATTGTACATGACCAATGATAACAAGAAGCACCACAACTACCGACAGGCACGGTCATCACTTCTCCTCACCACCGCACTCATTGTTGTTGTCATCTGGATCATGTCCTCCTCGACCCTTACTACAAAAACAACAGTACTGTTCAAATGTAATAATAAGATTAATAATGGCGGTTGGGTTCCTAGTGTTGTTAACAACAATATCTTGCCAAATTCAGTCCGATGATTTTATATCTACTGCTCCATTAGAAATACCAAACCTTCTGCCTTCCACTTCATCATTTGTAACATATGTGTATTTGATAGATGAGGAGTTATATAAGGAGTGTACCAATATTACCACATCAACAGGTTTGTAATTTAAAGATCAATTATCCTTAGTCTTTTTTCATAGTTAAAAGGTTTTCGTGTCCGAGTATTTACAAATCCATTATGCATTTGAATAAGGAAGTAGGTGGTGAAATTATGATGAGAGATATAAAGTTAGTTCTCAAAATTGGACGAGTAACAAGTTGTGAGGTTGCTCCTCTCATGGTTCAGACTTTCATTACAATAATTATTGAAAATTTAGAAGAGGATTCATACGGAACAATATCATGTTCTTCGAGTAGAAATCCATCATCTATTATTCCTGATGAAACTCTCCTCCAATTCGTCATTTTGAAAAACATGAGGATGGAATATGTGGAAATTGGACTATCCTTTCCATCAGAGGTTAGAATACGTCATTGTTACTTTATTAATTCAAAAATAAGTATTAGGAAGGATGAAAGAATGATGTTTTATGATACTCTTAAAGTGGAAATAAGTGGAGTAACTTCTCTGCAGAGTTATTTCACATTTTTTAAAGTGGACAAACTTCATTTGAGTAATGTTGCTATTGTTAAAGGAAAAACAGATACATTTTCTGTTACCAAAAATGGATGGGATTTCAAAGGAGTTAAGGATGTTCTTCTTGAGGATTGTGTAATTAAGGATGTATTGAGAGTTTTGGAGGGAACAAATACAAATATTACAACTTCATCATTTGAGGGAGACTCATCACTCTATATTTCTCAATCTGACAATCTATTTATTTCCCAAACATTATTCTCTGATTCTATATTAGAATCCTTACCAATGTTAATTATTACTTTTGTGAAGGTGGTTGACATTTCTGATTGTACTGTTGAAAGATTAGGTTCTCAATGGCTTTATGTCTCTTCAACAGTTGATATAATTTTGATGCGTTTAATTGTTAATGATTGCAAATTGAAGGGCAATTTAGTCTATCTCACTTCTACAAACAAGGTTTTTATTAAGAACTCTCTTTTTAAAGACATTACTGGAACTGTGGTTAATATGGCAAATATTGTAACTTTGGAGTTGAAAAATTCGACTTTCCATTCGTGCCATAGTAGAATACACGAATCGATTGTGATACTGAACACTAATGAAGTATTTTCAGCTAGTGCAACTAATGAAAAATCGATTATTTGGGGATCAAGATTTATCAAGTGTTCAGGGTCCAGGGGAGGAGCAATCTTCTTGAGTTCTTTTTATAAGGTTGATATTAACAGGTGTGAATTCATAGCAAATAGTGCACCAAGTGGGAGTGCAATATACTCGGATAGTAGAAGGGGAATGATTTATACAGCTACAGGGCTGGAACCTACCATCTCCATCTTTCATTCACTATTTCAAGAGAATGGAGACCCAACTTTTGGGTCAACATCCTCTGGAGGAGCCATTCACGTTAAGGGAAGCATATATATTGAACAATGTACATTTATTGCCAATTATGCTGTTAAGGGTGGTGTAATTTATATTGACAAATCAGATTCCACCTTTTACTTTAGTCAATACGAACAAAAGTTAGCAGTATTGGTTGCTAGAAGTGAATTTCAGAATAACACAGCAAATTTTGGAGAAATTTCCTTCACTGAACTACCTGATCCATCACTAATCTATTTCAAAACCAATATTGTTGTATTTAATCCAACTTCTCTGGGATCACCTTGTACCAAGCTAATTATTGATAATACGCAATCTGAACGAGGAAATGTTTACAATGGAACATTAATGGTTTACATGGGAGAGAATGTGAATATAAACATGATTGCTTCTAATTTATACGGATACATATTCCCAAAACCATACACAATTATTGGAATTAGGACTCCTGGATCTTCCAAGATATTTGTCAAAACATTAGATGATGAAGATCATGTTGAAAATCAAACATTTAACAAATCCTTCTCACTCTATTCACATTATGAAATTTCCTCTCATGAAGATTTGGAGATTTTCATTTCTTATGATAAGGTTCATATATCACTCAACTTGATTGTAACACCTTGTCCATTATTCTACAAGTGGGAATCTCCTGTTTGTGTTAATATTTTCTACTTGATTCCAACTGTTGCTTCAGTCACTTTGTTGACGATAGTTATTGGACTTGTAGCAATTGTTGCTTGTTGTATTGCAAGAAACAAGACAAAGAGATGGAATAGTCGAAAGAAGGCAGAAAGAATAATGGAACAAGCTCTACTTGATAAAAGAGTTATCTTTGAGGAAGATGAAGAGTCTAGCTCATGTAATTTGAATCGACCTTTCATAATCTCAGCAGAAGATATTGTAATTGTAAAGAAAATTGGTGAGGGAGGTGCTGCTAATGTTTTCCTTGCTAAATGGAAAGGTCAAGAAGTTGCCATTAAAACTCTTAAAGAATGTTTCAGAGGAGACAATGAGGTTTTGGAAACAGAAGCTGCCTTGATTAGTAGTTTCCTTCATCCGAATGTGATTAGATTTTGGGGATTTTGTGCCTCATCCTCTCAGAAATACATGGTCATGGAGTATATGAAAGGAGGAAGTTTGGAGAATCTGATTCAGAGTTGTAAAATTGGAAAGGAAAAGTTGTCCCTCTATGAAAAGCTTCAAATTCTGATTGGGGTAGCTAAAGGAATGGCTTATCTGCATGGCTTGAAACCATGTTGTGTTCACCGTGACTTGAAACCTGGAAATATTCTGTTGGATGAAAATCGAATCAGTAAGGTTGGAGATTTTGGTTTATCCAGACTCATTTCAAATACCTATCAGACCAGTTTTACAACGAATGTGGGTACTTTATTCTATATGGCACCAGAAAACTTTTCTGATAATACCTTCTCTGAAGATTCATTGGGAATGTCTGGTTTTTCACACACAACCTACCAAACTACAAATATGACCAACAATACTCATCATTCCATCCAATCATACTATTCAGAGACAGAGTCAGCAGTAGATCAATCGGCAACTATACAAGAATCAGAGACCTCTGAGAAGAAACTATTGAATGCTTCAAAGGTTGATGTTTACAGTTATGCAGTGATTATGTGGTCACTCTTCTTTGAGGAAAGTCCTTATGGAAACTACAATACTAAGAAGATGAACTTTTTTGGAGATAGTAATGATAACTTTACTAATTGTTACACTGTTTTACCATTGATTCTTCAAGGTAAGAGACCTACAGTACCATTTAATTCTGTTGAGAAGATGAAGAGATGGCTTGATGTGTTTGTACTCCCAAAAGAATTAGGAAAGGACAGAGAACATTTATCTAAAATTGTTTTTAGATATCTCAACATGATGAAGCTGTGTTGGCATCCACAGCCAGAAGAGCGTCCACCATTTGATCAAATAGTTCCAGAACTGGAAGATTTAGCTGAGCAACTCCAATACAATAATTGACAACTCAATTGAAATTCCTCCACATTCTCTCCAAGGATCGTTTTTCAATAGCATACGGAACTTCAAGAACTCCTCTCAAAATCTTTAAAATATCAAGACCCATACTGTAATGAACATAAGTTAACAATAAACTATTGATATTGCACAACTTACAATATTCCAATAATTCCTGCAATTTGGCCTAAAAGACCTTCCATCGTTGAAGTAACCATTTCAGTAATTACATTAACATTCAATGTTGAATAAGCAACTGAAATTACCACTTCATCTCCATCGAATTGAGTTAATTCCACGATGGATAACTGAGGATGCCATCTCACTGAATTAATTCCTCCTTCGGTATTTGGTTTTAGTCTATTTGTGATAACCTTTGTCAAGATGAAATAATTGTCCACTCCAGAAATTGCATAATTGGTCTCTGCAAATACATTAGGTACTGTTCCAGTTTCGTGAAAAGAAACTTGCAAACCAAATCTTGAATCTCTATTTTCAGGAACAAAAGGGACATGAAAATAGAATGAAATAGTTCCTGCATATCCAATATCAGTAGCTTAAATTGTGAATGAGATTTTTCCTTGCTCGTTAATCACTTACCATTCAAAAGTGATTGGCTCACATTATTGAATACATAACAATTGAACAATTGACCATTCTGAAAAAGCACAACTCTATCATAATGAGGATCCAAATTTTCCACAATTCCCAATGTAGAATTCACTTTCGTTGCAAACTTTAACGTTAAATTACAATAATCACAATCCAACATTGCATTCCAGTTACAAACAGTAATAGCTGGAAACGGTAAAGGAACTGACTCGATAAATGTTGTGGCTGTTGTTGGATTACTAATACTCTGCACAAATTGTTCGGAAGAGTCAACAATATACCATATACACATTGCTGTTGCTATGAACCACCCAATGCATGTTATTGCTCTGCTCACCTTAGTGTACATCCATGTTTTCTTCTTCTTTTTCCTCCGTTCTTGAAGTGTTTGCTGTATTTGCTGAATTTGCCTCACTTGTTCCATTCTGATTTCGGAATCCTGCACTCCATCATCACACACAGGACCTACTTGAACCTGAATCCCAGACAACGTCTCGAACGTTGTAGAATTGGAACATTTCTCCTCCTCATTGTTTGTTGCCATTTTTTTTATTAAGGTTTTTGCATTTCCTTTAGCAGCTTTTTTAGTAGGTTTGGAAAGTTCATTGTCGGAATTGGTTATTGATTCAATAGTGATTGCAAGATGCTATTTTCTTATATTTGACTTGAAAGATTTGGTTGATATCTATTTCAATATTTGAGATGGTTAATTAAAGTTATCCCAAACTCTTCGTATTGACCGATGTTTCACAGAATAGGGAATTACAAGAATTCCTCTTAGAAATTTCAATACATCCAATCCCATACTATCAACAAGCAAAAATTACAAAGCCAACTCTTAATAATAAACTTACAAAATTCCAACCATGCCAGCAATTTGCCCTAACAACCTTCAACGAAGTTGTGTAAATTTCTGAAATTTGTCTCAAATTCATAGAAGCATAAGCTACCGAAATAACAATGATATCATCATGTGTATCGGTGAGTTCTATAAAGGACAATACTGATTCCCAACGAACCGAATGTAAGCCATCTTCTTTCGTTGGTTTCAATCTTGTGGTTAACACTTTTGTAACAGAAAAGAAATTGTCTACATTTGGAATGGCAAAGTTTGTCTCTGAAAAAACATTTGGCACAGTTCCAATCTCATGAAATGAAATTTGCAGACCGAATCTTCCATCCAAACTCTGGGGCACGAGAGGGAGCTTAAAGTAGAATGTTAAAGTTCCAGAATATCCAACATCCTTTGCTGTTTCGAATGAGAATTATCCGCATAAATTCAAATACGAACCTTCAACAGGATTCATCGACCTATTATTAAATACTAAACATTGAAATGGCTGTTCGTGCTGAACTACCACCTTACTATCATATTCCATTGTGTAATTCTCCACAAAACCAGTTTCACTATTCACTCTCGTCAAGTGTTCCAAAGAAAGGGAGCAAAACTCACAATCATGCAAAGCATTCCAATTACAAACAGTCATTGCAGGATAATATAAAGGAACCGAATCAACATAGGATGTTGCTGTGGTCGGATTTTCAAGTGCCGAGATGAAATTCGTTATTATATGAATAGGCAATATAAAATCCACAAACTCCCATCGCCACAATCCATCCAGCCATTGTGATTAATTCTCCAAAGTGAGGCAATCTGATACTCCAGTTTTTCCTTAATTGTGTCCATTTACTTTTATTAAGGGTGCCCTGCAAATTGGTATTATTTCCTATTGTCTGATGATTAAGTTGATGATGATGATTATTATTGAATAATTTTCGTGATGATGAAGATGACGACCATGATGATGATGATTGATGATGTGATGAGGTGCCTTCTTTGGCGACCTTCCAACCTCTATATAAACACTATCTGAACTGAGAATCGACTTGTCTCTTCTTGGAAACGAAGTGTGCATTTTTTTGAGTGTTGTTAAGGGAAGTTTGAATACGGATTTGGAGTTCCATAGCCATAACTGAAACATTGTTGTAGAAAGAAAATTCATTTCTTGGGTTATGATATATTGGTGAAGATGAATTGGAGGGTTGCTGCTTATTCCAGATGTCTACAACCAGCACACTATGGAAAGAATATAAAAGAATAATTTTTTAAATATGCGAAGCTCATATAGCTCAGTGGTAGAGCATTTGTCTTATGAGAACTTAAGGTTAGCAGATGGCCGAGGGTTCGACCCCCTCTATGAGCAGTTCAAATTTTTTGCTTTTTAGTAGTGTTAAAGATTTATTAGAAGATTTCAATTCCAATTAATTAGCTCCAATCTTTTGTAGAGAATAAGAAATCTTTACGAGGTTGTTTTTGAGAATACTTTCTCTTGACTACCATGGAATGCGAATCTCTTTGATTCCACTTCATACTGGTAACCTGAATATTGTCCAACTTGTTTTTAAGTGGTTTGTCAGATACGTGGTGTAAATAGGGTTCGTCCTGGCCAAATGACTTTCCAGATGAAGATCTGCCAGAAGAGCTCCAAGGAGACAATTGTCCAAAACGAAAGCTTTGTAAAGAGATTAGGTTAGGTAATATAAAGCAAAAAATTTGAACTGCTCATAGAGGGGGTCGAACCCTCGGCCATCTGCTAACCTTAAGTTCTCATAAGACAAATGCTCTACCACTGAGCTATATGAGCTTCGCATATTTAAAAAATTATTCTTTTATATTCTTACCCATTCAACTTTTCTTGTCTCTTTATGGTTTGATGCTACATTTCAGAACCAACATTCATTCCTTTCTGGCCAGAATAAAAATTTAGAAAGATTATTTGATGAAATTGTTTACAAATTTAATGTAATCATCAATTTGTTCGTTTCAAAACAAAAAAAATGATCAATCGCGATAATGATGAAGATAAAGTTTCTTTCACCTTCTTTAATTTCACTCAATCCGAAGTCTGCAATCCTCTTTATGCTAAACTTCGTGAAAAACTTTCGTCCAACAAGAGCAAAACCTTCTCCATGCAATTTACTCCCCACAAAACGATTGGCTATCAAAGGCCTATAATTACCGAGGACGGAGATGTGGAAGAAGTTTCTAATGAAGAGAACAAGTTGAAACTTCATTATCCTTCCGATATTAAAATTGCTCGCCATCATGGTTGTCTTGTAATTGCTGATGATCATAATGATAGAATAGTATTTCTCAATTTGGATAATTATCAATTGAGGACTGAATTTATTTTGGAAGAGAATGTCACTGATTTTTGGATTGAGTCTGATAGTGCTGGAAATGAATATATTTATTTTGGAGATAATGGAATTACTTTTAAATTTAATATTGCCAAATTGGTTGAACATGCACAAGTCAAGTTGAAAGATATAGAGCCTATGTGGAAGATTTCTGAAAAACTGTCTGGATCTATAATGGTAATACATGATACAAGTAGAAAGGAAAAGGTAGTATTGAGATGGAACAATGATGCACAAGGATTAAATGCTCATAGAGATTGTGATGGTTCTCTATTGGCCAAATATCCAGTCTTGTCGTTGTGTGATTCTCCTGGACTGTTTGCCATTTCAAATTCAGAATTCATTGCTCTCAATCACGAATCTAATATGGTCTTTAAAATTACATTTACCGATGGCAAATGTGAAAACTCAGACATGTTTCAAGTACAAAATCATTGGAAACATCCACTTTCGGTTGCAAAAGAATTGAATCAACCTAGAATTTACATCTCAGATTATGGAAATAAGAGGATTGTTGTGTGGGACTTGTTGCAGGGGTGTGAAATTAAAATTCACCACGAGGAACATCTCCATCCATTTGGAATTTTCTATGACGATCAATCTGGACTACTCTATGTTGTCGATCAACAAGCTTCTATCATTCGAGTGTATCAGTAAATACTTTAAACCACAAGATATTGTAAACTAGAGTCTCTCCGCATTGTAATCGAAAGATTCGTAGTAGTATTTCACCGATTGTTCCACTATGTGATCATATGATTGGTGAAACAATTTGCGTGGATAAAAATGGAGGGTGAAATTTTTATGATTGTTGAAAAAAAAATGACAACAAACAATCGCACGAAAATTATTTATTGCACAACTTTGTTGGTCGTTGTGCTCTCGTTAATGATGACGGTTGGAGTGCAAGGAGCCGATGATTTATTTCTCGTTGTTCGTCCATCATCATCTTCCCCAATGAAGAGAAGTTTGGATTCATTTTACATGTTGCCAAAGGCTAAAATTAATCTTCTCGGAGGAGATGAAGTACATGCTCATGTACACTATGATGAGACAACTAACAAGACTGGGTGGGCCTTGTTGAGTCTTACAACAAATCCTGATGAAACAGATGCTGATCAAGCTTTTGCTGCTGGTTTTGTTGAAGGTATGTTGTTGGTAAAATGGAATTCATCAATATTCATGGAAATCATTTGAATGCACAGGTTATGTAACTGCCAATTTAATGGAAACCTATTGGCCTGGATTTAACAATGCAAGCTATACTCCAAGTTTGGATCCTCAACTCAATCAATTTTTGGATGACAATTTACGTTTCATGAGAAGAAAAATTGCTGAATCTAGAAATGGAAATACCAATGAAAAACTTTATTGGACTCATGTAGGTTTGGTTTTGGATCAAGTTGAAGGTCTCTATGCTGGCTATTTAAAAAAAATGGCTGAACAATTCAAAACACCAACATTGACACTTCTAGAAATGCTCAAATTCCAAGTAGCTGCTGACACTGATGACTTGTATTCCAAGTGGCAACCAACAAATTTTGACAATATGAGCAAGGAAGAAATTGAAAAATATACACTCCTTCACACAAGATGCACTGCATTCATCAAGTATAGTGAAGACAAGAAGAATCTTTTCCTTACTCATGCCACCTGGGCTCCTTATCAATACATGTTGAGAATTTACAAACATTACAGAATTAATTTTAAGGATACACCTGCCAAGTTGGTCAGCTTTTCTTCATCACCTGGATGGTTGGCTAGTGGTGATGATTTCTACATTACTAGTGCTGGACTTATTGTTACTGAAACAACAAACTCCATCTATAATCAAACATTGTACAATTATGTTACATCAGAAACTGTATTATATTGGATGAGAAATATTGTTGCAAACAGATTAGCCAACTCTGCCAAAGAATGGACTGAACTCTTTGCCAAATATAATAGGTATGTATTTTTAACAAAATGAATGTTAAATCCAGAACCACTATAGTGGCACTTATAACAATCAATGGATGATTATTGACACTAAGAAATTTGTACCAGGAGCTGATAAATCAGATCCAGAATTATTCTATATTTTGGAACAAATTCCAGGAGATTGTATGAGTGCTTCAATGAGTCACATTCTCGATGAAAGATATTGGCCATCATTCAATCTTCCTTACTTCTCATATATTTTTAATGTTAGTGGATATCCAGAAAAATTGAAAAAGTATGGAGACTTTTTCAGTTATGACAAGTGTCCTAGAGCTAAGATTTTCAAACGTGATGCACCTTCAGTCAATACCATTGAGGATGTCAAGAAATTGATCAGATATAATGACTATCAACATGATCCACTTTCATTAGGAGATGCATGCCATCAAATTGCATCCAGATGTGATTTGAATCCTGGAGGCTCAGCATTTGGTGCTATTGATGCTAAAGTTACTGACATTGCCTTTGCTAGAAGAAACTTTGCTTTTGCTCAATCTGGACCAACTCACGACCAAGAACCAGTATTCAAGTGGAATAATGTTAATAGCCCAGCTAATCCACATCCTGGACAACCTGTTGAATTTGATTTTAATTGGGTATCTATGGCTCCAATATATTAATTTTATAATATTGAGCTCAAGAGAGAACGATTTGAATTTCCCTTATATTATTAGTAATAAATTTAAAATATAAAAAAATGCAGAGACTTTAGGTACAAATTCTTGAAAAAATGAGTGAATTGAAAACCATCAAAGATCTGCGTTCCAATTTCACAGCCATCAAAAAGATTGTTCAGGATGGCGTTGCACAGGAACCTAATTCAAACACTTTAGGCACAATTATACGCTTGTTACAAAAGTATGAATATGATCCGAAAGAATTTTTTGGTACGGAGAAAGGCATTGATGAATATTCAATGTTGGAATTAAATATTTGTGATGACAGTAGTGAACAGAATATTTGTATGAAAACGATACTGTTGATTAATTCGTTTTGGTTATTGGAGGTGAAACTTGCTGCTAAGAATGCAAAAGAGTTTCGGCTATTTTTTAATTGCATTGAAAAGAAGGTTTTAACAAAGTTTTTTGATTGCCTGCAACGAATTTATAGAGAATCAAATGAAGGAGAGCTTAAAGAGTTCACAAGTGGAATGGAAAGTTTGGAGAAATGGCAACAGTTCATTTTACATTTGTACATGTGTATGAATAGTGACATTTATACTGGCGCTAATTCCCTAAATAATATAATGACATCACGTCCAACTATATTATTATCATTAGTGCTTTATCAACATTTTTCTGAAAAGAAGGAAAAATTCTTGAATGAGAATCCTGGAAAATCATTCAATTTGACAATAACTGAAAATTATCTCCTTTCTACTGCAATTCTTATTTCTGATGATTATGACCTCGACGAGATGAGTTCAGAATTAAAGCTTACCATGGACCACATTTCAAAAGTGTACATTGAATATTTATACAATTTGGTAGGGTTGACCTTTGAACAAGATACTCCAAATCTAGTATCGCTTGGTATTGTTTCTGTGGCCCAACTATCAATACGTAATTGTGATTTTGTTCAAAGATTAATCAAAGATGATTACAGAATTATACAAAATACAGAAAATTCAGTTATTATCACAGAAGATTTCATTAGTGAGAAAGTTCCAGACATCCAAAATAAGAAACGAAACCGTGGCGAAAGTGCTTTGGCGGTCAAAATTAAGCTGTTAACTCTAATTGATATTTTGCTAGATGCTGATTTTGAAGATTTCAATGAAAATCAAAAGGTAGAGTTTTGTCTGTACTTTAAAGAGTTGATTATTGAATCCCTTAATGATGAAATGATTAATGAGTCGGGAAGTTTAGTCGGTAAACAAGCTGTTGCCACAGCCATTAGATCTATCTCAGTTGTTACTTAGACTGAGGGTACTATAGATCTTTTATCAGACAATTTTAGGGAATACCTATTTAATATTTTGTTCTGGTGTAAGCGATTGCTATTTTCCAAAAATAGTACAATTAGAGCAAGAACTTTCCGTTCCCTTTCGGATTTTTTCACTAAAACTAGTTATTATTCTGACGATTTGATGGAGGCAATTATCAAATCACATGAATTGAATTTAGAGGAGGTACCAGATTATTTTGACATGTTGAGAGGAATTGCCAAAATTATGACAAACGTAAAAATTGGTGAATCTGTTGCGGAAAGCTTCAAATCCTTAATATTTACCTTATTTGAAAACATTTGTGTGGAAAATTTTTTGGTCAGTTTAAAAAAAACAAATGACGAAAGGAAGAAAATGCACTATATGAACATTGACAAATTCTTTCGTATGATAGAGGTTACGTATCTCATGATGGTAAATGATATTGACCTATTAGAAAGATTGCTTGTATTCATTGAAAAACAGACAGAGGTTATGAAGTGCACTTTATCAAGTGACCTTCTTCCATCATTTGCCTTGACCCTTAAAGAAATTATCAAATCAACTGATAGAAATACTCTATTGGAGGTGTTTGACCAGCTAGAATATTATCCATTCTTGGTCAATTTTATTTCATTTTACTTTGCTAATGGTGACGCAGATCCAAACTTTGAAATGAGTCCAATATTCACATTGTTGGGATGCTTTAGCGATTCCACGATACTGCACACCCATTTTTCCTTTGTTTCTGAGGTACTTGGCGAAGATCAAGATTATATCTATGATTTCTTATTGCCAATTATAATCCGTAATGCCATTCTACCAAAATCTGCTTTGGAAACTACTGACCCAGACCAAGCAATATTCTTTGTAGAAAAGATCAAAGAAGTTCATTATGCACTGAGCAGAATAGTGAGCAATGATATTTTAATTAATGGAGGAGTAATCTCTTCTATGATATTGCAACAAACTATTGGTCCAATAACTAGTAATGCAACACAACTCAAAGCATTCGATAATCTGGTTGAATCGGATTTACTAAACAAGTACATGGAGAACATGTTCTTTACCATGCTTGCTTGTGGAAAGGAGACACTGAAACAGTTCCCCCAACTTGCCAAAATTCTTTCCCATCTGTATGATACTACATATTCAAAGGAATTTCCTGATAGTGAGCAATTCTTATTTTCCTCCTTTTTGGAATTAATGGAATACGCAATTGATAATGAAGTTTTAAAAGTTGGATATAATGAATGTGAATGGATGGAAAATGCTGAAGTAAATATCATTCCCAAATGTAAATCATCTCTGAGATCTCAATGTAAAAGAGTCATTATGAAGATATTGATAGAACTTAAATACGAAGAAGATAGTGATTGATTCTTCTTTTCAAAAAACTATTTAGCAATCTTTTTCATATTAAATCGCTATTGCCTTTTTATGAGATATCAACAAGCAGTCTATTTATTACTTGATTTTGTAAAGTTTTTTCTTTTCCTATCATCTTTCTGCTCAAAAAAAATCCACTTTAACTCTTGTTAATTCCATTGGTGAGTAGTGTCGATAGATCTGTAAGCGTTTTGGCTCATTAACCTTTTCGTGAGTATCCCCGCCTTAGTTACAATCGCTTTTCCATCGAACCAGTAATCTCCAGTCTGCACTTGAAGAACCAAAGTCACGTTGATCTCAAAAAAAAATGTTTAGTAACTGCCATCATCATGATGATGCTGAACGTGTAGTAATTATATTGGACGATCATGACAAATTTATGGAACAATTATTGAATAGCAAATATAAACAAGAACGAAATTTATCATGCTACAAACAAATATTAAAATATTTAACTAATACGAGAGGTTTAATATTAAAGTATTATGAATTACCTGTTATATTACGAAGAGATCGGAGATTCATCACTGAAATTGCACAAACTTTTGAATTTTACCAACAATTACCTGAAGAATTTAAATCCGATAAACAAGTAATGCTAAATTGTTTTAAAAAGAAAGTATTTAATGGAAGTGATATTAAGAGTGGATATATTCCCTCTAATTTAATGAATGATAGGAAATTTATATTGGAATTAATTGAAGGAAATCCAACATGTCTCTATTTAGTACCGAAAGAAAGAGAATTCGTGTTGGCAGCAATGAAACACGATATTATATATTTGGGATTTCTCCCAGGAAGTGAAAAGAAGAATGAATCATACATGTGGGAATTGTTTTTGAAAAATTGGGAAAATTTAAGATTTGCAAGTGGTGAATTACTAAATAATCCATCATTTGCTATAAAAGTAAGAAAGCATGATACCAATACTTTCAACTATTATTGTGGACGGCCACATTTGGCGGTTCATGCAAGGGATAAATTTCGAAATAATAGAGAATATGTGCTTTTTGCTATTTTACATGGAAAAGCTGATTTTACAATGATAAAAAAGGTATTTCAAGCGGATTTGGAAATTAAAATGGCAAATAATATTAAAACTGATGCCTCCTTATGGAAATTAAAGGAAGAATGGGCAAATGACAAGGAAATGATTTTGAAATATGTCAAACATAATTCAAATATATTGAAATTTATTAATTTGGAATTACTACAGGATTATGAATTTAATATTAAATTAATTTACAAAAATATTGAAAGTATTCAATTTATTAATGAATGCAATACTAATTTTAAACAATTATTTACACAATCAGATAAAACTGAATTAATTTCTAGATATTTAAGCAACAAAAAATTTAACATTAATTCCAAAATTATAAATCCAACTAATATTAGAGCATTTGGTTCCAAAATTAATTATATACATTTTATAGAGGAATATTTAAATGAAAACGATTTAATTTATATAACAAGTAATATTGATGGACAAGCATGTTACGGTTTGTTAAACGTAATTTCCAATAAGAAAATTTTCAATGAATGCTTACAATTATGGAAAATAACAGTTAAAAAGCATTATTCATGTTATGAATTATTTAATATAAAATATACCAAACAAGATATTATTGAGATAATTTCATCCATGCATGAATCTCCTTTTCCATTCCTGGCACACATTGATAGAAATGTATTTAGCTCTGAGAGTGAAGTTCTTCTCATTGCAATTCAAACCCATTTCAAGTGCTTTGAATTGGCAAGTAAAGAACTGAAATCTGACTTGAATTTTATTAGAAAGTCAGTCAATTTAAATAGAAATATTATTAAAGTAATAGATTTGCAAATTGTACAAGATAATTTGGATTTATTGATTATTTATATAAATTATAAATTAAAAATCAATACCATGTATGGATATCAAAATAGCGCTCATGCATTAAATCCATTAATTAACATATTAGCAAAACATTTACAAAATGAGGATACAGTTTTACAATTAGTAGAAATACCCCAATTTGTAAATTTATTTTATGGCCATATAGATATTAATTTAAGATCAAGTGAGGAATTCTGTTTAAAAATATTAAAAACAGATTTGAATAATGCCACTAAAATTCCAAATTTAATTAAATATAGAAATTTCATAATTGAATTTCTAAAAGAGGGAAAATCCATTACATTCATTCCTAAAATATTCGAACAGGATGAGGAATTTTTACATTTATTTTTTAAAAACTGGAATCGTACGGAATACCTTCCAATATTACCAGCGGATGAAATTTTTATTGGTATTCTAATTAAGGAATTGAAAATTAACCCATCCATATATAGAAATTTTAATAATAGTGATCCGTTGAAACATAATTGGGATATATTATTGAATGTTGCCAGAGATGTAAATAGCTGTTTAGTTTTTCCCACCACAATATGGCAAGATGAGAATTTTAAATTGGAACTTGTGAAGAGAGGAATTTTTCCACCTTCCTTTTTGAAACATTTTAATAGCATTTTGAACGATATGGATTTGATTGTAGAAAATGGTTTTTACTTGATTCAATAACCCTATTTATTCATCTTCAATATACTGCTGCAAAAATAAATCAAATAAATGAAGATAAGCTTATTAAACTAGGAAGGAATACAGAATTAACCGACAAATCACTAAAGAAAGATAAACAAGCTTCATCATCAAAGAACAGTAAGGAAGAAAATCCTGAGGAAATCAATAGAAAGTGGCATTTAAATTCTAGAAGGAAAAGAAATCCACAACAGTTTAAAACTCTTTCTCCCTAAAGAAGAAACTAAACAAATAGAGACAAACATGAAGCTTTTATCATCTGGCTCATCGACGATTATAAGTAATACATCATGTTGATTAAGAGTTTGATTATTAAAATGTCTAACAAGGTCCAAAATGTAAGATTGTGAAATTGTATTCACGTATCATAAGTAAGAAGATGTTGTCCTTTCCAATTGAAACATTTTTTTGATAAGAAAACTATTTCTAGAATTGAAATTGCCAGAATCAATAAGGGTTCTGAAGTAAAGGTGTTAAAGAAGAGAGATTGGAGGAAACAAGTTCAATTGGAAAGAGAAAAATGTATAAATTCATGCATTTTCCTCAAATATTCTCCATTGGAAAGAAATCAATGAATTGTGAATTTAGGTAAATTCTGATAAATTTCCAAATTAAATAAAAAACTCTCAGAGTTTATATGTAAATTACATAACTGGATTTGTAATGATAATGTCAATATCGAAAAGTTGATGGTTTTCTGGTGATTCATGCAAGTATGTTTTCAGTTTTGCAAGCATTTCCTTCTCACTCTTTGATGTAAATATTGGGAGATATGGTGAGCAAGCAACCATAGTATTCCAACCTCCGCATGCAACACAAACAGCTTTCAATTGGATATTTCCCCCAGAGTTGATTTTCATAGAGTCTGGGAATAAATTCATTTCTGATAGAGTTGTTTGAGTTTTCAAAATTCCTGGTTGATTTTGTTCCTCCTTTGTACTTTGATTGAATCCACTGTGTCCAAACAAGTAAGCTTTACCTTCAGAATCAAGAGCTGCTGAGTGATAACCTCCACAACTCACTTGAACAATATTCTTGAAATTTTTGTGTTCAAATAAACGACAATCCTCAGCACCACTCTCGGATTTTCTATTGAGACAATTATATTGATTTCTTCCGCATGAGTAGACCACCCCTTCCTGAGTAGTAAATAAGGTGTGATAGTAACCAGAGTCAGCTGTCACTACTTTGTGATTAAATCCTTCAACCTTTTTTGTTGTATGCTTTCCATTTGCTGATCCAAAAAGCATATGACCCAATTCACCACAAGCATAAACTTCTCCCTGATCAGTAATGAAAAAACTATAGTCATAACCACCAGATGCAGAAATTAATTTAGGGATTCCAGTGATTTTAGTGATAGCTCTTCCAAAACCTTGCCCACAACAGTAGGCATTTCCATCAAAACTTACAAAGATTGAATGATAGTAACCTGCGTGAATGGATCTGATCTTTTCAGGTATATCAATCTTGTGTGTCAAACCTTTGTATCCTTCACTCAATTGACCATGAGAGTTATCTCCACAGCCGTACACATCACCTTCCTTGGATAAAAACAATGTAAAGTAATATCCACAAGATGCTTGAACAATAAAGTGAGGAATTAATTCAGAAAAAATTTTAAAATCTTTCAATTCACTTTCTGATCTATCAACTCCGACCTGACCATTAGAATTAGAACCACAGCCCAATGCAAATCCATCTTCAGTAATTGCAATAGCTTCTGTATAGCCCATAACGACTGAACTAATCTTGAATGGTGATCGAATATATGCAGGATTCTCAGCATCAGAAATTGCGATCCAATTATCACCAAGGCCTCTCATCGAACTAGTTTCACCAAAACTAAACAAAACAGCTTGGGAAGCTTCCAACAGAGAGAAGGATGTTGGTTCGGATTTATCGTTACGATAGGCTATTCTAGCTTTTATCATTTCTTTAAATTTAGCAGTATAGAAAGTAGCCTGATCTTTACGAAACTTGGTATCTTGACTTTGATAGGAGGCATCAATGTGAGGAATACTCATACTAGGAATAATTCCAATAGCACCAAATGATTTGGATTCACCTTGAAGACCACCCGATCCATTGTTTGAAGTTTCGGTTGATGATTTTGGTTTCTTCTTGAAAATGTTGGTGACGAAAGAAAGCATTTTTTTTAATGTTCTTCTTGATTCGAAAGTGAAATGTGAAAGGAGAGGAGGCCTTCTTTTGAAGTTACCATTTGGAGAACATTGGAAAGTTACATAATTTCTTATGATACTCCAATAGGGTTTTAAAAATCCTATATATTACAACATTTAGTAAATAAATTATATTTAATTTCTTACCTAAATTCATTGGAATGATAGTAAGGATGAAGAAAATGAGGACGAGGAGAACATTATGATATTGTTGTTGATGACGTTGTTGTAACATTTTTTAAGGCTATTAATATCATCATGTTCATGAACAACAGGAGAACACAACGATTAAGCGCGCCCGAGTATATTTGTGTTGATGATATGGCTAAGGAAATAATATTTGTTCTGATGATTAATTAATTGTTATTGGTTGAGGAATTTAAACGATGGTGTGATGGTGGTAATGATATTAAATAACTGAGTTGGTTTTGTTGAAGAGTTGATGATAGAGAGTGTGTTGTGTAAATTTGTGTGAAGAAAAGCAATCTATTCATGAAGATTTCTTCTCTGAAATGTATTTTGAGAATTGGTATTGGTATTATTAATCCATCATGATGAGAGCCACAAGCAGTTTTCACTAATTTTTTAATTTGTTGTTTTTTGTTTAATTTTCATAACGGAAACAACCGCGCCAAAAAAATGTCTTCTAATTGTTAGTCGGATTTGGACAACAAGAAACAAAATCAAACGGAAGATTGTTTATTGCACATAATTTGGCTCAATGCTACCTCTATGTAGTCGGCTTTATGGATTTGATGCAAATTAAATAATTAACAAAAACACACCAAGCCTTGAAGAAATTAAATTACAATATTAATTATTATGTTATTGGGCAATTAAGCGAAATAATGAAAGAAGAAACCACTAGAACCCTTTCACCCATTATCAATCATTATTGCAATAGGAGTCGTTTCGCTTTTATAGCAATCGCGTAATTTCTTACTTCCAACTCCTGTCAAACTAAACCCAACTCAAACACACATGTAGATCTTGAACATACCATCAGAACATTCAGCAAAAAATGTATCGAATGGGTTTATTTGAATGCCTTCAGTTGTTGATTGTTTGTTGTTTGACATTGGCAATGATAAGTTGTTCTAATGCCCAGACCAGATCAGTTGATTACAAAATAACAACACTTGCTGGAGGATTGTATGGAGAAGGAGTGAGAGCAACAAATGTTGGTATTAATGGACCGTTTGGTGTTTATTCATCATCTCTTTCTGGTGGGAACGTTTATTACACAGATGTTTCATATGGGCAAGTGAGATTTGTTGATTCGAATGGAATTTCACATCTTGTTGCTGGCTCACCAACTTATCATACAGGAACAGCCACAGATAGCTTGACTTTTGCAAATGATACCTTGAACATGCCACACAGTATTTCGTTCAATTCGAATGGAGAGATGTTTATTGCAGAGTACAACGCAACAAGGATTAGAAAGGTTTATTACAATTCAACTATTGGAGATTACAGTATGATTACTGTTGCTGGAGGTGGTTCTTCTCTTAGCAGTAACATTTCAGCTCTCAATGCCAAGTTCTCTCAACCTCGATGTGTTGTTGTTTCGCCAAATAATGAAGTTTACATTTGTGATACAGGTAATTACATGATCAGAAAGATTGTGAATGGTGTTGTGTATAATATTGTTGGAAATGGACAGCAGGGATCAAGTACTGATGGCACTCTTGCTGTCAATGCCAAAGTTTCTCTGGTATTGAGTGTTGCCTTTCATCCAGTGAGTGGTGAATTGTTCTTTTCTGATTATTCCAATAATGCAATCAAGTATGTCATGAATAATGGCAGCATTTTCACATATGCAACATCTAGTGGCCCTTATGGAATTGCTTTCGACTCGAGTGGCGATAATTTATATGTGGCAGAGTATGGATCTAACAAGATTGTTAAATTCACTAATGGTGTTAGATCTGTAATTGTCAATACTTTGGGCACAAAAAGTTTCAGTGGAGATGGTGGTAGTTCTTTGAGTGCAACCATCAATCTTCCTGCTGGTATTGCACTGAATGGAAATAATCTCTACTTTGCTGATACTGCCAACAATCGTATTAGAGTGGTCAATTTACAAACCAGTATTGTGAATACTATTGCAGGTGATGGAACTGCAAGATTCCTTGGAGCTTACTCTGGATCAAGATCAGATGTTTCATTATTTAGACCAGAGACAACATTTTACAATTCACAGACTGATGAGTTGCTGGTGGCCGACACCCTCAATCATCGCGTAGTTAGAATCAACTCACTGACAAATATCAATACATCCCCAATTGAATCTATTGCTGGTTATACTGGTATTGCTAGCAATGATGTTGCAGGCAAGTTGGGAAATCAAACCTATCTCAATTATCCATACTCTGTAGCTCAATCAGAAACTAGTGGTGATGTCTATTTTGGAACCACTAATTTTGTTTACAAATGGGGAAAGAAAGATCAAAAGATTACACTCATTGCTGGATCGAGTAGTACATTGGCAGGCGATAATTATCTTGCTGTTGGTTCACAATTATATCAACCAGCTGGTATGGCCTTTGCTTCAAATGGAGATTTATATTTTTGTGATTCTAATAATCATGCTATTAGAAAGATTGATACTCAAGGTGTGATTACAACACTAACTGGAAATGGAACAGCAGGATTCCAAGATGGTGATGCTGCAAGTGCACTTTTCAATAGTCCAGCTAGTATTGCCTTATTACCAAATGGCGATTTTCTAGTTGCTGATTTTACCAATTCTAGAATTAGAAAATATGTTGCCAGTACCAAACAAGTTGTTACTATTGCTGGTAATTCAACTCTTGGTTTCTATGGAGATAATGGACTGGCTTCAAAGGCACTTCTAAACAAACCTACAGGTGTTTTCTATAATTCCACATCAGGTGATATTTTGATTGCTGATTATTTCAATTTCAGAATTAGAAAAATTTCCAATAATACAGGAATTATTACAACCATTGCTGGATCTGGTTCAACCAGCTACAATGGAGATGGATTGGCAGCAACATCTACAAGTATGGCTCCATACGGATTGGCAGTAAATCCAATTAGTGGGGAGCTGTTCTTTACTGATAATGCCAACTTTCTTGTTAGAAGAATTGATGCCAGCTCTAAGGTTCACACAGTAATTGGTGTTGCTAAAAGTACAATTTTCAATGTAACCAGTTTGGCCAATTCAACTGGTTTATCTTCAATTTCGTTCTTGACATTTTCACCAAGTGGTGATCTTTATGTTTCTTGCTTTGGACAACATGTCATCAAAAAGATGAGTTATGGTAGCGATATTGTTTATAATGTAGCTGGTACAGGAAATACAGATTTGAATGGAGATGGATTGGAAGCAACATTGACCAATCTTTATCAACCAATTGCTGTAGCTTACTCTCCTACTTCCAGTGAATTATACTTTTCTGATTATTTACATGATAGAGTGAGAAAAATAACCTCTTCAGGATTGGTTGAAACAGTTGCAGGAGGTTTAGGTGATAAGGGATTGGCTGTTAATGCAAAAATCAGAGGTGTTTCATCAATATTACTGGTAGACAATGATTTATATATCTCTGATGCATTCAATTATAGAATTCGTAAAATTTCCCTCTCAACTGGTATTATTGATTCCATTGTTGGAGCATCATATGCATCTATTTACAATGGAGATAACTTGGCCAATCAAACCAATATTAACTATGTATGGGATCTGAGAATTCAAAACGGTGAACTTGTATTTGCTGACATGAACAATAACTTAATTAGGAAAACAAGTTTATCTGGTAAAGGAAAGGTAACAACCATTGCTGGTATGGGTACAAACAATGCTTCGATTATTATCGATAATGTCAAGGCAACAAGTGCCTATTTGAAAAACCCTGGTTCTGTTGCATTCTTACCAACTGGTGATATGATTATTGCAGAGACAGAAGGTCATATCATTAGAAAGGTTGATTTGAATGGCAATATTTCACTCATTGCTGGATCATTCTTCCAACCAGGTTTCAATGGTGACTTGTCAGATTCAAAGAATTCTTTATTGTATCAACCAACAGGACTTTCTATTTTACAGGATGGTAGAATCATCTTCTCAGACTTTGGAAACAATAGAGTGAGAATGTTAACACCATATTGTAAGGATGAAAAGTATTATTTGACTCAATCTTCACAAGGTATTGTCTGCAACATTACTTCATGTTATGGACTCGCCTACAATGATGCAAAAGTTTGTTCAGGAAATGGAATTTGTTCATCATTGAATAACTGCAGCTGCTCAAGTGGATATTCTGGAAACGATTGCTCAACTGCTGATATTTGTTCTGTCTTGTCAAGCTCATATGTTTGTACAACAACGTCTCTCAACACAACTGAAACTCAAGTTACAACAGTTCAAAATGTCACTCAATTGGATTCGAAAACTATCGAGTTCTCATCTACAAGTACTGTCACTGTTTCACTGCCATCAACAATTTCACAATACTTGACAAGTGTTGATTCAACATTGAAGAATGACACTGTTACTGTTGTCAGTTCTGTTTCATCAGCAAGCAAAGTAACAGAAACTTCTGAGGTTATTTCACCAGTCATCTCAATTGTTCTTGTCAAGTCAAGTTCTAATCAAAAAATTTCTGTCCAAAATCTCGAAGAACCAATTTCATTATATTTCAATAAGGTCAACATGACTGTTTCGAATATTGAAACCTTGAATGTAACTTGTATGTATTATGATGAAAGTGAAAAGGTATGGAAATCGGATGGGGTTGAAAGTGAAATTACAGAGATTATTCTCCACAACCTTGCTGATGGAAATGTTACCTTGACAATTTCACTTACATGCAAGACTTTCCATTTAACTTCATTTGGAATCATTGATCAAAACTACAAGAAGGCAACTACTAACTCTAATACTGACGATTCCACAATCTTGACAGATTACACAGTTTTAATAGGTGCCATTGTTGGTGGTGTTGGTGGATGTTGTGTTATTGCCACAATTATTACACTCATCATTGTTGTCATTATCTTTGTAAGAAGAAGAGGAAAGAAATAAACCAAGATAATCACTTTATATTTTACAAATCTGCTATATTGATATAATTGAAACTGTATTTTAATTAATAAGTTCAATTACAGTGTTTTCTTGCAAATTCGAAACCAAAGGTTGCAAACAAACAATACATGGCAAATGATCCGATGCATTTTCCTTATACTCACTCAATACCTTACTCGAAATCAATTTAAACTGATCCTTTCTTCCAAAAATGTGATCATAACTTCCCCACAATGAAAATGGGCCTTTCAGTGGCCAATACCAAGTTGTTTGATTTTCAATAAAATCATGGAATTTCATTTCTTTGAGGAGGGAGGCATAGTTAGATTGGAATATTCCAGATTGACTTGTTTCGTTGAAATCTCCTAAAATGATGAGTGGATAGGAACATTTTTGTAATGCTTGTTTCGTATAACTCTCAACTTCATTTCGTCTTACTGAAACGGTTTGATAGAGAAAGGCACTAATATGTTGTAAATTTCCACCTTCGAATGAGAGAGGAGGTCTCAAATGTAAATTCAATACTTGATAATTAACAGAATCTTCAAGTTTCGAATTCTTTCTTGTCACAATAATATGCATGGCATCAAAATAACTTCCCTCCACATTACTACTCAACATTTCCACATCCAAATTGAGATTAGCTTTAGCCATCACTCCAGTTCCACTTGCTAAATAAACATTCGTCTTGGAATGATCCCAAACTTGATTTGGATATTGAGTAGAAAGTGTTGTACTATTCGAAACTGCAATTTCCCACCCAACATGAGTCTCCTGTAAACAAATCAAATCAACATTATCCACATTCTCCTTCATGGCTTGTAAAACTCGTTGACCATTATACGAAAGTGCTCCATCATAATTAACACCACCAAAATTCACATTAAACGACATGATTCGAAGAATAGGAAGAGATTTCCGTGATTCTATTAAATCATTTAAAATAGACTGTGGGTTGCGTAATGATGTATTGTTTGGAGGTAACGACATTTTTTTTTTGTAAATTTGTGAGTGTTGAACTTTTGTTCGAAAGTAATGAATGAAAATTAGTAAAGAACTGTGAACTTTTGATGACGTAAAAGTAATCGTTGCAAACTAAACGATTCAACTTATTATTATTCAGATATGAATCTGTACATCCAATATTATTTAGTCTTCTCTTTCTCATTTACCATTTTTTACTTTCACAAATTGAATCGACAATTGGGTGAATTTGGATGAGGAATTCGCTCAATTGCTCATTAAAAGATCCACTTCGCATACTACCCATTGCAGCAGCAATTCTGTTTTTCATGAGAGTTGGAGCGAATTCTGATGGATTCTCTAAGGCACATTCAATTGCCATCTTGAATAAGGAAAAATTCTTCTGAGTACTATCGGTATGTATAATATCCAACAAGATTCTAAAAATGTTATCCTCTGTAATTGCCAACAACTTTTTGTGAATAGCTCTCACATGCACTGGTAAGGCAATCTTGGGGGAGAATAAACTTGAGAAGCATAAGGGAGTATGAGCTGCCTCTTTGACAATGCTTGGAGATGTTGCAAGATTTTCATACTCTTCCTCTTTCATCTCTACAAATAATGGATAGAGTGCTTCAAAAACTAACATGCAATCACTTGGTTTATAGATCCACTTTGCTTGTCTGCATGCTTCACCAACTCTTTGAATAAGGTAGAAAAGAGGATTGGAAGATTTGTAAACTATTTGGAAAATATCACAAATTGGTAAAAAGTGCCTTCTCATCTTTTTCAATGATTGCACTATTGAATGGCTCTTCTTTTTGAAATCCGCCATTGATAAGCTGGTATCAATAAACAAGTGCACCGGAGAGAAATTCAAATAGTCACTTTTCAATTGTGAAAGAAAATTTTTGTTTTTCTGAATATCCATAATAATATCCACAATTTCAATCCTAACATTCTGTATGGAACTGATTAAAAAATCATTACTGCTACAACAAATTTGTGTGATATTGGAGAGCTTAGAGTTCTTGGTTAAAAACTCTTTCAAAACACTTGGAGATTCGATTGATTGAAGAACCTTTGCAGAGCCAATTGGGATTTCTTCCTCAAGATAAATAATTTTGCTAATTTGGTCTGGATCAAATCCGCATTCCTTGATATATTGGAATTTGTCTGAAATGTTAGAATAATATTTTCTATCAGATGCTAAAAGAGGATACCTCCTTAATTGCTTTTGTAAAAACTTCAAGAATCGTCTCCATTCCACCTGTGTTGGTGCTTCATTGGAGGGCTCTTGTTGGGGCTCTTTTTTTTTCAAACGTTCTCTTTTGATCCATGGTGAGAATGCTAAACTTGGCTGTGAGAGGAACGCTTGGTAGAACCAAACTGGCTCATATCTAGATCTCAATACTGCCGAATAAACAGGTTCACTAAGAATGTATTGACTAGCTGGTAATACTTGTATCATGTTGGATGAAACTCTTGAATTGGAGAGAACAAGATCAGGATTTCTAATGCATTGATAGAGTCCTTCCCAAATCAATTTGACAACCAACAAATCATAACAATCATCTATTAAAAAGGAATAAAATGTTTTCTTTGAAACTCTAATAAGATTGTAAAATTCGCTAACAATTTCATCAATAATCAATTGTCTCATAAACAAGCTCTCTGCAAAAATAGCACGAGAGCTTGCTAAATACTTGAATTCTCCATGCTTGGTTCCAAAGTAATGATATCCATTTGTATTTTCCTTTATCCAAGCAACAATCCTTTGATTGGAAAACAAACTATGCAACACTTGACTCAACACCATTGTTGACTTTCTCCTATCGTTGAAATCAATACTCGCTCCACTTGTAATCTTTTCAAAATGTGAATAAAAAGGAAAAATGTAATCCATCACTTGTAGCAACACTTCAAAGGATAATTCATTAAAACGAGTCTTGATCTTTTTCTTGATCAGAATTGGCGTGTTTGTATTTTTCGATTTACTTTCTTTTTCATCATCGGAATTAATTTCCAATAATTCCTCATCTTTATAAAATTCATCATCACCATCATCACTACTGTAGCCTTCCAATTCTTCAAGCAAGGAGGTTGCTGATACGCCTTTCACCATTTTTTTTAATAAATTTAAATTTGTAAAAAGATTACAAAAATTCAAGTTTGAAATTGAACTAAAAATTACTTATGTTTAGTGTGATTTAGTTTATAAAGTTAAAGAAAACATCTGTATATTGGGTGTTGGCTCTCAGGTTGACAGAGATTTTCATCTTTTTCTTTTCCATCTTTTCCAAAACTTTGGAAATTACTAAATTAAATTCTTCTTGCACATCATCTTTCAATATATAATGCTTTGCATTTCGATAATTTGCCCCAAACTTCAACAATAATTCAATCATTTCTTCATCTTTAAGTTCAAATGCACGATACAAGGCAGTAATCATCGAATGATCATTAAATTGGTCAACCTTAGCCCCCTTCTCTAATAAATATTGAGCTACATTATAATGTCCATTTTCTACAGCAACATAGAGTGGATACTTTTCACAATCATAATGCCCCCTTGATGGTATACAGTAACAATCTAGATTCACACTAAATTTTTCAAAATACCACCAAATTATCCCAAAATATCCTTTTTGAAGTGGTTTCATGATAGGAGCAATGAATTCACCATATCTACCACCACGATTCCTTGGAGAAACAATGTCAATGTGTGGCAAGATTAATTTAACAATTTCCAAATGATTCATTTCACATGCCAAATACAGACATTCAGATAATCGCTTCTCCTTGATTTTTCCATTAAATAATTCGTCTTTATTATTCAATAATTCATCCAATAATAATTTAAATATTGATAAAAATCCATATTTCGATGCCAATTCCAGTCCAACAATTACATCTTGATGAAAATCTGACAATTTAATTGCATTCTCATGATAATCATGAATAAAATTCCAAACTCCGACACTGTCTCCTGTTGAAATAAGTTTGAAAAACTCTTCCCTTGCCAATGTTTCCATTTTTTTTGACAATGTTTACCAGTCTGCATATCCAACACAATGAATGTTACACTGATGTCAAAGAAGTTCAGAGGAACATACCTGTCAAATGCCTTTGACATCATCATAGACTCCTCTACTAGTGTTCTAGGCTACTTTTCAGGCAAAAGACATTTTAGGCTATTATTTGATGGACAAAAGTTCTTGGTGTTGCCTTGTATGTATTAATAACACCGAACAAATACACGTTCCATTATTTTCCACCATTAAGAAAAAATATTTCAGCCCAAACACACATTGGGAACACTTTGGTGATTTTCAGAGTGATTTCACCCCATGAATCCACCAAACTTTCACATCATCATCTCAACATCATCCTAATAGTATTACTGGTAGTATTTTTTATTATTGGATTGTGATTATAAATTTGGAATTTAATTTTCACTTGGGAAAAATTCAAGTTGGTAAACCATCATCGGAACAACTTCCAACCATCATCATTGTTATTTATCATCATTATAATAGTAATATTTGTGGAAATAAATCTGATAATAGTAATATTTTAGTGAAATTCAATATTTTCACTAAAATCATCATCACTGCCAGATTCATATGGTAATTTGGAAAACTTTCAATCTAGTATTGTTCAGCATGGTCGATTCCATCAGGTAAAATCACTTCCGAACATTTTCCTATTGGTTATCATCATGATAGGTTCATGTATATTTTCAACATGTACATGGACCATAACTCAACATGTACTTCACCAACTTGGAAAATGTCTTTCATAACTACTATTCAAATACATAATAAACAATATATTTATTATCAGTTTTTCATCATTTTGTTGTTTTACCAACTTCGGAATATTCATGATAACATATCATGATTCATGCCAAAAGTACATAGCCAAACTTCTTGAAACATTAATAAACTGTTATTAGTATTATTGTAGATGTACCATATCAAATATTTCGTTTTATTTCGATGAGATCATAAAGATCTTAAATTTCTCTCTAAACATGCAAGTTCTCAGCCTAACCAGATGTTCACCATGTCAAAACATCAAAATAATAAATTTCATTGTACTTTTGTATCACACATTAATTTATTGTGTTAAATTCATTGAATTGGAGATTTTAAATTTTTAAAAACTAATCTGTGATTATTTACCAATTAAATATACTTCTTTAATACTTGATAATTCATAAAATCCTAGTAGATATTGAATAGGTTCATAAAACAAGATATTACACATAATGGCTCTAAATTCATGCTAATAGAGCTTGTTTAATGAGACTTATCATATTAATGATATTTCCTACCTTAACAGATAAGTGTTGTCTAATTGGATTCTATTTGTGCAAGGCCTAATTCCATCCCTAATATAGCAGACTTTTAGGGATGGATAATTTTAATGGAATCTATCCTAGAAGTATTTTTCGCCTGGAAGGTTCATACCAACGAATTTAACTGCCTGGGTCTTCATGCGAGTTTTTATCGCCTATAACAACTAGTTCGGCTTCAGACATTCTCTCCTCGGTTGTTGGTCTAAATGACTACTCAGTATATGTGTTAAATTAATTAAGGAATTGGATGAAGTATATTAAGCCAAGAAATTTCATGAACCAAACAGCTTGGGATCTCACTAACATTTAAAGTCAACCTGGAAACTTGTTCAGCCTCTCATTAACCTCAAACCTTACTCAATGCACACAATTCACAATCGGCTGCAATTCAAGTAATACTTGTTTAGTAAAATATTAACTCCGACACTATCTCCTCTAATCGACTACAATGTAAATTCAATGAAAAGATTGAAAAAGCTTTATTTCTTTCCACAGAAAGTAAACTTTCCTTTAAGACATTCTTCAAGTTTTTCCCTATCATCATATTCAAAACTATTCTTACATGAATTATTTTCCCAAATACGTTTTTCAGCCCAAGTTCCATTACAAGAAACAGTAAAACTTTCAGATCCAACTGAAATACAAGTATTCAAAGGAGTTCCAGAAATTGACTTGACTGAATCATCTTTACAATCACTCTTTCCATTAATAACTGAATGCTTGATAGTCCACAACATTGGTGGATAATCACCAATATTGAAGGCACCACATTCCACTCTATAAGGATGATAAGGAGCAGTAGCTTGACACTCATTGGTAGAAATTACATTATCAGCATTAGTTAAACAATGTGAACAATTGGTATTGCAGGAAGTTTTATAGATTACTCTGACCTTATCTGAAGAAATTTGAGTACAGTGAGCAATTTCATAACCATAATTGACTGGATCACTTGTCGGAACACAGACATTAGTTTTATCGAAAGAAACTGATTCGATATTGGTGTTGTCATTACATGATTTACCTTGTGAGTAGAATCTATATTTGATGAATTGGTTTTCTTGATGAGAGTAACAGATGGCAATGGCCAAGACGGAAAGAAGCAAGAGGATTGTGTTGAATTTCATTTGTGTGTAATTTTTTTTAACAATTTTGTTTCGCATAAACTATTGGAAATGGCATGAGCTGTTAGAACATTGCTTTTTTGATTGTAAACCTTTCCATCGTGTGTAGTGGAAAGTCAATATTCTCGGCGAACTGTTAATTATTGTGTTACTTTTTACAATTGCTCGTTTCCTAATATTCTTCACGACTTTACAAATTTTTCTTGGTAGATTAAAAAAGACTGAGATTAAAGGTATCAAATGTTTAGGTTGCACAATTATGTTCTTAGAATTAGTTTGATTTTTATTCCCTTCAGCAGTTAACATAGTCAGTTCAGGCAGCCAAAAATCCAAGATAAAATTGCAACCGCCCCACGTGGGGCTCGAACCCACGACCGTTGGATTAAAAGTCCAACGCTCTACCGACTGAGCTAGCGGGGCTGCTCGACAATAATCCAAGGTGGGTCAATTTACAGGAATAGCTCACCAACAAAGGTCCAAGAAATGATTCTATTGAATTTTTGAATTTTTAACATTAAAAAAATTACTATCCTCATATTACCTACAACACAACAAGAAATGTGTTACCTTAGATTATCACAATATGAATGAACTATTATTGTAAAAGAACATTATCGAACATCCGAGCATCAAATACAGATATAAATCCTTTCTGTTCATATTCCTCCTGAGCCACAAAACATACACAAAAAAAACAAATCAACATTAGAAGGCTTTTTCATCACGATGATGCAACAACAAGATACTAATTCAACAACAACAACAACAACAGAAGGAATGCTCGAGCTTCATGCAGAAGTTGATATTGTTAGAAAAGGGAGAAGATCAATTCCTTCCGAAATTTTGAGTTTAATCTTTAGTTATGCGATGGTGGATATAGTTGATGGAGAAATGATAAGAAAGGTTGGTGTATTGAGAGAGCTTGGTTCTGATTTTGTTGAGGCTATTGCAGACAATGTTAGACAATTGAATGTTGGATCCTTGTTGAGGTGTTATAAGGGAAACAAGTTGTCAGATTATGCCTCCCACTTGTCAAGAAATATTGACAAGATTGTTCACATATTCCCAAAGCTTGAAAGATTGTTTCTTGATGGCTTGTCAGAATTGAAAGAGAATCAATTGGAATACTTGCTAAATGAGTTGAATTTGAAGGAGATTTCAATTGTTGGATGTCCAATTAGTCAATTTAATTGTCCTGATATTGCTCAATTTGAAGTAATTACTGTTGATCAAGCTAATACAGAATTGAGATCGTCCCTATATAGACAAATATCCCTCTCCATTTACAATGGAAAGCCAAAAACTCGTGTTAAAGTGCCAGAAGGAATCAACTGCTTTCTCAAAACCCTCACTGGTACGGTATGTGAGCTAGAGCTGTCTTCAAGAGATACAGTCCATGATGTAAAAATGGTTTTCGAAGGATATTCTGGAGTTTATGCTGATAACCAACGTATGATATTTGCTGGGAAAAGATTGGCCGATGATAGGTGCTTGTACGAGTATGGTTGCACAAATTCAGATTCAACCATTCATGTCGTATTGAGATTGTCTCAGGACTCTAATACTAAGATGCTTGACCTTCCAAATTATAACCAGATTAAATTCACTCCTCAAGAGGAATTGAAATCTTCCACTCTTTACGAACATGATGAGTTTAAAGTCTTGGAGTTGGACATTTTCAATGAGACCACGTGTGAAGTCTTAACAAAGGATATTCTATATGAGAAAAAAGATGATTTTGACTATAACATTACCACTGTTTTGTCCAAGCCATTCAAGAGATATCTCAATACTACAGTCATTCCTTACCTTAACAATTTGAGAAAGTTTGATAGGAAAATTCAAGAAGTGCAAGATATTTTCGTGGTTCACTACTCTCTCGAAGAGGATCAAGATTTAATCCTTCACACTGATCCTTCTTATATTACTTTGAATATTTGTGTTCATATATCGAACAATTTTACAGGAAATGAAATTGAGTTCATCACTCAAAACGAACAACAAGTGAGTGAGTTAGTGGAAAAGTGTGGATGTGGTCAGGATATTGATTCATCCATCAATTATACCTACAGAAGAGTTACACCAACAATCGGTAAAGCTTTAGTTCATCTTGGAAATCATCCTCACAAAACTCTCAACATTACCAGTGGCAATAGATTTAACATTATCTGTTGGTTGAAATAATTCTATTATGTACAATACATTGAATTTCAAATGTTTTGTAATATTCCCTTAATATCTTAAAATATGCAAAAACACGTTTTTGGTTTTATTTTTAGAAAATTCACAAAACATAAAAAAATTTACACACATGTTCAGCTACGTCAACGAGTTACTCTCATCAGTGGTGAATCTCTCATCAGCAGAGTCTGTTATGCCGGAATCAACTCCTGCAATCGTTAATGCAGCCAATTCACTGATAAAAGATACCTTTGATGATGATCAAATAGAAATGGAAAGGAAGGGAAGAAGATTACAAGAGTGGACTTGTTTGCACTTGTGTAATTTTCTCTATCGTTCGGAGAGTGGTGAAGAGTTATTGTTTGTGATTAGGAATTTAATGAAGGCTGATGTTCAGGTGAAGGAAATTTATTCAGCTATTCATGATGAAGAGGAAAAGAATAGATTGATGGATTTGGTGGGTGGAACCAGAAGTGAAATTGAATTGGTTTTGAAATTGGTAGGAAAGGAAATTGATAGAATTAATGAATTGTTATTGTAAAGTTGGTGTTTGGATTTGGAAGAGGAATGAAACTTTTAAATCAGCTCCATTACTTGGACTCAGAAATATGAAAATCAAAGATTATTGAAATGATCTTTTAGATTTCGAATATAATTTACAAATGAAAGAAGAATTAAAACTGAACTTTACATCAAAATTGCTACTTCAATAATTTTATTGGGCAGCACTGAATTGTTAGAATCCTTCTCACGTGAAATTTGAAAGAGTGCCCAACCATGTCTTGTTACAGATTGAGTTGATGCACTATTATTCGAATGTTGTTGCTGCTGTTGTTGTTGATTATTAGTTGAAATTGATTCAGAAATTGAAAGAGAATTAGTACTATTTTGATTATTATTCGCATTAGAAAGTGGTGCTGAACTAGTTGAATTAGCCACCACCGATTGACCACCATTCGTTTCATTTCCTTCAGAAACCATTGCAGAACTACCACTCTGTGATTGACTCATTGAAAAATTAATATAAACTCCATTAGGCAAAACTGTAAATTTCAATCGATAGGCAAGTGTGAATTTGTGTGGAGTCAGAGCAGTGTACAACTCAATCGTTTGCATTAGTGTCAAATCTCTGTTCATCATATTTACAAAATGAATTTGTCCGCTCGGTGATAATTCCTTGAGTGAAAGTTTGTTTTTTGTTTTTTGTAAAAGATTTGAGATGGAGTGGGCGAAGGTTCCATTATTGACGATTTGGGACCATTTGGAAAGGTTTCTTGTTGGAAAGATGACTCTGGTTCGGCTTGTTAGTTTGGAGTTGTTATTGTTATTCACAAAAGTTATTGGAAAGGTTTCGGTTGGTGTGGAGAATGGAAGAGGCAAGTTAGATTGAATGGATGAAGTAGTGCATAAACCCTTTCGTCTAGGTTTATCAGTTTCTCGTGATTTACTGTTCAAGAATTGGGATTGCTTCTTTTCAGCATACTTTGAGAGTCTCATTCTTAAAACTATTCGAAACCTAAAGATGAAGATTGCAAGTTATTGTTGTTGTATTGCTACCAAACAAGTTGGATCGTGTTGACTTGTTTTTTTTGTGTTCGACTTCTCTATCGTCTCTTATTACCCGAAAATGTAGATTCGGTTACTAGTACACGAAACACAATAAGAAACTTAAAAAAACGATATGATGGATAGGTGTATTAGAATGAGTTTCAACTTGACATTTTGGAGCAAGAGATTGGAGGGAAACTTACCTGCATGACTCTTTTGACAAGTGACTTTGAAAAATTTGCAGTGACAGGCAGATCAAAACGAAACCCCGAATTGGAAATTTGTATTTTTCAAAAAATATTATAATTTTAAATAAGTTTTTGTATTAGAAATGCTGGGTAAATGTAGTGAGAGTGTTGATGAGATTCGTCCAATGTAGAATAAGTTAGACGAATGTCAGATAGATCTGGTATTAATATTATGGTTGACTGATTCGTTGCATTGCATTCGAACTGGAAAGTTAGATCAATACAACGTAACCTTGTTTTCACTAAAAAGAGATCTTGTTTTAAAAACAATGTTTCCAGTATACGAAACGTTTCTAATAAGAGATCTTGAACGAATCACTGTAAACAACATGAAAAAATTAAGGCAAATCTACAGTTTTCATTCTAAAAATCTCTAATCAAAATGCATTCAATCAATTTCTTAAACAATTTATTAATAGTTTACAAATATAACTGGAACTTTGAACAAAAGGTTTTTGGCGCGAATTTGTCAAGTTCATCCCAAAAAAAATGTTCAAACATCAAATCGAAGGAATGATGTGGTGTTTGGCTGTTGGTGATGCCTTGGGCATTCCGTTTGAATGCAAAACTTATTCAGAGATTTTAAAAATGCGGGAAAATGCGGAGGAGAAATTGGAAAATCCATATAGGAAGTGTTGTGGCCATCCGTTCATTCCTGATGATTTTGAACCGGGAATGTATACGGATGATACACAATTGAGTTTGGCCATGTTTCGTGCATTGGAAAGGTATGGACACAAGTTGAGTGATCAAGTAGAATTTGAGAAATCATTAATGCCCTTAATAGTTGAGGAACATGTCAAGGAATTTGAAAAATCAATTGTTGGTTGGGGAGGCACACGTGATGCTATCAAGAGGTTACAACAGAAAACACATTCGTATAAGGATTCGGGTAATGTTGGAGCTGTTGGAAATGGAGTGATTATGAAGTTGGCTCCCCTCTTCTTGTTTTATTTCAGAGAATTGAAATTGGATGAATTGACAAGAGAGGAAGCTATAGAAAAGATTGAAAATATTTCAAATGAATGGTTGAATGACCAAGTGACTGTAATTACAAAAATGACACATGACACTCAATCATGCATTGTAACCAGTTGCTTAATGATTAGATTTGGAATGTTAATTTTACTATATGGAAAGGAATTTATCAATTTCAAGAAGGAAATCTTTTCAAATTTATTGAAATATTGTAAAGAATTGGAAATTAATGATATAGCAAAAAGTATTACAACAAGAATTCAAACTCTAATTGATAATTTGGATGATTTGAAAGATGACTTGACTCTTGTGAACATTACTAACGGAGGAACGTTTGAAAGTGTGAATAGCTTGATGATGGTTATTGGAATCGTCATGTCTTTGCAACCAAATCAGAAACCTTTCGAACTGATTGAAAGGGCAGCATATATTGGTGGTGATTGTGATTCTAATGCATCCATGGTTGGTGGCTTGATTGGTTCTGTGTTTGGAAAGCAAATTATTCCAGATTCGTATATTAAGCATCTTGTTTTTGATTTTGAAATTTGTGAATAAATTAAACTTGTCAACAAATTGTAATTCTCATCCACTTCACACATGTCTTCCTAGAATAACAGAAGTACGTTTCGCAAAGTTTAGCTATGCTTATGAAGATTAAATTCAATGTAACGTGCCAGTATCACTGTTGGAATTTTGGTAATTATTAAAATTATGTAATGATTGGAGAGGAATCAATCGGGGGAGATCATCGATTTTTTGACATTGTGATTGTAATTCTTCCAATAAATCAATAATTTCAATAAATTCAGGTCTTTGTGAGGAATCCTGAGCCCAACATCTTTCCATGATTTGAACATATGATTCTAAAAATCCAATAATTTCACTTTTTCCAAGATTTTCGATATGTTTCTTTGTAAAATTGTGTTCAATCCACTCATCAATTTGTTTTTCACTGAATGATTTTGCATGCAACAGTTCTGGCCTGTGTCCTTTTGCAACTCTCATCAATATTTGGAAAACAGTTGTAGAGTTATCAATTTCATTTGAAAATGGTAATATTTCATATAATAGCTCCCACATTATTACTCCAAATGAATAAACATCCACTTTTGTGCTTTTACCTTTGTGATTATCTGAAAGTAATTCCTATAAAACAAAGTTCAACAAATCTATTTTCAATAGATACTTACAGGTGCCTATTGTATTTGTTAATGAATTCACAATAAAATACTTCCAAACTTACCATATAGAGTAAAGTTCCAACATTTGAGGTCATGGTTGCTGAATTGTTTGAAACAATTTTGCTCAATCCAAAATCTCCAACTTTTGCGTTCATAATCTTGTCCAATAAAATGTTCCCTGGTTTCAAATCTCTGTAATATTTTTGTTTAGGATAGAGTAAAACTCATAACATACCTGTGAATGATTTTGTGAGGTTTGATAGAATGTAAATATATCAATCCTTTGGTGATATCAATCAAAATTTTAAGCTTGGTCTCAAATCTCATAATTTCTCTTCCTATTCTTGAGTTATAAATTGCCTTTTCTAGACTTCCATGTTCCATATATTCAACAACCATATATTTTCCATTGGTTGTGAGCGAAACTCCATAACAACTGACAATACAGGGATGTCTCAATGAGCTCATTAACATTGCTTCATTCTCAAACTCCTCATCATTTGAATCAGTTTTCAATTGTTTGATGGCAACATCAGTTCGATTCCACTTGGCATGGTAGATCATGCCCATTGCTCCTTCACCAACTCTTTTTAGAATATTAATTTCTGATATTGGAATAATGTATTGTTGTCGTTTTTTTTGTGAATTAAGGATTTCCTTAGTATTAGAAGAATCTATTCCACTGTTAATACTATTTGAAGATATTAGTGGGGTGAATTCACTCTCAAATATAAATTCATTATCTGTAAACTTCCTTTCAATTTCCTTTTCAGCACGTTCTTGCTTCCTCAATTTCAACAATTTTCTTGTTATGAATATTCCTGCGTATAAAACTGCTCCAAATATAATTAAGAGTGAAATGAAACCTAATATTGCAGAGGTTAAAATAATTGCTATTGGAGAATATTCACAAATATAACCATTATCAAGCTTGTTTAAAATATAACTGTTTGGGCATGGAAGTATTTTCACTTTGACAATTTTCTCAATGTCTGGAGTTACTATGATTGATAGAGAAAATTCTTTGGATATTTGACTTGGAAATATTTGCAAGCTCACTAATATTGTACGATTGTCAAATAGATTATTTTGAGAAACAGTTCCATCTTCAATATTCGTTGGTCGAATAATCAACATATTCGGTTCCATCAATGATGAGGCAGTTTGATTGTAAAGATCTTTCACTAATACATTCATCTTGAATGATTCTCCAGGGTATATTTCAAGTTCATTGCCATTTTCTGTATTTCTTTCAAATTGAACTTCAACAGTTTGCAAAGGTGTCGCCACATTATTGCCATAGCATAGAGCATTATTTCCAACTATTATTTCGCCATTAACGGTCAACTGAGAGTAAATGCACCCTCCAGCATAAGCTGCAAGATTATTTTCACAAATTATATTCTTAATATAGGGAGTTACCGTGTTTATCCACATGGCCCCACCATTTTTTGCCGAGTTGTCATTAAAGGTAGAGTCAGTAAAACGAATTGAGCCAAATAATTTAGTTGTTTCAACATAAATTGCTCCACCTAAATCAGCAGTGTTTTTGGTAAATTGTGAATTTCCAATGTCTAAATCTGTTCCATAAAGATAGAGTGTAGATCCTTTGCTTCCACCTGTATTTTCAATAAATTTACAATTTGTAATGGAAAGTGAATAGGACAACATTGTTTGATCAAAAAATTCTAATAAAGCAGTGCCTGTTGTGAGTCTATTTTCAATAAACAAGCTATTGCGTATAAGTATTGCGATAATGCTAATAGAAGGATTATCTGTAAAGGATAAAAACCTTCCCCTATTATTTGAAACTAGACAGTTATTAATTGTTAAGGAGTCAACCATTTGTAATGAAAGCAACGCATTAGAGGCTGTATTATTTTTAAAGGAACTGTTTGAAATTAGTATTCCAGAAATGCCAATCATTTGAAAGAGCATGTAATATTCAGTGTTTTCAATAGTTACTCCATTCAATTCAATATTATCCAATGATATGAATAAAGCATTTGATAATACAGTAGAATTGATAATTGAAACTCTATTTCCAAGATTGAATTTCGAGATGGTCAGTAAGGAGCTTAATTTTGAGGTCCAAATAGAATTACCAATAGTAAATGTCTCAAAATTATCCATGTGAAAAACTCCATTAATTCTGCAATTATTAAATAGAACTGTTTTAGAATTTTTCAAATTAATAATTACTTCCATATTAGTGTTGAAAACGAATAGGTTTAATACTCCCACAATACTGAAATAATAATAAAAATTACAATCAATAATCTCCAATTTTCGAATTTCCGAATGCATGACGACTGCATCTCTTGTTGTGCAATTTAACAATTTGAAATGTTCAATTCCATTATATAGTAAGAATTCCCCACCAATGAATCCAAACTCTATTGTAAATGCATCAATAATTGCGTATGCCTGTAAATTGCCACGAGTAGTGAACAATTGCTTGTCCTTTCCTTTCCATATCATTTCGAATCGATTTGCGTATTTGGAAAAATCGAAATTTGTTTCATAGCTTCGCATAAGTCCATTAATTACAATCACCATTGTGAAATTATCCAATTTTTTACCTTGATTAATTATTTCTGCCAATTCATTGTTTGCTGCTTTTACAATTTGACTCGGAGAGGAACATGGTTGATGCTCATCCCTACACGTTGCATTCAAATCATCAACATTAGGAAATTCAGAATCTAAATAATAAATAGCTGAATATGATGATGAATTAATTGTATTGTTGGCCATTACATATTGATGATGCTCTTGTTCTTGTGGTTGGAGTACTACTACTAATTCATTATTAGCTAATATCGACTCGGACTTTGTTATTATCATCATTATCATCATCATAATAATTAAAAGCCTAATAAATCTAAGAACCTCCGAAGAGGTGGTTATCTTGTGCATTTTGTTTTTCAATTTTTGAATTTGATTATCCGTCGGAAGCCTTCATATTCTCTTTCTCTCTCTAGCTGTGTATTAAGATGGATTCAATAGATTGTCTGATAATTTCTTGAAGTTATCTTAAATTGTAATAGAATTTGTGCTTATTGAAATTTTTATTTTTTAATTTTATTTGATGATTCGGAAAGTTTTTTTAAAAAAAACTTGCTGCTTTAATTATTATTGAATCCTTAATTAGCCTTGAAAACTTTGAAAGTTCTCCTGTCAGAGCATGTCAACCCATCAAAAAAAATGTCACAAGATAAAGAAGACTCTCTCACTGCATGGTTGAACAATATTGTTGTTGCTCTAGGTGAAGAAGATATAAGCAATATTAATCTTTTGCCTGTCACTGTCAGTGAGACATCAACAAACCAAACAGTTCCTGCAGGTGATAAGAAGGTTAGAAAGCGAAAGGAAACTAAACAACTACCATTCCCAAATATTCAATCAACAGACATTTCTGATGGACTTGTTTCCACTAACAGGCGAGTTTCGAATAATAACAAGTCGAGCAGCAAGGACCAACAACAAATAGATTTGTTAAAGATTGGAAAGGGTTTCGTTCAACACACCACTTGGACTACTTCATCTGTTCTCCATGGGAAGAGAAAAGAAACTCTAGAAAATATTAGAAACTCAAAGAAGAAGAAGAAAGAAACAGTTGACCCACACGAGACGACCAAGATCTGCAATGCAAATGTGGCTCGCACATTGCATCAGTAGTTTGACCCACTCGTTAGCGTCTTAACTATTCCAAATTTGTAAAATTAAAGGTTTCTAATAGAAATTTATTTCAAATTTAATTTTAAAAAATATTTTGCAATTTTAAAAAAAAATGAATAATAATCAAAGATTTGATGTTTTGATTCTCTCCACCATTTTTTCATTTCTTCCCGCCAAAAATTATTTACTGAAAATTTGTCTTGTTTGTCGAGATTGGAATTTTTCAAATTCTTGTAAAATTAATAATCATGAGAATAATAACGATCAGAATTATCCTCTTCCGATGGTTGCACTTGATTTATCCAACCGTAAGATTTTTGATGAAAAATTAGTAAAATTACTTGATGAGCAATTGGATCGGTATGATTGGAGAAATTTGAGAATATTAAATTTGGAGAAGAATCTTATTGAACGTATTGGTTGTTTGATGGAGACAGGGAGATCGTTGCAATTGAGTAATTTGAGAGTTTTAAATTTGAATGAAAATCAAATTGATGAGGAGTGTAGTTTGTTGTGTTGTGGTGTGGAAAATTTTATCAATTTGAAGGAATTATATTTGAGAACGAATTTTATTAGAAATATTGTTGTGAGAACGCAATTTCCTGCTTTGGAAACGTTGGATTTGAGTGGTAATTGTATTGGAAATCAGGGAGTTGTTTCTTTATTGAAGGATGGTCTTGAAAATTTCCCAAACTTGCGAAAATTAGTGCTTTCTAATGTGGATATGAAGAGTTTGGATCCATTGCTCATGAATTGCCACAATTGCCCAAAATTGAAATGTTTAGATTTTAGTAATAATTTTATTTATAACTCACAAACGATTCATTATAAGCATTTTAATTTTCCATTATTGGATGAGCTATATTGCTCAGCAGTTAATTCTACAGCTCGTTTACAAGAATTAATTGTGGAAAAATCACTTGATTCCTCCCTCACAACACTTGATTTATCACAATGTTATGTTGGAGAAGTTTTTTTGAAAGCTCTTTCTTTGGGAGAATTCAAGAAATTGACTAAACTCTTACTATCTAATAATGAAATTGGAAATGAGGAAGTTCTGCTATTGGGAAAACTTGACATGCCGAATCTAGTTCATCTCAATCTTGATGATAACCTAATTGGATTGGAAGGCGCTAACATCATTTCCAATTTTACTAATTTTCCTCAATTAGAATTTCTTTCCTGTAGAAAATATCCCGCAACAAAACACAAAACATTTGAAAGTTATTCATTGAATAATTTTCTTGAGGATTGCAGGGAGGAATTGGGAGAGGAATTAGAGGAGGAAGAAGAAGATTGTGAAGAGGATTATTATGGAGGTTTACGTAATTCGAAAGGAAAGGAAATTAGTTTTGTATCGTCGTTTGTTAGCTTTACTTGGACAAAAAGTGATTATGTCTATGTCTATTAATGGTTTAGAATAGCAACTGACTGCTATTTTGGTTTGTTTATTCCATCAAATAAACCGACATTTGACTTTAAAAAAAATGAGACAAGACAAGATAACATTCAACCCAGATAATTATTGTCTCATCTATGAAGAGGTAATGACATGCCAAGAAACAAGAAATATCTTTAAAGAATTCTTGAAGGAAAACATGGCGGAAGAACCACTTCTTTATTTGGACGAATGTGAAAAGTATAAAGTGGAATATGCCAAGTTGAAAGAGAAATTTAACGGTTTATCTTTGATGGTTAAAAGAAGTAGTAGTGTAGGAAATGTTTCTGATTTGGGAAACGAGACAAGTGGCAAGGAATGGGATAAAAATCAGTTGACTAAATTATTTGTGAATTTAAAAGGAATTATTGATGAGTTTATTGTGGAAGAGGCAACTAAGGAGTTGAATTTGTCGGTTAGGAAGTGGACGATAATGGAATGGCAGATAATAGAAGCAATGATGAACGGATTCGAACAGGATTCGTCCAATTTTGAACTTTCGAATAATTTGTATAGGAAACTGGATATTAATGTGCTGTTTGAAAAGGTAGATTTAGTGGTTATGATAGATTTGAAAATGGATCAATTTCCTCGATTTATTCGTTCAAATTTAGCTCGAAAATTTCTATTAGAAAAGGGAGAACATTTCACATGAACTGTGGCAATCGATATTTCGAAAGGTTTCAAAGTTGATTTGAGATTTAAACCAAAAGATTTGAAAGATAAGGAAATTAATGACAATCACATTTATTTTGGTATGTTAAATTGCAAAATTTTCATTGTTAACCATTTTTAGGATTAACCATCGTTAACATTCCAATATTTTCGTCATTCTTTTACAAACAAATGGCGATGAAAAGGACGAAAAGTATAAGGAAATCAATGATGAAAGAATTGGATCGATTAACAGATTATGGACGAAAGAAAATGGATACTAGTTCATTTGTGGATGAATTGAATTTTAGAAAGTGTTTGGAAGAAAATTGTGTGAAATATCCGAATCGATCATGGTATAAGGAGTGGCTGGCTCTAAAACAAAATCCAACTCAATTTTAAAGAATTCCAATTTACAGAAAACTTAACATTTTGAAGTGTTATTTTAATTCATAAGAATGGAAGAACACTTATTGAGCTTGTCACAAATTTCTGCAAATGAAGGTCTTTCAACGTCCTTGTCCCAACATTTTGTCATTATTTCACACAACTCTTTCACAACAAGGGCAAGCTTCATCTCTGAATTACGAGAAGATCCAAAAATTCCTCCCTTCTCATTTTCCATCAAAAAGGAATTGACATATTCCTTCAATAAAGGATCCAATTGTTGATATCTTCTTGAAGATGAACTAATGTGATCACTGCCAGTACCTTGGAAGGAGAAATTCTTCTTGATTCTAAATGGAATTATTGGTCTCAATCCATTCACAATCTCTGTTGTAATTGAAATCATGTTAAAGTTAGGCAAGGTAATAGAATCAATTTGCTCAATATCAATGTTTGATTTCACGAGAGGAGAGTCATTTCTAAGTGGTTCCTTTTCCAATTCCACATCATCAATATTACTATCTTCATCCAAATTAATTGGTTCGTAAGGTTTCACATTAATAAGATTCTTGTGCTTGACCATAAAATTCTTCATGGCTTCAAAACTTTCGGGACTGTAGGCACGTTCTTCAAAGAGCAATTCCCACATGATAATACCAAATGAGTAACTGTCACACTTTTCTGAATAGTCCTGACCTAAAATGAGCTCTGGAGGCATGTAAACTGGTGTGCCGATGGCTGATGTGAGTACACTTGCAGAGTCTTGAGTAAATTCTCTTCCTAATCCAAAATCACAAATCTTGGCAACATTATTTTCAGAGATGAGAATATTTTCAGGTTTGAGATCTCTGTGAATCAATGGTGGATCTAAACTATGCAAATATTTCATACCATACGCAACATCTAACAAGTAATTGAGCTTTGTTGCCAGGTTGAGTGGGGTCTTTTTCTTTTTCGAGTCGTGAATCTTCTTTCTCAATGTACCTCCACTCAAATATTCAATGACAATGAACCGATCACTTGGTGTAATTGCAATTCCATAGAAAGTAACAATATTTGGGAATCTGAGAGTACTGAGAATATAAGCTTCCTTTTCAAAAGTAGAGTTGATTGTGTCTGTTTCTGCTTGATTGTCTTCATCATATTGAGTAATGTCAATATTAATTCTCTTGACAGCTACAGTGTTATTCATCCATTTAGCTAAAAATATTACTGATTCACCACCTTGGCCAATTCTTTCAACAATTTGCAGGTCTTCAGGTTTGATAATCCAACTCTTATCTTGATTGAAGGAGCTATTTCCTGCTGTATCATCGTGCAAACTGTGTTTGGAAGAAATAAGTTGATATTGGAGTAATCTCTTGTGTAAATCTTCTTCTGCTTGTTCTCTCTTCTTTAATTCTTTGAGTTTCTTTTTGAAGAAGTACAAACATAATGTGGTTAATAAAATGATAAAGGTCAAACCAAGGGCAACAATAACACCGAGTGAAATGAGTAATGCATTTTGAACTGCTGAATTGAAAATACATGCCTGATCATCTACACTGTAATCAAAACTGAAAGGACAATTTGGTTCAAGGTTGACTGGGAAGTAAAATTGTTGAATAACATTCTTACATTTAAAGTAAAGAATTAAGGTTTGATTGAGTTGTCCTTTCACTTGTACGTTACTGAAAATAGCTGTATCATTTGAGAAGGTTGTAGAAACGTGATTCTTGTAGTCTTCTGTGTTGTTAATATTAGTTGTGAAAACCAAATCAATATCTGCATTCTTGATGCTTTCCATTCTTTCATTGAACAAGTCAAACGAATCCAAGGTTATTTTCACAAATTGACCTGCATATAAATTAAAACCAGTGTACTTTTTCAAGAGAAGAGACTTGAATATACTAAGAGGAAAATCGTACGGAGTATCCTTTGGTTCCCATCCATTACTAGAAAGAGCAAAATACTTTGGATCAGAGGCATAATTGTCTCCATAAAGTTCAGCATAATTATCGTCAAAAAAAGCAGTCTTGAATTGGCTGGCAATACGCATACTGGTTGTTCCTACGAGAAATACAGCACCTCCAGAGTTTTCTGCTCTATTGTGAAGGAAATTAATATTGCTAAATTGGAATTTTGAATTTGGATAATCAATGTTATACAAGTACATTGCTCCACCATTGTCTGCCTTGTTATAGCTCAGAGTGATATTAGAAACTGTAGTAGAAACAGATGAAGGAGTGAAGAGAATTGCACCTCCCATTCCTTCTTTCACTGGATTGTGGACAATTCTATTGTACTGAAATAAGGAATCTTGGATATTCAAATTAGTTAAACCATAGGCAAATACAGCACCTCCTCCTGGAGCTTGCTCAGAGTAGGCCTCTTCAGGTTTGTAAATAATTACATTTTGACTAAATTTAGAACTTCTCACATCCAATAAATCTCCTCTCGACACGTAAATTGCAGAACCACGAATACTGGCAACATTACCTTCAAAAGAGGAATCCTTCAAAATGAGCGAACTCCTTCTCTCTCCATAAATACCGCCAGCTCTTCCTTGTCGTGCTAGTCCATAGTTGAAGCTACTTCTCTCCACAAATGAGTATGTACTTGATTTGAGATAGAGAGCACCTCCATATCCATCACAGGTACTGTTAAATAGAGTTGAATCGTTCAGGAAAAATTTTCCCTTCTCAATAAAAATAGCTCCTCCATCGTACTTGGAATAACATTTAGAGAATGTGGAATAGGTAATACTTGAATAAGGAATATCCAAATACAAACATCCACCAGAATCTTGACTTGTTGCTGTTTCGAATTTTGAAGTTGTAATTGATACAGATCCACTCTCAGAAGTGACATAGATAAAACCACCAAATGAAGAGAGGGCAGTATTGTAACCATCAGAAAATGTGGAGCGTACCAATGTGAAAACTCTATCAGTAACTCGTTCGCTTTGATCTGAAATGTAGATTGATCCTCCATGTCTCAAAGCAGTATTTCCCTTAAAATTACAACGTAAAACACTCAACTTCAATGTGTTTGAATTAATGGCTGCTCCAAACTGGGCACTATTATTAATAAACTGTGAATCAATAACCTTCAAACTGTCTGATGCTATCTCTGAAAATTGTTGCAAGTCCAAATAACGAACTGCAGATGCACTGCTCGTTCCCTCAAAAACACATCCAATAATGGATCCATTCCTCACATTTTGTAAGAAGAGAGCTCCACCATCATTGTCCAAAAATTTTGTACCAACCACAGATGTAGCTTGTGAATCAGCAATAGCAAGAACAGGTAACGTGCCCATATTACTATTTTCCATAAAGGCAGAGTTTGCAACCAACACAATGTAATAATTTTGAATGGAAACAAAGTGACAGGTTGTGTAACTGAATTGAACATTGGTAATAAAAGCACTAGTACCTGTCAATGACTCACTACTCTTAACTTGTAAACTTCCAGTAGCATTAAAGTTGGTATCAGAGATTTTAACTTTGGAACACGTTGCACAAGTCATGGCACCAACACTGTAACACTGACTTCCAGTGCAATTTGTTGCAAAATTGCTCTTCTCAATTGTGAACTGTCTAGCTGTGTGTCCAAAGATGAAATAGTGTTTTGGTGATGTGGATGTGCACTTTTGAGTTGAGGCACCAAGATCTTTACTTTCATCCAAACCAATTGTTACATAACTGGATGCAACATTGAGTGTAAAGGAAACATTTCTGAATAAAGCTTCACAATTATTATCCAATTCAAAATCAATATATGATTCAGATGGTCCTAAATTCCTCACCACTTGCAAATTTTCATAAAAACAAGTGCCACCTGAACATTCAACATAAGAATCGACCAGTTTAGAATTTCTAATGACAATATCTGGTTGCCAAGTTGCCGAAAACACATCAAACATTCGATTCAACTTGTTCATCTCCACCTCTTCAAATATAACTCTTGTTGTGTAAATACTCGAAACATAATCATTCTCTACTGCAATCACAGCATTAACATCCCAATTTACAAAGGCAATATTGGTGAATGATATTTCCATTTTGAAAGGATTGATTCGTATAAAGGGAGAATAATCAGCACATGAAATGAAAGTCTTTGACAATCCATAAAAGTTGGCAATAATCTTGCTTTGGATAGCCTCTGAATTGTTATAGTATGGCAAGTCAATTGCACAATTATTACTACCATCACTCACATCTATATTATTCAATAAATAAATATTTAATTCTTGTTCTTCCGCTATTATTACATGATAATAATTATAATAGTATTATTAGTATTAATTTACATATGATGATGATTATTATTAATTTACATGATGATCATTAATTTACATTGAAAATCAACAAAATTACTATTCGCATATATAAAAACAAACTACCTACCTGTACTAGTCGTATTGAACAGCACACTCCACCTCTCCAGTACATATTTTAGTGAGTTACATGGCTGAGAAGGGGTAGAACAGGGAAAGAAGTTATTGTTACTGCTGCTACTAGCCTTCGGATCAATGTAGACACTACTCATTATCTTGGCAATTGTGGTGTTGATGGTCAAAATGTTGAGAAACGATAGCACCACGAGGATAGAAATCAATCGCCACACCTCATGATCCCTTCGGGTCATCATTGAATGTCTCATCCACACAAACTATGGTAATTGTTGGAGTTGGAGGAGGTTTTTTATTCTTCTTGCGTACGATATTATCATTACGATGACCAAGTAGTAACATCCACTCAATATTGGAAGTAAACATTGACATGTGAAAATACATTTGATACTTGTCAGCAATATTGAAAATTGCATTGTAATAGGTATTATGAATATTTACATAATAATTTAATGCTTGTCTGTGATGAGATAGGATAATTGGAGAGCTTCGTTCTCTGTTAAAATTCCATCACCATCCAAATCGTAAGGTGAGAGAACTCCCTTGCAAATGTGGTAATGTGTCTCCACTTCAGAGACTTGTATTTTACCTTCCACTTTCAATTGTTCAATTGATTTTCTGACTCTCTTTTTCCATTCTTCCAATTCATGCAAATCTTCAATATTAGGAATGCTTAGCATTTGGTATTGATTCATTTTGGAGAAACCAGTTTCTGTTTTCTCATGTCTGAACTTTTCCAAATCTGCTAAAAAATCCTTCTTCACCATTGATATGGGTGGAGATTCTACATTATCAATATAATTGCTCAATTTTGGAATTACATCCTTCTTCCACTGATCAACTGACTTGTTCATTACTTCTTCGTATAATTGTTTGAAAATCCAAGCTTTGATATTTTGTCGAACAAGGTATTGAGGGTGAATTAATAAATCAAAAACAGTTTCCAAATCCAACTTGTTGAGATAAACTGCTGCATAGGCAACACAAGCTCTATTACTCAGAAGTGAGTCCTTTGTTTCTATATTTATGAGATTTCTCAAGAGTGGTTTAATTTCCTTATCTATCACAACAGTTTGACATCCTACACAAGCACTTAATTTCAAGGCATAATTTGGTGTATCAATTGAACTGTTTGGCAATTTAAGGGCTCTTTTGATCATATCTGCTCTCATTGTTTCCGAAAGAATAACAAACGGATTCATCAGTAAATTACAAAGAGATTGGAAAGGATAAAATTCATTATCAGAAGATTCTGGCAATTTTCTAGTTCCTCTCAAATCAGCAGATATAAACCCGTGATCTATTATTTGCTTGAAAATATCCTCATGGTCTTGTAACGTTTCCTTCGTTAATCCTCTCCTCAACTTTTGCATATTATCAACATCTCTTGCCCTCAAAAATCCCATAACACTCTCCTCACAACCACTTCCAAGATCCGACAAGTTTGCTCCCGAAGAAAACATTGATAAGGAATCACTCACCGACGATGATGACGTTAAGTGTTCGCTGTTATTGTTATTGTTGCTCATTACTATAGTAAATAGATATCTATTGGTTATAAGGGCGAAGCGTTGGGTTTTTTTTTAAAGTTTTTTTATGATACTTTTTAATTGTACAGAAAAAAGGCGCCAAATTTCAATGCCAATTTTGTAGGTTGCCATAAATCCAATAAAATTCATGGAATTAAAGAAATTAGTGTGGCCGGAAAGATTTCTGGCTGGGGTATTCTAGGAAAGAGTTTCTTAAAGAAATCTTTCCTGGAAAATCCAGTAAGCAACATAAAAATGGAAGCAATGCTTCCTTAATAGTTTTGAGTCCGAAGCTAATTGCACAGTTTTGAGCCTCAAAGACATCAAAAGAATATTCACAGCAAACTCAACAAAGAAGTACCTTGCATTCATAAAAAATATCAATTTTATGAGTAGCTTATTTTCGGAGTGGTTCTTCATCTTCCCACTCCAAGAATTGAACCTCATCATCTATACATCATCAATATAATAGTAATAATAGTAGTTTTATGTGGAAGTTTATCGTTATGGAATTAGATAGTAATTTTGATATTGGAAAAATTCAAGTTGGTGAATCATCATCAGAACACACACCAACCATCATCATTAATTTTTACCATCATTATAACAATAGTATTTGTAGACTTTAATTTGAGAATAGTATTATTTTGACAAAAGTTAATTTTTCACTAAATTGGCCAATATCTTCCGATGTACTGGACCATTATCAGAAATTCAAATGTGGGATTATTTGTAATAGTATATAGCAATACATATTCGAGTTTCATAGATTGGAATTTTGTTTTCATCAAGATAGGTACATGTATATATTCAAAATAATATTGACCATATTTCAACATGTACTTCATCATCAACCAAACTTTCTTCGAATAGTACCATTCAAATACTTCATCAACAACACTCCGAATAATAGTTTTTGGATATTTGGAGTTTTCACCTTGTTGGTGGTGTATTCATCATTCACCATATATTTTCATCATGATGATTGAATTTCAACAACATAGTATCATTAGTAGGGATGTCTAATATCACCATCAAGAGAGTTGGAATTTTTCCACTTAGTATTCATAGAGTTGTGGAATTTTCACTTCATCATATCTTTTATCATCAATATCATCAGCAAGTCCACTTCCGATCATTAAGGTAAATATCTTAATGGTCATCATCATCACACCATCAATAAAATTCACTAATGGTGAATTTTCCAACAAGGTAAATTTCAAGGTCGTAAATCTTGCTGATTTTCCACCTTGAATTATTTCAATAATTAAATAAAATTATATTTTTATTATTAGCATTGTGTTTTCTTGTAGCAACATCTGTTTTATGTATTCTCCACTTGATTTCATCAAATAAAATAGTAAATTAGAACATGATGTCTTTTCCTAATATCATTGGTTTGCTGCTTCAGAACAAAAAATTACAAATTAAGGTGGATTCTTCACATACAGTCACTTTTGCCATTATGGTAACAACTCAAATAAGGATGAATCAATATTGTTTACTGGAATTTCCAGGAAACTTTTTTCAGCGAAACTCTTTCCTGGAAAGACCAGAGGAAAAATCTTTCCGGCTACAATTAGGAAAGATTACAATTTGTGAATTTTGAAAGTGTGAAAAGAGCAACTTAATGGTCAACCAAGAATGAGGAACTGGCTGCCAAGATCGGTCACATGTCAATAACTTGAATCATGCAAAAAACATTAAAAAAAAATGAGAATTAGACCATCTCACTTTCGTCGTTTATTCCCAGACGAATGTTCTATTCGAATGGTCGCTTTTTTTCTTCTCCTAATCATTAGCATTATCCTTTGCATTGCTTGCCTTATCGGAACGATTATTACCTATTCCCTCTATCAAGGAGAGGATCCAAAATATTGGACACTTGACCGTGATCCATTTACGATGGTTTTTGCACATACAAATTCATGTTATGTGAAAGACGTTGTTTGTTCGAGGAGATATTGTGATATATATATGGAATTTCCACTTCTTACTAGTATTGTCTTTTGGAATTATTCGTCATTGGCTAAAGTTTCACCTGGTGTAGTTTATGATATTTCGAATAGTTTTGATTATGCCAAAATATCTCCAAATATTACACTAGAAAAGAATATATTGTATGGAACAGCAAGAACTTCGGATCAATTTACAAGTATGCTTGGAAAAACTATTACATGTTTTACAGATTATTCTGAAAAGGTATACATTAGTCCAATAATTCCAGCCAGTAATGTAAATTATGAATTAGGAAATGCTGGGCTAGCTACTGCAATTTGTAGTGGAATATTCTTTTTGACTTCATTAGGAATGGTGTTTATTTACTTTTTTTGTGGTTGGCTTTATAAAACCTAGTTTCATAATTTTCAATTCGGTACCAAGAGCTTGGGATAGACAAGCTTATCGAATCATCTCAGAAATACGAGAAGTTCCAAAAAAAGATAATTCGACAGAATAATACCAAGTAGTATTTTATTTCTTCTTTGGTATTTCACCATTAGATGAGGAAGTTCTCTTTCTCTTCTTTTCATAGGTTGAGTTATTCGTTTCAGTAGTGCTTAGTTTTGATTCATTTTTTTCTGGATTGGAAACAGTATCACGTATGGAAGGAAAGAAATATGATCTGTAATCTTGTGTATCGACTATATCTGTAATGCCAAGTAATGCCAAGCATTCTCTTGTGGTAGGTCTTTTCTTTCTTTCTATGGCCACCATTTGTTTAAGCATGTCAAATAGCATACTACCCTTATTGGGCTCTAGCTCGTGGCATTTGATTGAAATTGTTTGCCATATTTCATCAGCAGTATTTTCCAACCGTTTCTTATCTATATCATTTTCTAATATCAATTCAATAAAAACTAAACCAAGAGAGTAGATATCAGTTTTTGGATGAATAAAGTTTTTCCCTGTGGATTCCTTTTCAGGAGCATTGTAAGAAGAGGTTCCAGCAGTTGACTGTATCCACAAGTTTACGAATTTGCAAGTATCTCCATCTTCAATGTCAAAACGCTTGGCTAGTTCAAAATCAATGAATTTACAAAAAACGTTTGGGCCTTTTTTTTGGTCGACATTTGTTTCCTTAATAACTGTCGATTTTAAATGATCCTCTTCTAATATTATAATATTACTAGGTTTAATGTCATTGTGTATTATCTTTCTTGAGTGAATGTGGTCAATTTCAAGCAGCAGTTGAGAAATAATGTGCAATTTTTCTTGGTGTGATCGTTTGTTAACAGTATTGAGCTCGGTTCCTGCAATTGATATCTCGATATGTTCTTTACAAACTACATCATTCACAGTTACTCTGTCATGAAGAAGAAATATATTTCCAATATCAATCCATTCTGGTTTTTCCGAAAGGAAAATCTTTACAAACACTGGTTGAGAGGAATGATCAAGCACACCATAGAACATGTCTTTGGTAGCAGTACCTCTTCCTTGACCAGTACTTATCTCGAAAAGATACTCCTGAAGTGTGATAGTTGTTGTAAGCACTGTGTCTAATGATGTCGTGAGATGAATCACCAACTTATCACCCTGTGAAATATCAGATCCACTTTCAATAGAACTTTCCATTCTCTTTCTTCCCATAGACTCTTTGGTAATTGTGTCGATAAGAATGTTCTCTTCAAAATTAGCTTGTCTACTTGCCTCTAGTAAGAATGAAATAAATGTGTCAAGTAATTGTTTCTCCTCTGTCGTTGAAGGGTCAAGTGGAAACATCCCAACATTAAATAATTGATATTTGTATCTTTTCTTGATACGTGAAGTTTGTGGAACAAAAGCTTTAATTCCCAGCACACGAATAAACCTCTTCTCTGTCAGTAATCCATAAGTAACCAGTTTGTCGATTTGGATTGCATGTTTTTCAGAGGGCTTTATGTTTTTAAGTAAGGTGCCATGAACCATTCTTATTAGAGCCACTACCTTCAAGAAATCAGGGTGAGCAGTCTCGAAGTCTACCTTGTCCTCATGCCCAAACTTTAGACGATTGAAAGGAACGTCTTTCTCATTCTTTAATTCTAATCCGGAAAAATTATCAGGTGAAATAGTGCCCTGCAGTAAGTTTGCTACTTCCTTGCTGAGATATCTCGAGTTTTTTATCAAATTGCTGATAGAAACATTTCTAAATTGTTCTGAGCTCTATAATGTTTGGTTAAAAAACTTACTCATTAATTTTGAAGCCGTAGAGAGTAGGTAGTTGTAATAGTTTGTGGTATTTGGTGTTATTGGTATGAAACATTTCCTCTCCCAAAGAATGCATTTTGGTTGGGTGTAAGCAATCGGATAAAAGTTGAAAAGCTGCACTCAAATCTATCAAGTTGAAAACATCGACAACATGCCCAAATTTTTCAATGACCAAACGATAATGTGTGGAAATGGCTTCATTGTCCTGTTTGAGATTGTCAATGAGGCAGAACAATTGTTCTATGAAATTTCGAAAGTCGGTTATCACAGATACTTTTTGTATTGCAGCATGGAGGTTGTGATCCAAATGATGATGACGATCTGAAAGCCAAGTTACTTGCAATAAATCCTCTGCAATACAGAGTTTGTGGTTGAATTCTTCGGAGCCTTCTCTCCAGATATCTTTGCGAAGATCGAGGTTCTTTTTCTTGTGGAGTTCCTCAAGCTTTTCATCAAAGGATTTTGTCATTTTTTTTATCAGGCAATTTAAGCGCGAAATTTAGTCAAATACATTAAGGCAAGACTTGTACCAATATACAATGTACTTACATTGACTCGTTTCGAACGAAATGAAGAATACTGACATGACGATGGCAGATTACTATAATTATGGCTTGTTATGCGTTACAAATCCTTCAGAAAGATATTCCTTACTTTATTTGAATAAATAATTAATTTCAATAATCTTGCTGGGCAAGGAGAATGATAACTTGAGAGGCAAGGGACATGTCATGAAGTGAAACGAATTCGCTCTGTGAAAATGTAAACTTGAATGAAAAATTCAGTAAAAACTTACAGTTGAGTGGAAATTGTGGCCACCTGCGAAAATGTTAGCAGTTGGAAGACCCATCCAACTCAATTGAGAACCGTCAGTTCCTCCTCTAATAGAAACTTGCTTAACTTCCTCAATATTCAATTCCTTATAGGTTTCGATAATGCTCTTTTCCAAGTATGGATACTTGTCAATGATTTGTCTCATATTTCTGTATTGCTTGGTGAAAGTTGTTTCGATGGTTGCATTTTGATGTTCAGATTGAAGTTTGGCAACAATTTCCTTGATAATTTTTTGATAATTTTCCAAACCTTCATCATCAAAAGCTCTCAATAAACATCTAATAGTTGACTTGTCAACATTTCCATTAAAATCCATACAGTGAATGAATCCTTGTCTGTCCTTGCTTACTTCTGGTGTTAAAACTTGATCATTTGAAAATATCAAATCCAAAAATTTAGAAGCGACTTTGAGAGAGTTGACCATTCTACCATATGAATATCCTGGGTGAATGTTAAATCCTTTGAAAACCAAGGTAACAAGATCAGCACTGAAAGATTCAATATTATAGGTTCCAACTTCAGCTCCATCAGCAGTAAAAGCAACATCAGCACCAAACTTGGTTAAATTGAAATAGTGTGGTCCTCTTCCAATTTCCTCATCAATAGTAAAAGCAATCTTAATATCACCATGTTTAATACTTGGATTATTCACTAAATATTCAACAGCAACCATCATTTCAGCAACTCCTGATTTGTCATCCGATCCCAACAATGTTTCTCCACTGGCAGTCACAATATCATGTCCAATCATTTTAGCAAGCGATTTTCCATCAATTGCATACTCTACAATTGTTTTTCCATTCACAACCAAATCATTGCCGTCCTTATAATTTCTATGAACAATTGGCTTGACATTTGCTCCACTAAGCTCTGTAGCAGTGTCCATATGTGCCAAAAATCCAATATTTGTCTTTCTTTCGACATTTCCTGGCAAGACAGCATATACATTTCCATATTGATCCATTTCAGCTTGCAAATTCAAAGCTTTCAACTCATCAAGTAAAACCCGTGCAAAAATTAATTGTTTTTCAGTGCTCGGAACAGAAGCAGAAAGTGCATCACTCTGTGTATCAAATGTTACATAGTGCAGGAAACGTTCTTCCAATCGTTTTCTCATCCAATCTTGTTCCGTGATGGAAAATTTGGAATTTTCATAAATTAATTTTTTAATATTTGATGGTGATGATTGTTCTCCGTTGAGTCCGATCTGGATGGATTCTTCCTGTGTTGCTGCGATGACGGAATAAGAAGCAAGCAACAAGAGGAGAAGCAAGGGAATAAATTGTTTCATTTTTTTTGTAATCAACATTTATACCAGTTTACAATATAAACTCAACTCTGATTCTACTCTTGGTGTTGTTCCAATCAATTAAGAATAAGGGAACAGAGAACATCAGTTGTTTTTTGAGTTTTTGATATTCGAAAGATCAAATACTTTAGATATCTAAAGGAATAGACTTAAATGCAAATGATAGAAGACGGATTTACATGAAAAGTGGGCTATCATCACATAATCTGGCAATTTCATACAAATGTTGGATAATTTCCTCAAAGCTTGGTCTTTCATTTGGGAGCTGATGCCAACACTGTTGCACTAGTTTGATATACTTGGAAACACCTTCAACAAATAGATTGCTGTTCTCATTATTGATTGGTTGAATAAATAATCTTGTCCATTCCTTCAATTGTTCATCATTTGAGAAGGGAATGTTTGGTCTTTTTCCTCTCACTATCTGGGTAATAACTGTTAGACTGTTACAATCTGACATCTCTGTAAAATAGTTCATCTTTTTGTGATTGTGAGTCGTATAAGGAACTTCTTCAAAAAAGAGTGACCACATAATAATTCCAAACGAATAGACATCAATCTTGGATGCATTCTTGATTCTTTCCTCTTTTGATAAGGAAGATCCTCCAAATGTACCTGATCCAATTGATGAATTACTATTCATATTTGAATTGGAATAATGGATGGAGTCGGTAGCGTTTGAGAATCCAGAGAACTGTTCATTTTCAAAAAGCTCAGAATTATTAGAAACTCCAGAATCAAAATTCTCTGGAAATATTTGTTTAACACAGTGAAACTAGAATAAAACTTACCTGGAGGGCAATATAGAAGTGTACCAATGTTCAATGTCATACTAGTTTCAAACATGTTATTTCCAACAATTCTTGAAAGTCCAAAATCACAAATCTTTACACAATTTTTATCATCAAGAAGTACGTTTGCAATTTGAATGCCAGAATTCAATAAATTGTAATATAAATTACATACCTGGTTTCAAATCACGATGACAAATCATATTTGGTTTAAGTGAATGCAAATAGGACATTCCTCTACTCACTCCCATCAAAATATCCAATTTCTGTTTCATAGTCAACTTTTGGCGACCAACTTTGCATTCACTGATTAGTTTTTCCAAACTACCTCCTTTCATGAATTCAATCACCATATATTTCTGGTTCTTGTTTGGAACACAAAAACCGTACATTGTAACTATTTCATCTTAAGTTATTTGAAACATAGGGGAATATTACATACCAATATTAGGATGTCTCAAACTAATTAAAAGTGCTCCTTCTCGTTCAAAAACATCTTCGTCATCTTGGTCCTTGATTGATTTAATTGCTACTTCAATTCCTTTCCATAATCCTTGATAAATCATTGATTGACCTCCTTCTCCAATACGTTTCTGAATTGTAATATCCTCGGTTGGAATAATAAATGACGCCTTACTGTTAGGTCTATCCTCAGACTCTTCGAAAATAATCTTCTTATCAAGTAATACCCTTTCCATTTCAGATTCAGCTCTGGTTCGTTTTCTCAGTAGCTTTGATTTGTATCTAGCAACACAAAGTCCAATTAATCCAATACAAGTGGTAATCAATGTCACTGCTGCTAAGCTTGTGACTAGAGGGAGAATGTAAAAAATGTTCACACAACCTGGTGCCTCATATCTATAGAAAGAAGGGCAAGAATCGAGAATAATATCCACCGTATAAGTTACTCTCTCATAGGTTACTGAAAGCTGCACACTTCTTGCTTCCTTGACTTCAGAATTTGAATACAAGCTAAAAGGCAGCCTGAAATCAGTATTGTTTGAGGAATCTGTCTTTAAAAACAGACTAGAATCACTAACTTGAAGAGTAATTGGAACCTTAGGTGTTTCAATTAATCTTCCAAAAATGTTTCTTGCCTCAATCTCAATAATAAATTTTTGCCCCAAATAGGCTTTTTGAGTACCATTATAAACCGTGTGAGGATTGACATCAAGCTCAATAACTTTGTACTCAAATTCAAAACAAGGAGAGGAAATAGAGTCGTCATTGTCATAATAGTATTCTTCATTGATATAAATGGACCTATTACTGAGCACTTCTGAGTATCCAATTTTTCCATATTTTGCAGTGTTTGCATAAAAGACATTACTTGGAGTAATCGTGACCCGTATCTCTTTTGGTGCTTCCCCAAAGAAAATTACACCTCCCTTCTTTGCTATGTTTCGTTCAAAGTAACTTGTACTTATTTCAGAACTTCCTGTTACATAGAGTGCACCTCCTATGGTGTTTTCATTTCCATTTCCAATAAATTTCGAGCCATCCACAGATAACACGTTTATATCGTATTTCGCACGAGACCTATATTCATAAAATATCGCTGAGCCCTTTGGAGCAACGTTATTGTAAAACTCACAATTCTTGACATGAAAAATAGCACTTGATTCAATATAAATTGATGATGTAGTGCAATTTAAAAATCTGGAATTTTGCACAGTAGAAGATTTTTCGAAATAGTCATTGGATGGAATAATAGTATCATACGAAATTACATAATATATTGCTCCATTATAAGCATTTGGTTTCACATTAATAAATTCTGAATGATCAACAAGGAAATAATGAATATCTTGCATGTGTAAACAAGTTGCAGAAATGTTGTTACATGACAGGTTTGTAATTTGTAACTCTTTGCATGTACTGATAAATATCATACTGCCTTGTGTGTTACTGTCATAGACTCTAACATTGTCAATCACTAGTTTGACGATAGAGGATACAAATAGCCAATTGGTTCCCATTGAAATGTTACTGTTAGTTATGTATGCGTCAATGGAATATCCAATATATAATACAGGATATCCTATTGCAAACGTTCCAATATAATCAATATTGTCAATAATTATTTCATTAGATTCAATGATTGAAAGTATAGAATCATCTCCAGTATCACACTCAAGTATTTTAACATCATCTACCCTTTCAATGAAGAGTTTGGCTTTCAGAGCAGAGTTTGTAATTTGCAAAATTCTTGAATTTCCTATAAAAGTATCCCCTCTGATTGTCACATGATCAAGCTCAATAATATCATAGTTAGCCATTCTCAAGTTTGTATCTGATATATCAACTTGTTGAAATATTGATACAGTTCCTTTTCTTGGTGAAAGAACCATTTGATTATTATATGTAAATTCACCAAATTTCAAAAGTGATGCACTGAATTTACAATTTGTAAATGTTGCTTTGGGTGCACTCGTCAACGACATAGCAACATTGGTAAATCCAATATCTTGTGCCTCCACTGAAATGATGTTATTTTGATCAGTAAGAAGAGTTTGCCTTCCAACATGACAAACAATTGAGGCCATACCAGAATTCAATCCATTCTCAAATCTAACTCGATAACTAAAACCAGTTCTCTTATAAAAAGAAGGAACCTGACATTGATTCTCTGCTTGAATCCTAAAAACCACCGAGATAATAGTCTCTCCAAACATCATTGTTTTTACCATATTATTCAAATGATTAACAGCACTACTCATATAATTACACAAATACTTTCCAGCACCTCCGGTACATGATGAACTAAATATCGAACTGATTGTATACTGATAACTCCTTTCCGAAACTCCAAGTACCAAATTATTATTTTCATTAATTATATTAGTACACAATAAAACAACAATGATCATCAAGTAATAAATTATTCTTGATGAACCCGAAGCGACTCTCCTTCTTGTATTCGTCATCACCATCATCGTGTGTCTAGCTTCTTTAAATTTGATGACGGTTGTGTTGTGGTCAATGAATTGCCGGCATAAAATCTTTGTGAGATTCAAAGACCAAAATTATTTGTGAGATGCAAACACAATTTTTTTCTTCTTGAAAAGAGTGGAAAATGCGTTGTGAATCTTAATTACGGTTAGACTAATAAGGGGAAATTTTCCGTATTTGGTCCCTTAATAGAATTTATTTTTTGAAAAAGATGGAAGTTTATTTTAGAAAATGATAAGAAAGGGGTTTTGAAATGTCAATGAAGGGTCATGACAGTATTGAGATAACAGTGGACAGAATCTGTCATCGAATTGACACCTGGCAGTTTGTTTGAAATGAACAGAGATAAACAAACGGTAAAAAAATGCCTCTCCTTAACAGCTCAACTAAAGATAATGACCTGCAAGCTTCCAGAAATTCAAAAGCAGTTAAAAACGACGTACCGAAACATCACCAACTATCATTAATCAAGGAATCAATAACAGCAATGGGGAATTAGTTTTCAATAATGGACGAAACAGACACTTTACTGCCAATAATTACAAAGTTCTCTATGAAGAGTTGATGAACAACCCAAAAGGAAGAGAAATCTTTCAGAAATATCTGAAAAATGAAGCATGTAGCGAAGAGCCAATTCTTTTCCTTAATGAAATGGATGAATTACGAGTCTAATATAACAAGATTAATAATTCGAATGAAATTTCATTGAAATTATGGAAGAAATATTTGGAGAAATTGTTTCGTATGGTTGAGAAATTCATCAGAGAGAAGAGTAATACTGAATTAAATCTTCAAGAAGCTCAACAGGAAAAATTATTGAGGAAAATTGATGAAGAAATTGCACCGCAATTTTCAAGAATATTTCTTTGTAATAATGGAGGAAAGAAAGTTTCGTCTCCTTCCTCGCCCTCTTCGCCAACAAGTTCAAAAAGCTCCAAGTCAACCGAAAGCTATGAATCTTTCAGTAACCAATCTGTTGAATCAATAATAGAACAAGAATTGCAGAGCTATCTCAATATTGTCGATCCAGATGTATTATTTAATGAAATTGTCATATCAGTGAATGTTGATTTAAAGCTGGATCAATTTCCACGATTTTCCAGAAGTAAATTTCTCCTTGATTTCCTTAACAAGCAAGGTGAAGCTTTCACCAGATCCATAGCCATCGATGTGTCCAGAGGATTTCACGTGGACATTCGATTTCTCCCAAAAGATTTATCCAAAAACTTTATCTACGACAAGGACATTTTCTTTGGATTTAGTTTAATTGAAGATTCACCAGATTGGCAAGTCATTCCTTGCTCTGCCATGTCAAACCAAGCTCAACTCTACCACTCCAACACATCCTACATATTTGGAAATAATGCAACTGGTATGAAACTCTACAAGATGGTCACAATTCTGCCCTACAAACTGGAAGATGTCTTTTCAGCATTTTGTTTCATTCAAGGTGAAGACACTGGAGATCGATTGACTGAAAATCGAATCATTGGATCAAATGCTCCCAAACAGGCCATGTCCATGACTGGAGTGGATGAGAAGACTAATCCACTTGCCATTCGATATGTCACTTCATCATTGAAATTGTTACTTCCTGGACTAAAGGAAAGAGAATTTCCAAGAAGTTTAACTTGTGTCTATGATTGTGGATTGGATGCTTATATTAATGTTGGACACACGAGTCGTTATTCATTTCATGATGTGTCGAAAGAGAGAGTGGAGATGGATATGTTCTTTGTAAATATCATGTATCGAATAGGAGATTCGACAAGATTCGTATATGTTATTTACAGTGATGCACATACGCCCAAGGTATTGGATTCGATGTTTGCAAAGGCTCATTGGAAACAACGTTGTGTGAGATTGGAACAAACATTCTTTCAATTATTACAAACTCACCAAACAAGTGAACTTTCAGATAATTTTAAACTAAAAGAACTAGTTGAAGAAAACCTGAAAGCACATCCTCAAAAATCATGGTACAGAGATTATCTGAGTTTGTTTCATAATAAATCTCTCTAATTTTTAAATAACTCAGCTCCGAAAGACCTTGTTTATATGTATTCGAAAGTTAACAGATGTAAATAAGGAAGTTTTTACTAATTTAACAAAATAAATAGCCTCTTTGAAAGATTCACCTTACAATCTCCTTCCTTTTGTAAATAGCATTGGACAAATAGTCGGTGATGAAGTATGCTGATGTCAACTGTTAAAACATCATAAAAAACAAAATGACTTCTATCATCACCAACCAAACCTATGTCATTACTGCAACAACTGCTGATAGTGTTGCAAACCTTGTTGTTGATAGTGTAACTTTGATGGCAACAGCTCTCGTGATTATTCCAACACTCATTGTTTATTTCAAGAGAGATTCGTATTTGATTTTTAAAAGTCTAGTAGAAACTTGCAATTCGAACATGCATGCACCAGATCCCAGAACCAAATCAAAAGGTTTCTTCTTTTGCTTGATGAATAGTTTAGTTTTATTTCTGATATATCGAGTACTCATCGAAGGACTCACAATCGCTCAGCACACTCAAGAATTACGAAAGAATGTCGAAACCTTTGTATTATTATTGAATATAAGAAGAATTTTAGATTACATTGGCATGTATTGGTTCTTAACCTTATTCACATTCATCATCCCAATTTGGATGAAAGTTTGCATTACATGGATTTCCACACAACGAAACCGAAAAATCATGAAAATTACAATTGGAATTCTTCTCATTCTTGTCAATGTGTTGGGATTCTGTGGTTTCTTACCAGTTACTGTCTTGTCAATTATTAGTGCAATTGATACAAATTTTGAGAGTAATGATTTATTGAGAAAGATTTTAACTTATGGAATTGGAACACCACTTGTTGGTATTTCAACTGCAATTGTTTTCTTTTTGAGTATTGGAGTGGTGGTAATGATTGTTATCATGTTGAGAGATGCTTCAAAGAAACAACCTGATAATAGTGAGCAATATCACATTCAAAGACAAGCTATTGTCAAATTGACTGTTGGAGTTATTGTTTTGGCAGCTGCTGTCTTGATTGAAACAATTGGAGTTGCTGTGAATGGAGCTAATGTTCCAAATTATATTGTATTTCCATTGGCTAAGGGAATTCCATATGTTTTCTTTGCATTGTGTGTGGATTTAATATTTTGGCCATTTCCTCTGCCAATTCTGAGTCAACCAGTGCAATTTGTCATGCAAGAATTGAAGTTTTCCACCATTGTTAATTTACCATCAATAGAAAAGAAGAAGAAATTGGAGCAACAAGCAACACTCAGTAATCAATCCGCTAATCCTGAGACTAAACATGAGGAAATTCAATTGGAAGATCAATCAAATGTTTAATTATTTCTCTGATATTAGAAAGTGTTTTAAATTATTTGAATGAATTCCCTTACTGGGCCATCACTTGAAACCAACTTTTGTGAACTTGAAGATTTCTTCCCTCCTATCCTCTGATTTCACAGAACATTGTAAATCAAAACAATAAATCATGTTTGTTTGCCAATGTTAACAAAAATTACTTCCTCTTGTTCGTGTAACCAACTAAAATGCAAACTCTTTAGCATGTAGGATCATCGTCAAAATAATTCTCCTCCCGCATATTTTGTGAACTTGAAAAAATAATTATTATTTTAAAAAAATTCTCAAAGGCTTCCCTGCAGGGTTTTATTATTTACTCATCATCTCCATAATGTCGCAGAGATATTGTGTTCAACAAGCCTTGTTGTTGGTGCTGCTTGCTTGTTGTAGTGTTGTACTTGCTCAAAAATCGTACACTATCAATTCTATTAATTCTGTAGTTTATGTATCATCGGGAAGTTGTGATGTGTCGGTTGTTGAGACTTATGTTTATGACTTTTTAGGATCTTATTCGACTGTTGCTAGAGCTATTCCATATACTATTGCTGCATCATCTGCATTTCAAACTAGCTCATTGAAGGTTGATGTTTTAACTCCTGGATATTCCGTTTCAAAGTATACTAGTGATCAACAAGATGCCAAGTTTATTGTGGTAAATATTAGTCCTTCTACTCCTTCTGGTACCTCTACTAGAATGAGTATTCGTTATTCTTATTCTCTTACTGGACCTATTCGTCAATCAGGTGTAAGTATTACTATTATTTCACATTATTTCAACATGTTAATTTGTCATCTTGTGAAATAATTTCATTAAAATTCATCATCATATGGATATTGAACAATAATTGGAAATATCAATAACAGGGAAATAATCAAGTCACCTACTATTACAAGGAAGGAACTGAAATCAACAACTTGAATGCCACCTTCACCTTTGATTCATCAATTGATTTGAAGGGAAGTTTAGTACCATCTGTTGGAGGTGTTGTAGTTGGAAATTCTGTCAACTTCCAAAAGATATCAATCTTCTCAAACACTGCCTTCCAACCATCAGTTTCATTCAACACAATTTCTGGTCAGTTCAACAAGTGTAGTGGTCCTTCGTCTTCTGACCTTTTAACTATTATAGTTGTTGTGGTTGTCGTTGCTGTGTGTATTTGCATTTCCATCGTTTGTAGTATTCTTGGTTTCTTTAGAAGAGCTGTTAGTAATACTTTAGGATTTACAAGATGGGGAGGTTCTTCATCCTATGGTTATGTTTCCAATGATTATGGACATCACCATCATCATTACCATTCTGGAGGTCATCATTCATACAGTGGTGGTGGAAGTAGTAGTCGTGGTAGTATGACAGGCACCAGTGGTTTTGCTAATTAAAATTGAAATAATTATCATCCAAACTTTTAGGTGCTCTTTTTTACCGTTACATTCTTTTAAAAAAAAATAGAAAATGGCATCATGTTGGATGAGTAGGAAGAGTAGTATAGTAGGTTGTGAACAAAATTATTGTTTTATTCATTGTTCAAATACTGTTGTTATTATTATTGGGAAAGCAAAATTGGGAGAACTCTTCTAGATTACAAGGTATCGGGAATTAGTACTAATTCTATTATAGCAAATTACAATAGATTACTAATCTTGACTCTATCAAAACGTTTGGCTATTAGCGAAATGTCTTCATTGGAATATTTGGTTATCAGGTTTGGATAATTCAATACAAAATCAACAGCCAAATCGATTGCTCTTGAATTTTCCTTATTGGAACTTGACTTTTGGTTTAACAGAGATTGAATTCTTCTATATGGCCAACGTTCAATATTGAGTCTAGTCTTGATTCTTTTGAGTTTGCTCTTGGAACACCCTAAACGCTTTGCAGCTTCATTCTCTGGAAGGAAAAAGTGCTTTTTAATATCATCATAACAAATGTAACTCTTTTGATTGGAACTAGTTCTATTGCATCGAATGATTTGAGATTGGTGTGAGGTTGTAAACTTATTCTTCAAGTCTACTGATCTCATTCTTGACTTGCTATTGCATTCTTCTTCATTGGAACTTGAAGAAGATGTATTATCATCAAGAATGACTGTTTTACGAGTACGTTTGCTACTTCTTTTCAGTATCGAACCATTTTCATCAGAGTTTTGGCTTGATGCTGATGTATAGTCTGGAGCAATTGGAATACGAGTGGATGTTTTTACATTGGATAACGAACAATCAGAATATTCCAAATCACTAGTATTGGATCTATCTCTCTTCATACTGATTGGATGTATTGTCACTACTGAGTTTAAGGTGAGCATGTTGTTATAGTTCTTCTTAATAATAGGGATGAAAATGTTTTTCTATTGGAAAGAGTTTGATCTTGGCAGGACGAATATCGTGGAGGTGGTTAATAATTATTATATTGGACGAGTTCGTGGAATGGTGTTGAGATCAGAGTAATATACACAAGAGAGAGAGAGGAGGAATTAAAGTTGTTTTTTTTGAATGTGCTACTTTATCTCAGTAAGGGTGAGTGTTTAAATTGTGAGGAGGATTACACTGAATGATTCGCTTAAATGCAACAACAAACTGCTTACTTGTCTCAATTATCAAGAGAGGTACCACCTAAAAGTACGTTCAAGGAATTGGAGTTAACAGGAGCGCGAGATTTGAGTGCAAAAATCTAGCGCTACTGTGTTTTACTGTAATTTTGCACCATTTACTTTGTTTTACAGCGCTTAATTTGTGCATTCAAAATGCTAGAAATGATTGTGTCATTGAGTAATGAGTCCAAACGGTTTATTTCAACGGTTAGAGTGGTGGTGTCAAACGAAAATATTATGTGGAGAATCTTCAAACGAAAACATTACTTGGAAGAATGATGATATGTAGGACAATCATGATAAGTATTAATGAGTTTTGCAAATAATTGAGTAATGGCTCAATTCTTTGCTCAACTAACGCAACAATTAATGGCTTGGTTGTTGAACAAACTCAGGAACACAAGGAACAAGATTATTGGAAGGTTAACTTTATACACTGAGATCTTGCGTTGGAGTTTTTGCACCAATTTGTTGCCATTACGGTCGCATATTTTCCATTATTTCACTAGGTGAATCTATTAAGCACACAAAAGATTTTTCACACAATGAAAATTTATCAACATATCAAATGAATGAGACAAATACCGTGAGTGGAATCATCAGCTTAATAGTTACAGAAGATTGGACAATTTATTTCTTTGGAAACAAGTGGCTTGGTAATGAAGTTGGGACAAGATGAAGAAAATTCACCTCAAAAACAAATTTTCCTCATCTGACCGATCTGTAAGGATCAAATGTAATAGGACTATTCCACAAGTTCATCATTATCTCCCTCAAGAGCTCTTCAACTGGTCCTTCAGGTACTGGTGTTGTTCCTTCTGATCCTTCTGCTACCATTGCAGAGAAGGGTAAGATAATTTCCTATTGTTCTGTCTTTGAGCTTTAGATTTCTTGGTGTTGGATTTGCCATTACGTTGTGGTCTCGAACGTTTTTGAATGGAGGTGAAAGTTTGATGAGTTTGATGAGTTGTAGTATGAGCGATCATACAGAGGATGAAGAATTTGAATGAACAACAATAACATGCAGATTATCCAGAAGAATATTGCTTTGCGATGAAGCATCTTGTTCTAGGCTACTTTTTTCGCCTGAAAAACAGGCAAAAAATATTTAGGCCAAAAAAAATAGCCTAAAATGTCTAGGCGCAAAATAGTAGGGTGCTTATTTGATGGACAAAAGTTCTTGGTGTTGCCTTGTATGTATTAATAACACCGAACAAATACACGTTCCATTATTTTCCACCATTAAGAAAAAATATTTCAGCCCAAACACACATTGGGAACACTTTGGTGATTTTCAGAGTGATTTCACCCCATGAATCCACCAAACTTTCACATCATCATCTCAACATCATCCTAATAGTATTACTGGTAGTATTTTTTATTATTGGATTGTGATTATAAATTTGGAATTTAATTTTCACTTGGGAAAAATTCAAGTTGGTAAACCATCATCGGAACAACTTCCAACCATCATCATTGTTATTTATCATCATTATAATAGTAATATTTGTGGAAATAAATCTGATAATAGTAATATTTTAGTGAAATTCAATATTTTCACTAAAATCATCATCACTGCCAGATTCATATGGTAATTTGGAAAACTTTCAATCTAGTATTGTTCAGCATGGTCGATTCCATCAGGTAAAATCACTTCCGAACATTTTCCTATTGGTTATCATCATGATAGGTTCATGTATATTTTCAACATGTACATGGACCATAACTCAACATGTACTTCACCAACTTGGAAAATGTCTTTCATAACTACTATTCAAATACATAATAAACAATATATTTATTATCAGTTTTTCATCATTTTGTTGTTTTACCAACTTCGGAATATTCATGATAACATATCATGATTCATGCCAAAAGTACATAGCCAAACTTCTTGAAACATTAATAAACTGTTATTAGTATTATTGTAGATGTACCATATCAAATATTTCGTTTTATTTCGATGAGATCATAAAGATCTTAAATTTCTCTCTAAACATGCAAGTTCTCAGCCTAACCAGATGTTCACCATGTCAAAACATCAAAATAATAAATTTCATTGTACTTTTGTATCACACATTAATTTATTGTGTTAAATTCATTGAATTGGAGATTTTAAATTTTTAAAAACTAATCTGTGATTATTTACCAATTAAATATACTTCTTTAATACTTGATAATTCATAAAATCCTAGTAGATATTGAATAGGTTCATAAAACAAGATATTACACATAATGGCTCTAAATTCATGCTAATAGAGCTTGTTTAATGAGACTTATCATATTAATGATATGTTGTCTAATTGGATTCTATTTGTGCAAGGCCTAATTCCATCCCTAATATAGCAGACTTTTAGGGATGGATAATTTTAATGGAATCTATCCTAGAAGTATTTTTCGCCTGGAAGGTTCATACCAACGAATTTAACTGCCTGGGTCTTCATGCGAGTTTTTATCGCCTATAACACATCTTCATGGTGATTATGAAGGGTCATGTTTTCTAATTCGGTTGTTGTGGTTTTGTCAATACTGAGATAGTCGGGTTGGACCTTAATTGGAAAATTTGTAAATGCGGAAGAACCTGATTTACAATTGGAAGGATGAGCAAGCGTACTTTGTGGGTTCATACCAGTAATGAAATTGGAGTGGGCATTTGGTGAATCTGTAACTGTAACTTGGGAATAGGGGCTGACCGGATGAGTTGAGAAGGTTGAATGGAGTTGGGAGGAGTTGGAACGGGGAAGGGAGACGAAATTGTCTATTGGATTGAGTATTGACACATGTTCTATTTGTCTCAATTGAAGAAGCTATTAAATCGTGATGGAATTGATTTGTGAACATTAAGGAAGGTGAAAGACAGATTATCGTTTTTGAGGGTTTGACTATGGCGTTTTGGAGTTGTATTACAACAACTATAATCAACATTTCATTCCTTTGAAAACATGTGTAGAGGAGAGGGAGGATACATGTGTAGAGGCAGTTCGATGGGAGTTTAGGAAAATGTTGGATGTGGAAAGGAGAATGGTTGAAAATTTAGGAAAATTGTGAATTGTGATTGGAAATGTTGTTGATTGTAATGTGACAGGTGTCATTTCGGATGCTTTCCTTACATTCATAATTGGCAAGGTATTGAATTGATTCACCTACTAGAAAAATCAACACGAAAAAAATGTTTCGAAACAGCCATCAAGAGACGTCAAATTTTGCATCAGACGAAAGTGAAGAGAAAGTTGAAGATACAAACGATGAATCATTAGTGAAAAGATATGAAAATGAATTGGTACATATAACAGGAACAGAAAATGTTTACGGGTTTAGTTCTTCAACAAGTGCAGAAAGAGTTTCGAATAGTGAATTGATGGTTTTAGGAAAGGCTGTCACCGAAGGCATTCAACGTTTGAATATTCAAGAAGAAACAGAAGATGGTCCTTCTTCCGTCATTAGTGACAATCGAATAGTTTCAGAGCCATCATTATCACTCGAAACATTAGTCGAAACTATGCAACAACTCGAAGATTCTCAGAGAACAAACTCGCAACCAAATCAAACTCAACCTCTCACTTCAAAATTCATTCCCAAAGTAGATCACATACCACATAATGATCCTCAAGATTTGAATTTACTTTCGGATGCTTTCGGATACAGCAGTGCTTATTATTGTTTCGGTTCTAATGAAGAGAATTTCCTTTCACTGGACTATTCTGCACTTGCTACAAGTGGAGATTCGTATAATGGTGAAGTGATTTCAAAAGTTATGAGAAAATCCTTTACAAATCAATCAGTTGTTTTAAACGAAAGTCAACAAGCAAGGAGTGGCTTGGGATTGGTAGATACTAATCAAAATGTTGACACTTCTCCATTCAAGGTTAGATGTTTGGGTGGAAATGAAGTAGTGGAACATATTAGAATTGGTGCCTACAACTTGGGAGTTATTACACGAAACCTTTCTAATAACTTTTCTAATGGAAACTCTAAAACTAACTGCTATATTTCTGGATCTAACGAAAGAGGTCAATTCGGCAGACCAAAATCATTTAAGGGATCGAATGGTCTCATTAAAATTGACCATTTCGACAAGAATAATCTAACTTTGAAAGATATTGCCTTTGGCTCTTATTTCACCTTATTTCTAACTGAATGTGGAAAGGTTTTCTCCTGTGGAGAGAATGAAAATGGTCAACTGGGAACCAATTCTATTTCCAACCAATACGAAATCAAACAAATGCGTGTCATTCATCCAGAAACTAAACTAGAAGAATTTGTTACTGACATTGAAACTGGCGCCTTTCACACACTTGCCAAAACTTTGAGTGGAAACATTTATTCATGTGGATATAACTGTTGGGGGCAGTGTGCCATCTCTGAAATTGATGGAGATGTCATGGTTCCAACACTAATTGATAAATTTGGAAAGGACAAGATTGAGATTGAAAGAGTTATTTGTATTGAACATAATACTTTCTTTATTACAAAAGCAAATCCATATTCTGAAATTTATGGTAAGTTTTTGTTGTGTTATCAAATAATTATTAAAAGATTTGTTGGAAATTAGGTTGTGGATTCTCAAAGAAAGGTCAATTGGGAAAGGATTTTGGAGAGGCAGTTAGAAATCCAGTGAAACTGGATTTTTTCACAGGGAAGGATTTGAGTGTTAAGAGTGTGAATGGTGGTTGGGGTCATGTCTGTATTGTAACTAATGGAGGTCAAGTATTCTCACAAGGATTGAATGATTATGGTCAATTGGGATTGGGTGATTTAGAATCAAGAAAATCGCCAACTTTGGTTCCATTCTTTGATCATCTTTACAAAAATTGTAAACTTGATAAGATAGAACAAGTCAGATGTGGAAGTTATCATTCTCTATTCCTCACTCGTTCAGGAAAACTCTTTGGATGTGGATACAATGAGATGGGATCCATTGCCTTAGGAAATGAACATTCATGGATTTCCACACCAACCCTAATTGTCCAATTCCCAAATTGCCTAATTGGAGAACCATTCTATGAATTGGAGGTTAAAACGTGGTGCTACACAACTTGCATTCTTGTAAAGAAGAGATTTAAGAGAATTGAGAATATGTTTGGCAGGTTGAGGAATTTATTGGCAAATGAAGAATTTAATTTTGGAGATGTTAAGATTATTTCATTGAATTAGGAATAAAAGATACTTAATCTTAGAATCAGACTTGGAGATTTAACTTTTCACATACTCCATATTTTTGTAATGTTAATTATTTTACCAAAATGGACATGTGTGTCGATTTTAATATGAATGATTAACATGTCAATGAAATCAATTTCACGTGAAATTAAAAAAATGTCTCATTGGTTTAAAAACAATAATGTAGAGAGTGAAGATGATTCAGAGGAGGAAGCAGATGGAGAATATGTCGATGAAGAGAATGATGTTGCTGTTCAGGCACAAGCTTCCAATTCTGAACAGCTCTTGGTCAGCGTTTTGAGATACCTAGGAATAGATGATGAGACACTGAACAAGTTAGCTGATGAAAACTACATTTCTTCATTACAAAGCAACTTGATTGACATTCCTTCGTATTTACAAACCAAGTTGGACAGCATTTTCTCAACATCTTTGAATAATTTTGAGTATGACAGCTGTCTTGGTGGAGGTGGTTGTGGAGTTGTGTTGAAATGTAGACACAAAATGGATGGTAAAATGTACGCTCTAAAGTTTATTCCCTTTGCTGATGAAGACGATGATTCGAATGGTCAAATATCCATCAATGAAGCATTGAAAGAAGTCAAAATTTTGTCTTCACTGCATCACGAGCATACAGTACGATATTACAATAGCTTTATTGAAAAGGAAATTCCAGAATCATTTAAAAAAGACATTATCCATGTTTGTAAAGAAAATGCAATAGAGATTTCTGATAAGTTTCTCGTCATTCAGATGGAATGTTGCTTCACTAACTTGGGTTCATTCCTCGACAAATATAAAATTGGAAAAGGAGAAAGAAACCAACTCAGATCTTTTCTTAGACAAACACTTACTGGACTCTCCTATCTCCATAGAGAGGGAATTGTGCACTACGATATCAAACCTCATAACATTCTAATCAGTGAAGAAAACAAAATCAAGATTACTGATTTTGGATTGAGTGCTACAGCAGGAAGATCCTCTGTTGGAGAGTGTGCTGATGATTGTGGAACATCTCTTTATTTTACTGACAAATTTCAAAAAGAAGAAAGGGATTTGTTTGCTTTGGGAATTACTTATTTCCTAATGTAAGTAAGGGTACTTAGTTGAATAGTAATTCAATATAAATAATCGATAGGATTAACAATGATAATCGTGAGGCCAGTAAATTGAAACAAGACCCAAATAATTATGAATTCTCAATTGATTTTACAGATATGGACAAGATGTTGATTAAGAAAATGCTTACTAATCCAACTAGTGCAGATGAGTTGATTAAAATAATTGACAAGAGCAAATATTTTTGCTGCAATTGCAATTTAGAACGTATTGGAATGGTACAGTTCATTGAGCATGAGAAATCTGAAGCGCATGTCAAAAAAATTGACCTCAACAAACAGCTTTCCAATATTACCGACGCAACCAATGCTCTAATTCGTATTTCTCAATCATGCAACATTCCTGAACCAATCTATAGCCATCCTTTAAATACAAGTTTCACTTGTAAGATAGATTTCAAAGCTAAAAGTCTGACTTCAAATGTTCATTCTACGAAAAAAGCTGCCAAAAACGAAGCTTCTCAATTAATGTTGGATCTTATTAAGGGAGAATGTTGTCAATTATTGAAAGACTCATAAGAATATACAATTACTCCACCGTACGATTAGAAATAACAGAATGAGATTTATTAGAAACAAGGATGTGAAGATTTCTTAATTCTAGAACGAATAAAAGTAATTAACATATTCAATGAATTCTGTAGATGTGTGAAATTGTTGCAAATTGTTTCAAAATTTGTTGGAACCTTGTGTATCATGCACCAATTTAGTAGTTGACCATCATTCCAACTCTTAAATCATCATTTTAAAATAACCAATAAGGAAAGTAGCAAGATAATCGAAAGATTCTCCACACCTTCATCATTTTAAACACAATTCAAAAAAACAAGTCAACCAAATGTCAAGCAATTACCAAACAGAAATTGTTGAAAAGTGGAACCAAGCTTTGACTCTTGCTCAATCCTACGAAAATGCCCCAGAAAAGTTTACTTCACACAGCAAGGGAGAAGTGACCATTACTGCATGTCAACATTCGGATGGGACTGTCATCAAGGGAGAGGTAAGTAAATTGGTTGGCCTTTTTATGTGAAAATTATATTCGAAAGTGCATTATTTCTAATTGTAAAGCTGCAGAATTAGTTAATATTCTGGAAGTGACAGACGTCCAAACTAGACAAAAATTCGATAACAAGACCAAAACCCTTAAAGTTCTCGAAGATTTCACTCATCAAAATGAAAAATTCAGTGTCAGACATTATGTCACCTTGTCGCCAACTGTCATTATTTCAGAACGCGATTTTCTCTATGTAGAACATTGCCAAGTTTCTGAAAATTCCACAATTTATCTTACAACATCTGTAGATGGAATCTTCCCTTCTGACAAATGTATAGCTGTCGGTGTCAGAGCAACGAACGTTTTTAATTATTTGAAAATGATTCAAGAAGGTGATGATTTGAGAGTTGTATTCATTGGACAATATTTACCAGGTGGATGGATTCCAACAGCAGTTGCTAATCAGGCTGTGTACGAAAGACCTTTGGGTGTTGTCAATGCTGCAAAATGCATTGGAAAATCAACTAGAGGGGTTTAATTAGTTCAATAATAAAATAGACGAAAGTTTTTTGTTCGAAAGATTTTAACTTCACCACCACTGAAGATTTCTTACTCATTTACATATCAGAAGATACCAACACTCAGTTTTCGATATTTTACAAGAGGAACTTTCATAGTTTTGATAACTGAAGCAATTGTGAATACCACCAATATTAGACAAGAACCCAGAAGAACACCACTAACATCTTCTACAAACAACCACAAATTCCATGCCAATTTCTGTTCGGCCGAATCGTCTAGATTTGTACAGATGATAACAGAATGAAATAGAACTTACAGTATCATGACTTTCAGCGTAGTCCATTCTTAAATTTTCCTATTGCCATAATAATCCAATGATATTGGAAGGTAAGGATCACTTGGAATCAATAAGGATCTTGTTCTCAGTGCCATACTACTCAATTATTAAGAGTTCATTGTGAATTGGAAGCGCAATATTATCACACACAAGATTATGTCGGACATTTAAGGTATTATACTCTGTGTGAGAGGGAGAAATATTAAGCCACTGTACAGATCGGTCACCTACCCAACCACTATCAAACTCCACTTAATCAATGTCCAACGAATGGAGAATTAGTTTTGTGTGTGGTCATGAGAAGAGACATCAGTTTTAATGGAGGAAATGTTTGGCGGGAATGTTGTGGACTTGTTAATTTGTGCTTGCGAGATGATTCAACACCAATCGATTTAAAGATGTGTGTTGAATTGTTTGTGGAATCATCAAAAAAAAACAAGCTTAACACACAACTCAATATGACTGAGGAGAATATCAAGAAATTCTCTTGGGAAGAAATTGAGAAACACAACCATGAGGAAAGTGCTTGGTTGGTTATTGATGGAAAGGTTTATGATGTAACCAAGTTTATTCCTCATCATCCTGGTGGTGATTACTTGTTATTGGGAGCTGGCAGACATTCGACTGAATTGTTTCTCAGTAATCATCCAGCCAAAATCCTAAACAATTCGAAAGCTCTATTAGAAAAGTATTACATTGGAGAGGTTGAACAAGAAACAATCGTCACTAAAGAAATGGTTCAAAAGCAACATGTCAAGTATTCTTACAATCCACCAGATCAAACCAATTTCTATCTTGAATGTAGAGCTCAAGTTGACCAATATTTGAAAGACAACAATCTCACTGCTAGAGATGTTCCTCAAATGTATCTCAAGATGATTCTTTCCCTGTGTATTTGGTTTATTCTATACTTGGGAACTTTCTATTATTTCGAATCAAAATTGCTCAGTTTCGTCGTTGCCATTGTTTGGGGTTGGTCCAATGCAAATATTGGTGTTAACATGATGCATGATGCTAATCATAGCTCCTTTTCCAATCATCCAACTATCAACAGAGTTGTGGCAGTTGTTTGTTTTGACATTTTAGGTGGTTCTTCCTATGTTTGGAAAATGATTCACTCAGTTGGCCATCACGTAAACACAAATATTGAAGAACGTGATCCTGACATTCACACAGGAGAACCTCACTTTAGAAAAATCAAATCAGCTCAGAAACATCATTGGTGGTATGCCTATCAACATTATTACTTGCCAGTTCTATATTGTTCCTTATTATTTGAGTTGGCATTTCGTGATTTCTTTGCCATGATGATTGGATCATGGGGAGGTGTCAAATTTCAACCACCTCCAAAAGGAGAATATTTGCTCTTCTTTTCTACAAAGATTTGGTGGTTGACCTATTCATTGGCTTTCCCAATTTGGTTTTCTAATCATTCAGTTGGAACTATTTTCATGTTGTGGTGTACTGCTTATATGGTTGCTTCATTCTTGTTGGTTTTAATTTTCCAAGTCAACCATGTCACAAATATTGCTGATTCTTTCCATGTCAATCAACAAGATGGAATGGTTCATGCTGATTGGGCAGCAACTCAAGTAAGTGGATCGAGTAACTTTGCCTGTGGATCATGGTTATGGAATCACTTGTCAGGTGGCTTGTGTCATCAAGTAGAACATCATCTTTTCCCATCCATTAGTCATATCCATTATCCAAAGATTCAACCCATTGTTGAGAAGTGTGCTAAAAAGTATGGAATCAAGTATAATAGTTATGGAACTTTTTGGGAGGCCATTATTGGTCATTTCACATTATTAAGGGATATGGGTCAGAAGGGAATTCAATCAAATTGGAAATCCATGTAAATAATAAATTGTTAACAACAAAAGAAATGAATTGTTTGGATTTATGAGTTTCTAATTGTTTCTAATTTTAATTCCATTCAAAAAAAGTTGAGGATTTAATATTCAATTTCTTCAAAATCAATTTCATCCTCTTGAACACATGCGCCCATTACAACCATAGGTGGTACCAAGATTGAGTATTGGGTTGTGAATGCAACACAATTTCCTTTTTGTGTATTCGAAAGGAAAGATTCCATCGAATCAACTTTGTAAACATTCTTATTGCAAACATTACAATATCTAATTGATGAGCTTTCAGGAGTACAAGTTAATTGATCATAATTGAGTGGACATTTGTAAATCCATTCACAATTTTCAATCATTTTTTCATCATTTCCTGATGTTACAAAATTAGGAATGTCCAATTTAAACAAATCAGAGTTGACTGAATTGTTATTGCCATGTAACTTGACATGTTGTAATCTTCTTCTCAAGAGATGCATCCAATTCTTAATATTCAACTGCTTTTCAAATTTTGGATAATAAGCAAAAACGAGCGGTTTCCAAATCAATTGCTGAACTCGTTCAAAATCCAAGGTTTCATCTTCACTTTCCTTTTTCTTCTCACCAATTTTCTCCCTTTTCACATTAAAAAACAACATTAATAATCGACTATTACACAACGACAAACCATTCAATTGTCTCACATCCATAAATTGTGCAATATTGATCATCAATTCCATCGGCAAATCAACCTTCATCTTTTCCATATAAATTCCGACATGATTTTTGCAGAATTTTGTTCAACAATTCGTTGATCATTCTTGGCAAGTGGTGCTTGTGTACGAATCTCCACTTGTGAAATATCATCACTCGCATCAGCAATGTTACTTTTTGATGGCTGCTTGAAGAAATTTCTGAATAACGGCATTTTTTTGTGTGTGAAATTCAAGTTGTGAGTTCATGGAAGTTCAGCTGACTAGTAAGTACGCGATGGGATGAATAAGAAGGAATAGGCATTGTAAAAGGAGTAAATTTAGTTTGTATAGGTGTGGATTTTTAGTTTTGATAAGGTTTCATTTCATAATCGGTGAAAGAAGGATACATGGATGATGATGGAGTGGAAATATTTTGAGAACTTTCCTGATAGTTGAATGTTGGATTGATTTGATTTTCAATTATTGGAGGAAGAGTATATTTGTTGATTGCTTCAATGTACACTTGTGGATTGTTGGTTTTTTCGAGTAGAACTAATGTTGAGGGAGGATTAGTTTCATGTTTCAATTCAATGCATAATTTAGAATGGGATGCTGTTAGGAAATGACTTTCGTTGTGATGTTCATCCTCAAAATCATTCCAAGCTCTGGAAATTGACGAGAGTTCAATTGAGATTAATTCAACTTTCCAACCATTTGCCTTCATAATCATAATTTTCATATTTGTTAACAATACATTAACACTAAATTTGTTAAAAGTATGTTTGTAAAATGCAATGAATATAACTAAACAGAGCCAAGCAGCACCAACGCTCAAAATGGAAGCAATTGTTAAAAAGGAAATTACTGTAAATAATATAAGTGGAATAATTGCAATGAGAATGTAAAATATTTTCATACGCCAAGAAATTCCACCCTCTTGATAAAATTCATGATATTGCAATTCCTCATCTGAAATTAATTGGGATGCTGCAATATTTCTTTGATTAACATTACCAAATATGGATTTGGCATCTTTCAGTCCATTCCATTTTGAAAAAACTGATTCTCCTTGGACACTCTTCTCAAAATGTCCACAAAATAGAAAAACATCCTTTTCCCTTCCCTTATAACTCTTGAACATTACAATAAATATGGTCACACACTTGGCCACAGCAAGAGTCGCACCAATTGTAATACAGAAATAGATTAGCAAATTTCGTCCCCCAAAACTCTCAAATTCTGGATTGCTCATGAGTGAAATATCTTGATTTTTAACTTTTTCATGATTTCTCATCATTTGAAAAACATTTCCACGACAAGGAAACTGACCACCATAATATTTCTTACAAGTTTCTGCCTTGTTGGCCGAATCTGATCGACAAAATTCATTCCATTCCACTTGAGTTGGATAGCCCATCATGGAAACATTGGCATTATAAAAGTACACCAAGCCATCAGAGCTCGTTTTCATATTGGACAAGCTCTCCACTTGACATGTAAAACCTCTATAGTGCAACAATTGTGTCATGTCCAGAAATATACAGGACATGAAAAGAAACACTGCAGACACTAGCGGAATCACGAGTCTCGCAGCAATATTTCCACAATTGATATAGACCAGCTTTTTTGTGTGGTTAGATTCGGAAAGTGATGAAAAATTGGTGTGCTGCCGATTTATAGACATTTTTTTTGAAGTTTAATTTTATTGATGAGTTGGAATCAGGTTAGAATCGTAGAAGAAGAACTCTTAATCCATTACGGAGTTTGGTTATTAATCAAAATTGTTTTTTATGTTTTTTCTCAGGAATGCAAATTGTTGGCATAATTAGTTGTGGATGGCGTTGGCCAAACCAATTCTCATATTTTGCTTATCATAAACAGTGTAGAAGAGAGATTGGAAGAGAGAACCAAAGATCCATTGACCAGCTTTGAGTTGATCGGCCTTATTGATACCACCTTGACAGACAGAAGGTCCAAAGATTGGTGGCTTGTTTTCAATGACAAAGTTATGTGGTTCAATAGAATATTCATTGCCACCAATGACAAAAGTAAAGGTTGGAATTCTAGAGAATTGAATTTGAGAACAATCAGCTGGAAGACTGACATTGGCAAAAAGTTGCATAGCAGAGAAGGTGATTGGATCAGTAAACATGGCATAAGCACTTGTATCAAAAGTAGCAAGACACTTGACTCCAGTACCAGGACCACATGTTAAATAATTGACCAAATTACCATTAACCTTAAGACCATCGAATTCAATCATCCAATTCTTTGAACCAGTTGGAATTGGATAGAAATTCATTGGACCCTTATAGTAATCAGTTGAGTAACCACCCAAAACCAAAGCTCCTTTACCCTTTTGCTTTTGTTGATTTGGATTCTTGAGTTCACTCAAATAAATAGAAAAGACATAGCTGCTAACTAGTTTTTGTTGCACAACATAATCCATAATGGATGGGAATGAATAGACATAGTTTGCACTTGGTTCTGGACTCAAATTCAAACCAAGGAATCCATCAAATTGCAAAAAGCTTTCCTCAAAAGAATCATCACTCTTAACCAATTCAGCAAAAGTAACATTCTTAATTGTCAAATCAGCTCCATTATCCAAAATAAGTCCCATTTGATCATTGGCAAGTGTTCCAAAGAATTCAAATTCTCCCAAATACCAATCAACTTGTCTTCCATCTTTCTTGTAAGTGCTTGACTTGGAAGAATCATACTTTGGATGTCTGAAACATTGCATTCCACACAATGTAGAAGTAACAGTCAATAATCCTCCATTAGTATTAACCATAAGCTTGAAAGTATTACTCTTATCTGAACCAAAATGTACATTGGCATAATAATAGAACTGTTTTCATTGACAATTCATCAAAATCATAATAAATTCATCAAGTAACAATAAGTGTCATCATCATTAATATTAATATAAAAATTTAAATATTTAGCAACGTACATTGTTATAATCCTGAAGAGGAACAACCATCAATGATTCACCACTCACTCCCTTCATCTTCTCCTTTGAAAAGTTTCTCATTGGAATGGCTCCCGACACACAGACAGCCAAAGCCAACACGATGGCTACAGAAATTATGGCAGTAAATTGACGCATTTTTTTTTGTGTTTGTTTTCTTCTCTCGGAGGGAATTTCGGCGACAACCTTAATAAGGTGAAAATAAAGTTTTGAGAATTTGAGCGAAAAAATTGTTCATTTTGATTGAAGATTTTTTAAAGGTTCGTTTTTGGGTATGCAATATTCTGGAACTACTGACCTTTCGTTTATTTACAATGAATGTGAAAAGAAAGTGAACTAATTCTAATACATAAATATTATTGTAAAGAATAAATATTATCATTTTACAATAAATATTTAAGAGAGTTTCACTTCCTTTCTGTGAGGTTCTTTTATGGAAAATTGGCGCGAAAAGGATCAAAAAAAATTCAAAAAAAAATACAAAAATGATTCTCTATCTCTTGCTCTTTCTCACGGTTGCTCTGATGGTAGCAGCCTCATTGTTGCTCCCCTTCGTAACGAGTATACAATATCCGAAGAGGAATCGTTTTCAATTAAAACAAGCACAACATTTTCCGATATGGTTGGTTGTATTGGTAGAGTTTAGGAGGAGAGTTGTGTTTTTATTGGATTTTATTGTTCATTATATTCATGTAAATTATACAATGAAGCCACAAGAGTTGAGTCCGAAAGTTGGAGAGTATGGAAAATTGGATGTTGAAATTGTCAAACCAATTAAAGATGACACTCCACAACAACATTTTGGAATGTTATCACCTACAGATGCTCCTTTTCCACCTTCACATTATTGTTTTCAATTTGAAGGATTTTTGGATAGAAAATTGTTTGTAGAATCCCTTTCGGAAGTTTTAAAGCACATTCCTAGATTGGGTTCTAAATTGGTCGAGTTCAAATCTTTGGATGAATTGAAGAGAGGAACTGCTGGATGGTTTGATGAGTTGGGTAATATGGAGAGAAGAATTGTTGAAGGCAGACTTTTGAATGCTAAAAAGCCAATAACACTTTTTGATTTGAGAGATGCCCAATTGGAAGTTTGTTTTGCTGAAGATGACACTATTAAAACAAATGATGAAACTGGATTATTGACAGCCACTGATTTGGCAAAGAATATGCACATTCTTTCTGTGTTCGGTGTTAGAGGACCAATCAAGGTTATCCACTCCGAACCAACAGATCCACTCACAAGACTTCAAGTTACTTATTTACGTAAAGCAAACAAGACTGCTCTCACCATTTATATGGATCATGCTGTTGGAGATGCTTCTTCCATCTCAATGTTCATGCAATTGTTGGGTGATATTTTGAGTGCAAAGCAAACTGGAAAGGAATTCAAACCACGTAATCTTCCAGTTTGCAATCCTGTTCCTATCTTTAAATTTGGATACAATAAGGAAGCAGAAAAGTTAGATGATTTCCTATTCACTTATTATGATCCTACTGCATGCTATTCCTTCTTCAGAGCTGAAGTATTCAAATATCTAGATCAAAACTCTAAAAATCCAGCAAAAATTATTGCCAAAGAAATTACTGTCAATAAGAAACAATTGGATCAATTGAAAAAGAAGATTTTGAACGAAACTCCTGAACTGAATGATGTTGCCTTCAGCACCAATGACATGTTAAATGTTTTACTTTTGAGATCTGTTGCTTTTGGAGACAAGATTAATAGAATTGGCAGCGAAAAGTTATTGACATTGAGATATGTTGCTTCATTTAGAGAACGTTGTGATTATATTACTAGTAATTATTTTGGAAATGCTTTTGGAATTATCTTTGATAGTGTATCCAAGAAGGAATTGTTGGAAATGACTACTGGTGAATTAATCCTCTTAGCAAAGAAGAATACTGAAAAGACTGTTAACAATCAAGGTTATTGGGAAACTAAATTGGAAGAAATGAATCAAAGATATTTCGACCCTCTCCAAGTTGACTTTGGTTTCCCTGCCTTTGAAGGAAGTGAAAACTTTATGGGAGTCACAAATTGGGTCAAACCAATGTTAGAAATTGGTTCTCACTTCCAAGATAAATCCTATCTGGGTATCAGTACTCTTTGCATGCCATTCCCTCATGTAAATAAGATTCTACCAACCTCAACAACTGATCCAGATGGTGGTGTTAGATTGGTGCTTTCCTTGTATGAGCCTGAATACTTGTATTTCGTTGGAGAAATTCCAAAAGTTTAATTTTATTAAGACTCGATCAATGTAAATAAAAAGAGCATACCTCAAAGACTAGTGTTCATATTGCTGCTCTTCATTATGTTGCGTTTCATATTCATCCTCATCATCCTCATTCTCGTAATAGTAGTATTCATCAACATTTGAATCACTCACTGCTAATACTCGTCCAATTTTGTCTCCAAAATTTTTGTTCTTTGGTTTGAAGAATCGTTGCACATCCTTCAAAGGATTGAAAATCGAGACAATGAAAATAACAAAGATAAAGATTGCCAAATTATACACCATATGGAATATGTACATGCTAAACTCCCACAACACACTGAGGGGAATACAAACAAAACCAAGGCATTGTGTAATTAAGGCAATACTTAGTCCAACTTGAAGAGTGAGGGCCTTCCTCAGAGCTGATTGTTTCACTGAGAACGAGGCACTGTTGGTTGACTTGAGCTCATTATTCATTGATGATAATAATAATCGTCCAATTATTGTCAGCATGACAGTAATACAAATTGAACTGCCTAGAAAGATGAGACCTCCACATAAGAATAATGCCAATAACAAATATCTCAATACTGCTGAACTGGCTCCAAAAGGAGAGGACATTAACCCAGCAAACACGAATACAATAATGGACAAGATGATAAATATTCCAGCAATTCCAATCAGTAAGAAAACTAAAAATCTCCTATATCTCTTATAGTTTTGCATTGATAACTTTTCAATTACTCTGGTGGTATCCAAACTATAATTGTTAAAATTGATGAATTAATTTAAATAAACCTACAATATACTGCAAATATGGGACAGTATTAAAATTTCAATATAAATGACAAAAATTACTGCCACTCGATCAATTCCCTTCACTATTTGATTTGCCATTTTAGAAATTTCCTTATTGGTAATTAGCAGTGTCAGTTCTGAACCCATCCTCGATAGCATATTGAAAATCATACCAGCACATAATGCAAACAGTAAACCGTAGAGAATTTTGTGATTCCTCCTCATATTCTTCAATTGAATGAAAAAGCTAACAATAGAAAATGCCAATAGCGAGATGAAAAGTGCTGTGAATGGAATATTCGAAAAGACAACCATCTGTTGGTACAACCCATAAGTCATTCCAGGAGCAGTTCCATTCTGCACTCCAGCTGCCAATTCGATTATCAAATCTTCTCCACTCAACAAATTATTCACAATTGTCAATCCACCATCAATTCCAATACTATTAATACCAGTATTCCACTGTTCAATCCAAACACTCGCTATAATTAAAAATCCCATCATGATCATTATTAATCCAATCAACCGGAATTTCCCATCAAACAATGATCGATCCAATCGATCTTGAATTTTCCACATCTTATTTAATAAATTATATAGTAAATTAATATAAATTTCTATTCCACTGTTGCCTCTCAGCACAAAAACACTCGAATGGTCTATTTTCCGAGTCTTGTGTGTGTTGCAGAGTTTCAGAAAGGCTTGTTTTTCTGAATGATGCTTGAATACGACGCGAAGAAGTAAAACAATTTTTTTTACAAGTGTTCTACTAATTACAGTTCCTGATTTGTGAAAAGGCGCGAAAACAGTTTTTGGCGGTAATTAGTTATTAGTGAAAGATTTTTCAGAATTGTTCGAGTTGTTGGAGTTGATGAAGTGATGTGGAATATCAAGGCAACTTGTGGAGGAACTGTGTTGAGATATTTTTTTATGTTGGGTTATTAATTGAAATGTCAGTTTGACATGCGATAGAGGACTTGAGAGGATTACAACCATGACTTGATTATCGTGAAAGATATTTTACATTGTATCCATGAAGAAATCTTTAAACAACATAATGGTGTTTGTAAAGAATGTTAAATAGTATTGAATATTAATCAATTAATATTTAAATGCATTTTTAAATATTTAAAAAAAATGCGAATAAGTCAGGTGCTGCGGAATCACAAATCCTCACCATCAAAAACCCTTTTAGATGAATGCATCACCAATTTTCTCTCCACTCTCCGAAATCATCGAGAATTTATTCTGGAAAATCCACAACTCAACCGTTTGAAATTAAATCATGATGGATTAAATAAGGATAGTCAGCCGAGAGTAATTGATACGAGTGTTGTAGCATTGAGACGGGAATATATTGAGAATTTAATTCCAAAACCAACACCTTCGGAATTTTTTCAAACCATGTTAAGGGAATCTAAATATTATTCGGAATTGATAGATTTGAATGTAATTGATCAATTTTGTGTATTTTGCAATAGAGAAATTGTTTCTGAGGGATTGATTGAGGAAAGTGAGAATTTTATGGCACTTTATAATATTAGACCTGTTTTTCCTGGTCATTCTCTGATTATTCCAAAGAAACATGTGACTAGATTTTCATCTCTTCCATTGGAGCATGCTAAGGAATTTGTGGAATTTTCACAATTGGTAATTCGAGCATTAAAACAGATTCACAATACTGATTCGATAGAGTTACTGATACAGGAAGGACCTTTGAGTGGACAATCTATTTGTCATCTTCATTTACATTTAATGCCGAGAATACCTAATGATATGCCAAATCCAGAAGATGATTGGATGGAATTCTTTTCAAGAAATGAACATTCGGCAAGATTACTCACGAAAGAAGAACGACAGGAATATGCTAAACATGTTAGACAAGTCATGAAGAGTTTACGTTCCAATTCATAATCCATTTTAACTTTTGTATTTAACTGAATGGGAATACAATTTTGTAAACTATTTACATTTTCATAATCCAAATTATTTTAAATTTAAAAAAAATGAGCAAACACAATACTTGGGGAGGATCATCACCTTCATTATCGTCGACCACTAAATTAATTGTCGGATTATTTGTCCTCCTATTGATTGTACAAACAACAATCGGATCAACATTAAATTTATCGAGTACAAGAATTGATACCACTCTCAATACAACACAAATAGAATTTCGACCTCTTGATCCATCAGCACCATCGTCTATTCCTAATTATAATGTTGGAACACAAGTATCGCTGAGTTTTTCCTTCTTTTCTATTGAACATTGTTCTTTTGATATTGTAGTAGTATCAAAACACTCTAAAAAGGAATATTCGACAAATGGTGGAATTTATCAATACAATACTAATGGAACTATTGAAGAAAAGGAATTAAAAATTACAATTCCTACTGAAATTGATACTGCTGAAGGAGCTTATGTTTTCAGATTAAAAAAGAAGGTTGAAAAGGTATCTCAAGAATTGAATTTTGACTCTCCAGAATTTACTGTCACTGTCAATGTTGACAATACATCATTATCATGGCCAACTATTGTTTTAATTCTCTTCTTCCCACCAGCTCTGCTCCTAGTTGCAGTTGTAGGTGGTTGTGTCATGTGTAAACGACAACGTCGAGTCCAACAACAAGAATTGGAACAACACGATTATGAACAACAATTGGATGATGATGTTGATATCAATTTCGATCACGATGATGAAGAGGAGAATCATCACCGTCACCACCACACCTCCAAGCACCATCAAACAAATAAGAAGAAGGAAGAACCCAAGATGGCCTTTGTCTTGGAAGATGACGATGATGATGAGCCAATGTCTAGTAGTCATATTCACATTGATGATGATGATGAAAATGAACGTCGTGGCAATTTCTACTATACCAAGAATATTTAAACATGCTCTTCATTAATTGTTATTATGGAACAGTGTGTTAACATATTAGTTTACAATTTTAAGAATATTATTTAATCGAATAATGTAATAAAGGAAGGTAATTGGCTATGCCTATTTTGAAACAATCAGTGATGCGTACTTTGGTGTCCCTATTTGCCTTTCCTATCTTCCTCCTCACCTGTCTTTTAATAAGGAAGCTGCTAATGAACATACGAAAAAAACAGGACAAATCACTGTAATATCTCTTTCGAATAATATTTGTTTAATTGAATTATTATTTAATTCTTCACCATCATCAACAAGGAAGTTTATTTACCAATCGTGGCCTAAAATATTACAAAATCTTTATCCTAATGATTAAAGAAAGTATTTCGAGAATAGTTTAGTTTCAAACAAAGTCTTTTGAATAGAAATCCTTTCAACTATTCATTCCTTATCTGTATTATCAACAGCAAACATAACAAGTACCACCAAATCGTGCTCTTTTCATACAATTCTCTATTAGGCCATATCCAGCTCAATTTGTAGTTTCGTCTAATTCTTCAAGAACATGCAAACTACATCTCTTCAAGAAAATTCAAACATTAGAAAAGAATTGTTCAACAAAAACAACTCCTCATCATTAAATTGTCAAAGCTCACATCATCAACATACAACTTTCTCAACTATCATGTGTTCCTCCTCAACAATGGAATCAAATTTTAATTTACCTCCAAGCAACAAGAAGGAAGAGAAAAATCAACAAGAAAACAAAGAAGAAAAATACAGCAGTGCTGGTGGCGACAATGGAAAACATTATCAAGAACAACAACGGATAGATGTTGCTGTAACATCATCATCAGCATCAGCATTGGAAGGAAAAGAGGATGGTATTACTCGGACAGTGTCTAGTTTAAATCCTTCTCCATGTACAAATAATTATAATAATAATACAACAACAATAATAATAACCGATAATAATCAAAACGAGAGAGGAAAATTAGAAATGTATATTGATACTAATAATTTACGTTTACCACTTTCTCCTTCTGCATTGTCTGTCTCCTCATCAACATCAGATGGCACACCAACTAAAATTCCAACCTCCACTAATTGCTCACCATCACGACCTTTATCTACTATTTTGCATAATAATAATAATAATAACAATACTAATAGTGCCTTGCTCTCATCGAGTACATGGTGGAGAGAAAGATTATTCCCTAAGGAATTACTACCAAATTCTACTCTCACATCAGCACGAGCTTCATCATCAGCACTGAATTTCAACATAAGTCTCATCGATGAATCAACATTTGATACACTTGCTCCTTCATCATTGTCCTCTTCTCGTTTGGATGCTATTCATACATCTTCAGAGGGTGAGTTTTCAGAGGAAACACTCCTAGAACATATAAGCAAGGAGTTGTGTTCGAATATGCGTGAGGAAGAGCTTGAACAAGTTTCCACACCAGCTGTGGTTGACCATATATTACGAGAGATGAAGTTTTCAAAACAGAAATGTTCACTAGTACACTTGGCAGCAAAACATAATCGTGTAGAACTCTTGCAGTGGTTTAAAAGATGCTGTTGCGATAAAAAGTGTTCCTACAAGCACATACCCATCTCTAAACTACTCAACTCTGACAAATCTTCATCAATAACGGATTCATCATTTTCTATTTTGGAAAGTAAGAGATTTAGCAGGAATTTTGGAAAAAACTTTAATGTTGCCATAAGGCACTTCGACTCATTGGATGATGACAGTTCTTCCCAACATTCCAAACAGTGTCTACTTAAACAACAATCCTTGTGGTTTGCTTTGGACCATTATTCTGCAACACCTCTCTTTTATTCTTGCAAGCATGCACAAGCCATGGAGGCAAGTGCTTTTCTGTTATCTCAACCAAGTGTCTCACAGAAACAGCTCAACCATCACCATGATCAATTTGGAAACCTTCCAATAACTATTGGATTTAGAAATGGAAATTTCAGACTATGTGACTTGTTGGTTTTGTTTGGAGCCAAAATTGATGTTACTTCAGGAATTCTTGCTGAAAGTCTACTTCACAAAGTTTGCAGAGATGGTGCAGATTTGGAGGTTGTTAAATATTTGGCTAGGTTTGTTTTATTCATATTTATTTTCAATATATCATCATTTATTCAATTCAGGAATGCACCAAAAGTCTTACTCAAAAGAAATCAAAGAGATGAAAGTGCACTGTTTGCCTGCATTAGGGATTTGAGAATGGTTCTCATTCCATCAAGTGGAGGCTCCTTCAGCAGTGATATAAGTCTTTTCCACAATAGAAAGAGTTCTAATGGAGTTAGTGATACATCATTCACTCTCCTTCATAATATTCTTTCCTATGGATCGGAATTGTTTGGAAGGGAAACATTTGAGAAGGCTGTTCTCATGAAAAACTCATTCGGAATGAATATTTTAATGACGAGTATATTGTACAATGATATGGACGCAATGAAAGTGATTTGTCTTGGACTTTCCAACTATTGCAAACCTGGAGGCGCTAGAAAAGTTGATCTCAATACTTCACAAATGAGTGGAGATTCGACTGGAAGTGGTAGTAGTTCAGAGGGTATTGCTGCTGTGGATGATCAGATACCTTCTCCAAGAAAGAGAAATTCTCTCCGATTACGACTTCACCAGAGAATTTTATCGATGGATAAAAGGGATTCAAACAAAAGCATTCTGAAAACAATTGTATTCGATAAAGATAAGCAAGGAAAGACAATACTCCATCTCATAATTGAGACAGCTATTCAATTAGAAGATAATGGAGCATCATGGGACGATTTGATTGACTGGTTTGATGGATTCCAATGGCTTTGTTTGTGGCTAACTGAAGTTTTTTCACAAACGTTGAATGTTAGAACAAATGGTGAGTGGACTGCAGATTGTGGGCTGTGCCACTTTTTTGAAGCTAGAGACTTGCAAGGTTACTCACCATATGGAATGGTGGTATCCAAACAACCAAATGAGGAAATGAACTTTTTGGAAAAGGAGAGCACCGATGATAGAGTACTCTTCTGGCCAAGAGTTTTGGAGTTCATTCAAACAACGATAAAGAAGTGGGCAGTCTCTGAAAAGGTCAAGAATACATCTGAGAATAACCTGAATGGTTCTCGTAACAATTTCAGATATGCTGAAGTGACAGGAAGCAGGGGATTTTTAAATTCTGAATCAGATTCACTCGATTCCCTCTATGCAGATCAAGGTGAGGGAATTTTAGGCAAAATGAAAAGAAGATTCAAGAGAACTCAAAGTGTCGATTTGGACAAATAAACCTCGGCACGATCCCTTGTAACATTAATGCTTCTTTGGAGGATCTTTGTTATGAACTCGTTGTACTTGAGAGATTCTCATCTCTATATGCCCATATATATATATCTTTAAGCGAAAACAAGAAATCCCAATATGTACTTTGATCTGCTGGTTACCTTAATGAAAAAAATAAGACAAGTTAATATCAAGGGTCCAAAGCCATAACGTTACCATGTCTGTTGCAGAAGCTTCTAATAATGGTGCAGCTGCAACTACATTTATTGAAAGGAGTATTAATTTTAATGAATCATCAACCATACAACAATCATCATCACAACAACGAGAAAATCAACATGTGTCGGGAAGTTTTATAGGAAGCAATACGAGTAGTTCATCTAGCTCGACCAATTTTTCAGCAACAATGATGAAAAGTATTAAGGAAGCTATTGTGTCCTATATAATTTCAATGCAATACAAGCCACTGAGGCAGGGCAAAAAGTTTATGCTTCTCTCTGTTTTGTATCATTTGTATATAATGTGGATTTCCATCTTTTTACCAACACTAGGCGATTATAATTGGGGAGAATATGCAAATTGGATATTCAAGGCAGTAAATTATCCAGTAACCCTTTCACTAGATTTAATTCCCTATGGTGGCATTGAGGCTTTGGGAGCAATTGTGTTTGCAATCAGTGCCCTATCTGTTCTTGTTGTTATAATGGCAGTTGCGAGTGTTCATAGGACGAGTAAACACATTGAGAGGGTGAGATTAATAGTAATGGTGACTGGACTTGTTCTCTCTCTGTTGGGACCACTCTTTGCATTTATTCTGACGGGCTTTACAGATTGTGAATACAAGCAAAAGGTGTACTTTGAGAGTATAGATGATAAGGCATATGCTCTTTCTAGATATCCAGAAGCAGAGTGCTTTGGGGATAATATGTACCTTTACATTATTTCAATTATTGCAGTATTCGGAATTTGTCTATCCATATTATGCACCTTAATTTCCTTCTCATCAAGTTGGAAGAGTGACATGGTATTCAAAACAGTTGTCCATTATCCATTATCATACTTGGTTATTAGTAATATTCTTCAAATGTTCATCATGTATTTTATTCATGATGAGTTCATGTATGGAAGAGCAATCCTTCACTTGATTATTTCAGCAAGTTGGATTCCTATACTATTCTATGAACTGCCCTTCCAATACAGATATGAAAATTCAATTTATTCTGGAGTGGGTTTTGCAAGAATAGGAGCATCAATTGGTTCTCTGATATCTTCCCTTGCCAACTCAGCTGACAATTCAGGTTTTGGTTTGGGAATGTTTGGCTTAACGTTCGCTCTTATTATCATTTCATTCATTGGTGGAGTAATAGGAATGGAATTATACATTAGATTATCTACTCACAAGATTAGAAGTTACATGTTGTCTATTGTTGAGAAAACTCTATCTGTTAGTGGATCATTGCCTTCGAAATTCAAAGAAAGAGCCAAATACATTCTGGAAAAAGAGGCCACTTCAATTTACTCCCATTTCATTGAAACACAACAGGCAGGATATTTAAGAATATTTATTCGATTCAGCATTGATCAAAACTCTAAAAACAGCTCAGAAGCCATCCTCACAAACACTGATTTATCTCTGTATTTCATTAAGGGTGCGTCAACTCAAAGATCATTCAACGATAGCAAAACTCTTCTCTATTCATCCATGTTAATTTATTTCAACTATGGAGATGGTAATTTAGGATCAATGTATGCAAAAGGGTTGTTGAAAATCTTGGCAAAGCAAAAATTGAATATACCAGAAGTAATTATGTTAACAGAGTTTTCTAAGGAAATTAAGGATGAGAATAGTGTAAATTCATCTGATCTCGAACAATTATTGAATAAGGTAGAGAGTAATATAGCTGAATTGAAGTCCCTCCATAAGGCCTTCTGGAAAGAATATTTGCAAGATGTAATTGAAGTGGGAACTTTGGAATCGATTAATAACAAGTGTTCACAACTGATGAGCCAATGCGAAACTATTTTCAATAATAGGCTTTCCAGATACAAACACAATAAGAATTTCCTCAGAGCGTATGCACAATTTTTAAACGAAATCAAATTTGACAAGGAAACTGCCTTTGAAATATTCCAAGACGCAGCCATTGTTGACGAAGATGAGCCATCTAAAAAACGTGTTCTTGCTAAGAGTAATTTATTCACAGAATATGGTAAACAGCATTCTGAAACCAATTTGGGGTTTTCTCTAGATGGCTTAAAGGCTAGCAACCAAAAGAGTATGGACATTGAAACAATTCATGAAGATCAAATGTTGGATGGAGTTGAGAATGATCCACTTGCAAAACGGGAGTTCATTTTCAAAAGTGCTCTCTCCCAACCACAACAAGGAGGATATCATATGGGATCTGTTATCCTGTTCTGCTTTATATCCTTCTCTTTTGTGCTCCTTGCCTTAGTTTTGAATGTTTATTATTCAGTGGAAGTTCTTTCAAATGTCAAGTTTGTTCAGCAAGTTTGTGAGCCAACTGTTTCTTCATATGCCATTTTGAAACAAATCAGAAATAATCAAATACTCCTTCAAGCTAAAAATCAGGGTCTAGATGTTGATGAAACAGATATTATGGGTATTCTTAAGGACGAGACAAACGAAAATATTACTTCCATACAATCTGTTTGGAAGGAGAGACTTAATTTCTATGTTGAACATATTGAACATGTTAAAAAGATGTCACAAGGTAAAATTGTTGGAAAATTCACACCTGAAATGTATGAAGATTACAATAGTGAAACAAATGAAATATTTGTTCCTGTGATTCAAACAAAGAATCAAAATTCATTCATTGAGGTCATTAAGAAGAATGTTTCACTCTCTGAAATATCATCACTCTTGATTGATATTGTTGAAAATTATCCATCAGGAGGATACAATGAAACATTGAAAGAATATGATTTCATGTTGGTATTCTTGAATAGGGAAACTTTCACAAATGCCTTTGTGAAAACATGTTTCAGTTTCTTGGAAAGATGTGAACTTGACTCCAAAAATTTCAACAATTACTACCTATACTTTTATGTTTCTGTATTGTCATTTTACATTCTTTACACAGCCATCTATATTCTCTATGTAAGAATTGAATTCTCATTTATCACTAGAACCATTAGATTAATGGAACGCAGTATTTCAAAGGATATTGTAGGTAAAATCTATCAAGATTTGGCAAAGAAAGTAGAAGAAAATGCTTCTTTGGGATTTCTCAAATCAATAATCAGCCAACCAAAAGTGTTTTCTGTTTTTTGTATTGCTTGTTTGGCTTTTCTTACAATACTTGCATCTTCAATGATGTTCGTAGAGTTGAGAATTAATTCTGATCTAGGATATTCAACAATGTTGAGTGTGCATAAGACCGCCGAAAATCTTGTTTTGGTTCAGTCAATTGGATACAAACTAAATGAGATTTTCTTTTCCACTCTATCACCCTCTTTATATAATGACCCTATCTTAATCAATGGAACCCTCTTAGATTATTACAGGGTGGAGGTGAGATACAATGTAACAGATTTGAGAAGAAGTTTTAACGAATTGATTTATGGTAAGCTTGGAGGAAATTCAGCAATTTTAGGAATGATACCAAGAATTGATCAGATTATTACAGGAACTGATTGTTCTTCTGGCAATTGTACAAGTTTGGAAAACTCTTTGGACGAATTTACAATTGGATCTAGCAAGTTCAACGAAGATTTGCTTAAAGGAACTTTTACAGAGGAAGAGTTGGTTTTAAAGAATGCTGTTGTGGATGAATTGAGCCACCACCTAAGTGTAGACTTTCTTGAATTTTTGGCCTTGTTTACCATTGCAAGATCAATACCTTCTACTGCTATTGCACTAATTTTCAGTATTCTTGGATTTCTCACAATAGTTATTTTCTATTGGTTACTGGTTCGAGTGTTTCAAATTCATTGGAATGATGTATTCCATTTAAGAAGCATGTTGAACTATGTAGATTATGACTACTTGGATTCTTATGACTCTTTAAGAAACTTTATTCTATACCATCAACTGCCTTCTAGAAACCTGTTCAAAAAGAAGAATAAGATTGCCTCAGCAGAGGGTGACGAATCGAAGGTGAAGAATATTCTCAATGCAGCAGTTGACGGAGCTATTCTTTGTAATAGTACATGTGATATTGAAATATTCAATCCAGCAGCTCAAAGAATGTTTGGATGCAAACAATCAGATACTTTGGGAACTCCAATTTTCACTCTCTTTGATAAAGAATCGAGGACAGAGTTGGAGAGAGTCATTTCTGAATTGATTAAGAATGCCAAATCGACAACATCTTCTGAAAGTCTTGGTGAAACTGTTGAATTGGATTGTGTGAGAAAGAACTTGACAAAATTCCCTGCGAAAATCAATTTGTTCTCAACACTGTTTGATGGAAAACCAGTTGTGACATGTTTCATTAAGGATGCAACTTCTGAAAAGAAACAAAATGCATTGTTGGCTGAAGAAAAGAAAAAATCTGAAAATCTATTGAGATCTATTTTGCCAGAAAGTGTTGCCAATAGATTGAAATCTGGTGAAACATTCATTGCTGAGAAATTTGCAGATATTACTTGTTTCTTTTCTGACATGGTTGGATTCACTCAAATGTCTTCAACTCTCAATCCAACTCAATTGGTTGGAATGTTAAATAATATTGTGAATGGATTTGATGCCTTAACAGACAAATATAGTTTGGAAAAGATCAAGACAATTGGAGATGCCTATTTCTGTGTTGGAGGAATTGGAAATACACAATCTGATCACCCAGAAAGAATACTTCGTTTCTCAATGGACATATTCTTAGTAGTACGTAACTATAACGAGGAGAATGGGAAAGAATTTGGACATCAAATCAATATTCGAGTTGGAGTGAATACAGGAAGTGCAGTTGCAGGTGTGATTGGTACAAAGAAATTTGCCTATGATTTGTGGGGTGATACCATCAACACTGCTTCTCGAATGGAATCAACATCAATTGCTGGAAGAATTCAAATTTCCAGATCAACTTATGAAAGAGTTTATGATATGGGTCTTGAATTTGAAGAAAGAAGTGTTGAAGCAAAAGGAAAGGGTTTGTGTCTCACTTATTTAGTCAAATCTCATCACCATGCACAGGCCATAGTTTCTGATAACGAAATCATTGATTCTGACCTCGAGGTTTCCCTAACTACAAAACCAGAGGATGCAAAGGCAGAGATATAATGAATCCATTTTGGTAATATAGAATCATTTTATTTGCCAATATATTTTCCTTTTTTGTCACTTAACGATTCTGACAACCAATGATGGCGATGTTAGTGAGTTACAGAAATGGCGGGTAAAACATGAAATCTCAATTCTTATTAAAAAAAACATCATTAACCCTTCTTGAATACAAAAAGATATTGGTTTGCTTTTTAAAATGTCCGGGAGTGATGAGTTGGAGGCCTCTGCTATAGAAGACGACCAAAGATCTAATTATTTCGAATCGAGGACTCATATGAAAGGAAATGGAGAAGGCTCAAGTATTGTTGGAAGTGCACTAAGTGTTCAATCGAATAATAGTACAATAGCCTCGACAACTATGAGAACAGTGCAAACTGGAATATTGACTTTTATTTTGGCTCTACAGGATAAATCATACAAGAAATCAAAGAGGTTTATTTTTATTTCAATACTGTATCATTTGTATATCATTTGGACTTCAATCTTCTTACCAACACTAGGCGAATACAATTGGGGAGAGTATGGAAGTTGGATTTTCAAAGCACTTAATTATCCAATCACATTTTCATTAGATTTGGTGCCCTATGAAGAGAGTGCTGCAATTGCAGGTGTCATTATGGCTGTCATCTTGTTGGGTTTGTTTTTTGTGTCATTTTCTGCTTGGACTGTTTATAGAAATAGCAAGTTGGTTGAAAAGATGAAAGTGGTAATGGCTGTGTCGAGTTTGGTGTTTTCAGTGCTGAGCAAACCATTTGCTTTTGTTTTGGCTGGTTTTATTGATTGTGACTTTTCAAAGACAGTTTACTTTGAAGATATTGATGATAATACTAATGCACTTTCTCGATTCCAAACAGTTGCTTGTTTTGGAGGTAACACGTACTTGTATGCACTTTCGATTATTTCAATGCTTGCATTTTCTCTAGTGATACTTTCAACTCATTTTGCCTATTCTCCTAGTTGGAGGAGTAAGGTTGTGTTTCATACAGTTGTTGGTTGGCCCATTACCTATTTGGTTATTTCAAACATGCTTGAGATTTATCTAATATTCTTTATTCCAAAATCTGAAATTTGGGCAAGAGCTACTTTACATTTGGTAGCAGCCCTGACATTTGTTCCAATGATTCTAATTACACTTCCCTTTCAGAGACGTATTGAAAATTCCTTCTATCTTGCTGTAGCTTTTGCAAAGGTTGGATCTTCAATTGGTTCACTCATTTCTTCCTTGGTCAATTCTAATAATAAGTGGGATTTAGGTCTTGGAATGTCAGGTTTAACAATTGGTCTCATTATTTTAGGTTTCTGTGTTGGATTCATTGTGATGGAGTTGTATATACTAAGAACAATGGCTTTCATTAGACACAAGATGATTAAGGCCATCGAGAGAGGAGTTTCCATTTCAGATACTGCTCAAACTCAACTTTCAGAGTCTGCAAAAATGGGCCTTGAAAGAGAAGCTACAAATATCTATTCCTCACTTCATGAATCACAAAGTTTGAACAAGCTCAAAATATTTATTAGGTTTAACATAATCCGAAGAAGCAAGCAAACAAAGGCAATACTAGACGATACGGATATGTGTCTCGCATTTATTAAGGGTGTTTCTCATCAGAAAACATTCAATGATCCTTCTCTAATATTGTTCTCCAGTTTACTTATCTATGTCAACCATCCAGATGAATCGAATAGCTCAATTTTTGCCAATAGTTTGTTGAAAAAAACTACGCGAGTCAAGTTATCATTCTTTGAGAAAGTTACCCTTGGTGAGGTTACCAAAGAATTGAACATCTCTAAAAATGGTAAAGTTGCAAGAAACACAACAGACTTGGAATCATTGCTAGTTAGAGTTGATTCAAATTTTTCGCAACTCAAATCTCTTCACAAATCCTTCTGGAAAGAATTTTTACAAGATGTTGTTGACACTACTAACTTGGAAGTTATCAATAGTAAATGTGCTCAATTGATGGCTGACTCTGAAAATATTTTCCACAATAGAATTTCAAGATATAAGAATAACAAAACCTTCTTGAGATCATATGCTCGCTTTCTAGATGAAATCAAGTTTGACAAGGATCAAGCTGCTGAACTCTTCCAAGAAGCAGCAACTATGGAAGAGGAAGAGCTTGCCACAAAGAGAAGGAGGCAGAGAAAGTTTAGTCGTGTTGTGCCCTATGATGGACCTGTAGTAAGCGTTGAACCTCCTGCATTCTCTCTCGATGGGTTGAGAAAGGGAACAAATGAACCAATTACAAACCTAATGGATGATGATTTTGATGATCATATGTTGGATGGTGTTGAGAATGAACCTGCAACTAAGAGAGAGTATGTTTTCAAAGCGGCTCTAGCACAAAAGACCAACGGAGAGTTGCACGTGGCCTCTGTAGTAATGTTCTGCCTTCTTTCATTTGCAATAATACTTGTTTCCCTTGTGTTGAATGTGTATTATTCAGAGGAAGTTCTTTCAAATGTCAAGTTTGTCCAACAAGTTTGTGAACCAACTGTTTCTTCATATGCAATCTTGAAACAAATCAGAAATAATCAAATACTAATCCAAGCAAAGAATCAGGGTATTGGTGTTCAGGAAGCTGAACTAATTGACGTCTTGGAAATAGAAACAGATAGCAACATTACTGTAACAAGTTTAAATGAGATTTGGAAGGAGAGACTTAATTTCTATGTTGAACATATTGAACATGTTAAAAAGATGTCACAAGGTAAAATTGTTGGAAAATTCACACCTGAAATGTATGAAGATTACAATAGTGAAACAAATGAAGTATTTGTTCCTGTGATTCAAACAAAGAATCAAAATTCATTCATTGAGGTCATTAAGAAGAATGTTTCACTCTCTGAAATTTCATCACTCTTGATTGATATTGTTGAAAATTATCCATCAGGAGGATACAATGAAACATTGAAAGAATATGATTTCATGTTGGTATTCTTGAACAGGGAAACTTTCACAAATGCCTTTGTGAAAACATGTTTCAGTTTCTTGGAAAGATGTGAACTTGACTCTGTGCAATTTGATAACACTTTCCTCTATTTCTTTGTTGGTTCTGCCTGTTTTTATATTCTGTCCTCCCTAATTTACATTATTTACATCAGGATTCAATTCACTCTAGTTGCCAACACACTGGCATTATACGAAAGACATTTAACAAAAGACTTGGTTGGTAAGATCTACCAAGAATTAGGAAAGAATGTTGATGAGAATTCTACCACTAGCTTCCTTAAATCTTTCATTACCAAACCAAAGGTATTTTCTTTTGTTTGTATCCTTTCTTTGGCTTTTCTTACAATTCTTGCATCATCAATGATGTTTTTGGAGTTGAGATTGAACTCTGACTTGGGATTTTCAACCATGTTGAGTGTGCGCAAGACTGCAGAATCATTAGTGTTGGCCCAATCAATTGGGCACAAGTTGAATGAGCAGTTCATATCAACACTTTCTTCATCTATTTACAATGATCCCTTGCTTGTAAACAACTCAACAATGAATCTATTCAGATATGAAGTGAGATATAATGTTACTGATTTTAGAAGAACATATAATGAGCTGATTTACGGAAAAATAGGAGTTTCACCAACCATTCTTGGCGCCATTCCAAAGATTGATGAAATTATTACAGGAACAGACTGTACTGCTGGAAACTGCACAAGTTTGGAAAACACAGTCGATGAGTTCACTATTAAATCAAGCAAGTACAATGAGGATTTGATGAAAGGTGTTTTCTCTCCAGAGGAGCTAATTTTGAAAAACACAGTAGTTGATGGTTTGGTACATCATTTGTGTGTTGATTTGTTAGAGTTTTTGGCCTTGTTTACCATTGCTAGATCAACACCATCAACAATTATTGCACTTCTATTCGGTATATTTGGATTTTCTGCCGTAGTGTTATTTTTTGGCTTGTTGAACAAGGTGTTCCACAATCATTGGAATGATATTTTCCATTTAAGAAACATGTTGAATTATGTTGGATATGATCACTTGGATTCCAGTGATCCTTTGAGAAACTATGCTTTGTACAATCAGTTACCAGGTAAGAATATATTCAAAAAGAAGAATAAGATTGCCTCAGCAGAGGGTGATGAATCCAAAGTAAGAAATATTCTCAATGCAGCAGTTGATGGAGCAGTGTTGTGTAACAGTGCATGCGATATTGAAATATTCAATCCAGCAGCTCAAAGAATGTTTGGATGCAAACAATCAGATACTTTGGGAACTCCAATTTTCACTCTCTTTGATAAAGAATCGAGGACAGAGTTGGAGAGAGTCATTTCTGACTTGATTAAGAATGCCAAATCGACAACATCTTCTGAAAGTCTTGGTGAAACTGTTGAATTGGATTGTGTGAGAAAGAACTTGACAAAATTCCCTGCAAAAATCAATTTGTTTTCAACACTGTTTGATGGAAAACCAGTTGTGACATGTTTCATTAAGGATGCAACTTCTGAAAAGAAACAAAATGCATTGTTGGCTGAAGAAAAGAAAAAGTCTGAAAATCTATTGAGATCTATTTTGCCAGAAAGTGTTGCCAACAGATTGAAATCTGGTGAAACATTCATTGCTGAGAAATTTGCAGATATTACCTGTTTCTTTTCTGACATGGTTGGATTCACTCAAATGTCTTCAACCCTCAATCCAACTCAATTGGTTGGAATGTTAAATAATATTGTGAATGGATTTGATGCCTTAACAGACAAATATAGTTTGGAAAAGATCAAGACAATTGGAGATGCCTATTTTTGTGTTGGAGGAATTGGAAATACACAATCTGATCACCCAGAAAGAATGCTTCGTTTCTCAATGGATATTTTCCAAATATTGAGAACCTACAATGAACAGAATAGAAAGGAATTTGGACATCAAATCAATATTCGAGTTGGAGTGAATACAGGAAGTGCAGTTGCAGGTGTGATTGGTACAAAGAAATTTGCCTATGATTTGTGGGGTGATACCATCAACACTGCTTCTCGAATGGAATCGACATCAATTGCTGGAAGAATTCAAATTTCCAGATCAACTTATGAAAGAGTTTATGATATGGGTCTTGAATTTGAAGAAAGAAGTGTTGAAGCAAAAGGAAAGGGTTTGTGTCTCACTTATTTAGTCAAATCTCATCACCATGCTCAAGCAATCATTACGGATGATGTTGTTGATTTTGTTCCAGAAGAAGAAAAGGATGAGCAAGACTTGGAAGTAAGCTATCCTGTTAGGTCCAGTAAAGATGAAGAATAAAATTCAATTAATACTCCTGTTGTGTCCATTCCGCAAGTGAAGGTTGAAAAAATTATCTGTTTAAAATGAAGATGAATCATGGAGAATTTTTGTTTTAATTAATTTATTTTTATTTTATAAATTTAAGCGCCAACGAGAACCGTTACGAATCATCCTTCAAAAATATCATTTTTTCATCACAACAATAAAAAAATCTTTCTAGATTATCAGGCAATCCGATCTCACAAATTATTCTCACTTCAATCCCAAACCAGATGCAAAATTCTTCTTCTCACAATACTAATATCATCACATGATCCATCGAAAATATCTTTGCCAAAGGAATTACCCAGCCGATAGGGTTGCTCATCATTCTCCTCACCATCACAAACTCTCTTCAATTCATCAAAACTAACGCTCCATGACCATTTAGAAGGTGTATCTATTATACAATGATTCGTAATGCTGATCAAGAAACAAATTCCTCTCTCTTACACTGATAAGCAGAGAGAGGATGATTTAATTGGATTACTCTTTAGGAAGGTCAAGGCTAAGAGAGGTGGTGGGTTCTTCGTTCCCAATCCAAACCTCATTCAGAAAAAAACAACCGAGAGTCTTCATCAAATTGAAGAAGAATAACAATTACATTATCATCATCATTGATTCCATAGAGGAGGATAAGGAGTGGTGGTTGATAATAATTATCGATAAGAGATTGAAATTTCATTCTAGAAAGAATTTTGTTGTTGTTTGATTGAATTTTAAATTAGGAAAATGTTATGGATTGTCATTGTGTCGGGTATAACGAGTTTTGTGCTGTCATGTGGTATGGGTGCAAATGATGTGGCCAATAGTTTTGGTACTGTTGTTGGTTCCAAGACATTGAGTATGAAGTGGGCCATTGTCATTGCGAGTATATTCGAATTTCTTGGAGCTATGGGTATGTTTTTGTAATTGTTGTTGTAAATTTATCATGAAAATGTTGTTTGCACAGTGATGGGTATGTTAAAAATCAAGTAATTGTCAATTAATTGTATTGATTGTATTGGAATAATTAGGTGATTATGTGAGTGGAACTTTGAGAACTGGAATTATTGTGGAAGGATTTTTCCAACCAGGTGAAGAAACCTTCTACATGATTGGAATGATGTGTGTCTTGTTAGGTCCTACAATTTGGCTCATATTCTCGACCTATCTTTCATTGCCAGTCTCAACAACTCATGCAGTTGTTGGTGGCATTTGTGGATTTGTCATTTCACTGAAAGGATACAAGGCCATTCAATGGATGACCATTGGAAGAATTGCACTCTCTTGGGTTGTTTCACCAATTTTGGGAGGTATTGCATCGGCTCCACTTTATTTTGTTATTAAGAAATTCATTTTGCAAGGAAATGTTGAAAAGAGAACACTAATCTTTTTCCCAATTATTACTGCCATTACTGTTACAATGGTATTTGGTTCATTATTCATTGAAGGTTCTCCAGCATTGTATTTGGATAGAGTACCACTTGCAGCTTCAATTCCAACAACTATTGGTGTTGGTATTATTGTTGGTATTGTTTGTGCTTGTTTCATTCCACTCATCAAGAGACAATTACACAAGAGAGCTATCAAGAAGGCCATTGAAAAGCAACATGAACAACAAGCTAAGCATGAAACTGGAGAGGTAGATATTGCTCAATCCCTCACAACTGAAACAGAAATGAACAATACTGTGGCCAATCTTGAAAATGTGGATAATATTAATGAGAAGAATAGTACAGTTGTTGGAGAATCATCTTATGGATCATTGGAAGATGAGGATGAACTTGAAAAGAATGACATTACAAAGGTTGCTGAGGAAAATAATGAAAATGTTGAGGAGACTACCAAATACTTTGATTCTCACGAAATGACAATTGAAACACAAAAGGAGAATTCTGATGTCATTTACAAGGGATTGATGATTTTCTGTGCTTCCTTGACAAGTTTTTCACATGGTGCCAATGACGTCAGTAATGCTGTTGGTCCTTTCAGTGCCATCTATTCAGTCTATGTTCAAGGACATTTGAAGGTTGACGCCTTTGTACCTTACTGGATTTTATTTATTGGAGCTGCTGGTATTGTTGTTGGATTGGCAGCCTTTGGATCACGTGTCATTAAGACTGTTGGTAATAATTTGAATAAGAAACAATTGGTTCCATCTCAAGGTTTTAGTAGTCAATTGTGTGGAGCTTCATTTGTCTTGATTGCTTCTAAAATGGGAATTCCAGTCAGTACAACCAATGCTCTTGTAGGTGCAGTCATTGGTGTTGGTATTGTTGAAGATTTTTCAGGTGTAAAATGGAAACTGTTGGGAGAAGTTGTTATTGGTTGGTTGACCACATTGCCAATCTCTGCAATTTTATCTGCAGCCATGTTCTCATTCCTTAAATGGCTTGTTATTTAAATAATTGCATAATGTACAAACTCTTGAAAGTACTTGGATGGCTTTGAATTCGATTCTCATAACTTGAGAGAATTTATTCGAATCGGTGTGCATTTAAATTCCTTAGATAAAAAAATATTATTTTAACAAACCTTTGACTCTAAAGGAAATGCAATTAACACGAATGTAATTATTAAAACCTTAAACCTTGATTACAATGCATTTTGTAATACACGTCTTTTCCACACTACGGCGCCATAATGTCTTGGATTCACTTGCCTTATTCTCTCCCATAAAAGATTTTTTCACCACACCCAATCAAAATATTAAACAACAGGCAACATTTCCTTCTCAATTGCTAGTTGACATTTTTTAATGCTTGTTGATCCTGCCACAGACCTTATTTGGGCAAATCTGCGAAGGAGTAACGCGCTCAAAAAAAAATCCTCGATTCTCTCAAAGGCTTCTTTCTGCAGTAGAACTTTTCTCTTTGATTCCTTCCCAAACTAACTTTCGTTGAAGAACATCACATCAATACAAAGATTTTTAATTGACCAAATAATTTGAAAAAAGATGAATGAAAGATTGGCTTTTCACTTGAAGAACAAGTATGTGATTATTAGTGTGGTCGCCACAGTGTTGGCTATTATATTATTGGTGGCGGGTTTGGGTGCTGCTATTGCTACGTGGGCTGCTGCTTCTCACTTTTCTATATATTCATCTGTTGAGAAGCATTCTGATTGTACACCAAGGTTTGTGTTTTTTTGTGTGTGAATGATAGCTAATTGACTTGATTCTATTTTCTTGATGATAGTGGTTGCTCAATTGTCAATGGAAATGTAATGCAATATAATATTACAAAGAATGGAGTGACTGTTACTGTTACATCAAGTGATTTAAACACTAATCTATGTAATTCGACCTTTGTGGACTGTTATTACAATGTGGATAGTTTGCCAAAGACCTTGTGGAATACAAGTGAAAAAAAGGATTCCAGTAGGACAACTGTTGCTGCTTACATTATTTTGGGATTAGCTTTCATGATCATTCCAATTTGTGTGTTACTTGTCGATGGGTTGACCATTTTCTGGTGTTATAAACGTAAGCTTGTTGGTGACGAAACTGAACTAATCCCTGGTGGAAATACATCCTCTACTAGAGATAGTGTCAGTGTTTCAAACCAGAACTCTTCCTCAGTGTAATATTCGGAATGCAACAATTTCATAACAATTTATGTGAGACAACACAACAGTGATTGTATTAAATATTTATTCTAATTTATTGCACCATATTATCTTCACCAATACCGAACACAGTTAACAAACAAGAAAAAAATGCAAAGATTGATCAAACCACATTCCATCAAAAACTTATCTACAGTTCGAGTTCGATTTTTCTCTCGATCTCTCAATCAATTTGAGAAACCAATTAATCCTCACGATCCACAACATGATCTCACTTTTGATAATGACAACAATAGCATTGGTAAGGATTCTCTTTGATTTCATCAATTTTGTGTAACCAAATTCTTGTCCGCGCTCGAACCATTAAATAATTTGTAAAAAAACCGCAACATTTCAAAATCCAAAAAAACAACTCGACACTTATCATGCCATCTTCATCATCTTCAAAATCTAAAAAATCCAAACAATCATCTTCCGATGATGAAAAAACCAAATCAAAAATTACAAAATCAACCAAAACAATGAACAAAAAAACAACTAAAAAACCAGAAAGGAAAATTAATCAAGTAGAAACGTTTTTTGCAAAAGATCAAGAAACATGGAGAAAGTGGCTTGAGGAGAATAATGCAAGCAAGGATGCAATTTGGTTGATTTATCATAAAAAGCATACTAAAAGGGAAACTATAGTTTATGAACGAGCTTTGGATGAAGCACTTTGCTTTGGATGGATCGATTCAACAGCCAGACCTCATCCTGAGGATCCTGACAATTCATACATGCAATACTTTTGTAAAAGAAAGGTCGATAAGAGTCAGTGGTCAAAGAAAAACAAGGATCGAGTGGCAGAATTGATTGAGGAAGGGAAAATGACAGAACATGGACTTTCAATGATTAATAAGGCAAAGGAAAATGGAATGTGGGATTTAATGAATGATGTCTATGATTTGAAAATTCCACAAGATTTGAAAGATGCATTTGAAGATGAAGAGGATGCATTTGAATATTTTGAAAGTCTAACTAAAAGTGTAAAGAAGCAAGCTCTCAATATGGTATTCCAAGCAAAGAGAGAGGCAACCAGACAGAAGAGAATTCAACATATTGTGGATAAGTGTAAAAATAATGAAAAGCCAATTTTCTAGATATATTCCTCACTGTGATCCATAATTCTTACAATTTCCAACTCATTATTGATCTCTCTCACGTTTGCTACATAACTGAAAGGACAGTATATTTGAAAACTCCATCACATCTAGTCAGTTGTAAATATTTTCATTTTCAGTTCTTTCCAAATTCTTAAGAATCGTAACAATAAATCTATTTCATCAAAGGAACTTTCAAGATTCTAAAAGAATGAGGGTAGTATGTCCCTTGCCGAATGGAGGGAATTATGATTTTCCATCATAAAATATAAATTCCAATTTCATGATGATCATCTACTAATAAAAATTACTATTATTACTACTATTTAGATCACGCTGAGATGATGATGTGAAAGTTTGGTGCCTTCATGATGAAAAACCACTACGAAAATCAGCAATGCCACAAAGTACCATTGTTATTGAATATTTTTTTCACATTCCAATTTTCAAAATAATTTTTCAAGCATTATTTCGTGATATTGAATAATAATTATCGGTTTGTTGCTGCATTAAGTATCTATATGAATAGAACATTTATGTTGAATGGTTTTCACATATTGCAAAACAATCATCACACCACATTATTTATTAACTTAGCTGGTGTTGATTGTTTTGCAAAAGTCGAAAAAATATCAAGAAAATTTTCATCAAATACATGTCTCTTGCTCGGCGATGATTTTCAAGGACAATTCTTCATCATTGTTAAAGCCACTTTCTGTGCAGTAGGATTGGATAGTTTGGAGTGTATAGATATTGGTTTTTTAATATTTCATCATGAATTACAAATTTTGGAAGGCAATTATTAATTTTATGGAAACTTTTGTCGAGTTGGAGAAGTAAAACCATAATTAATTGTTCATCATAGTTATGAATATAACAACCCAAACTGATGCGAGTGTTTAAATTCAAGAATAACCTCATCAAGTTTTTAATTTAAATATTTCATCATGATCAACAACAACCTGAGCAATAAGACCATTATGGTCTTGTTCTAAATCATCAAGAGTATCACCCTGGAAAGTTTCAAAACTTTTCTTCGAGTACATTCTCTCCTGTAGAGCATGTTAGCAAAACCTAGAAATTCGCAAGAAACACTTGAAAAACTTGTTCAATTTCACGAGGAGGGCAAAGATTTATTATTGTACCACATCAGGAAGGATGTTATTGCAGTGTTTTTCAACTTTTTTCCAGAGATTGGTCAAGTTGAATTTTTACATGCTTCCCAACATTAATTATTCATCATCTACTTGGTCATTCTTCATCAATACAACAATAAATACATTGATATCTAACACCAATGTTCATCTTGTTGTTTCACTTCAAAAGATAGCCAAGATAATCACTCAACCTCCCACCAACAACAATTTTCCATCAAATTTTCCTCTTCACAAAATTCCTTTTTTTATGAATTCCTTTTTATGAAACTGTATCAGTAGTATTTATTTTTCTTAAGATAATCTAGAGCTCTCTTATTTTGGGCCAGTGCTGCACTAATAATCTTTGAGTTGCGTTGTAGCTCCATTGAGGCACATTGTAAATAGAGACCATTCTTACTGACAGCTGCCAAAACAAACTTGTAATCATTTTGTAATTCTGATGAGGCATAGTAAAGACTTCCTCCGGCCTGAATTACTTTCATCATGAAATCATAATCATTCAACAACGAAAATGGGAAATATTGTAAACATTTTCGATTTTTTGTAACAAATTTCAAAGCAAGTTGATTCAAAACTGTCAAGGGTAAATATTTCAAGGAAACGAGATTATTATCAAATGCTGCATTGGCAATCTCCAAATCATTCTTCAAATTATCAGACGCATATTGAATAGCTATTCCACATTTTGAGATGGCTTTTTTTACATTTGTGAAATCACTTCTCAATCTTGCTGATGCAAATTGCAACGCAATTGGAGAATTATGCAGAGCCATAGAAACAATTTCATCATTATCCTGTAATCTCACTGATGCAAATCGAAGAGAATTTCCATAATTCATCACAGCCAACTTGACAATTTCAAAATCATCTCGACAATTTTCACTAGCATATCGTAACATAATTCCTCTAAATTTTACAAAAACAATCATCCAATTTCTTCTATTACAACAAGGTAATTCATGATGATCGTAATATTCCTCAATCATCCGATGATCCATCTTTTTTAATCGTTTAAATTGATTAAAAGATTCCAAGTGAAGTGAAACATCTTCCTCTCGCATCTGATTTCTCCACATGAATAATTTATTCACAAGAGAATGACAATATTGTTGGGTAAATTGTGAAAATGAACAGTTGGGACTGTCGACACGAGCACGAGAATAACACCTCTGTGTTGTTTCATTTTTTTTTGATTGTAACAATGAAAAGTGGTCATCAGGAACTTGTGATGAACATATTGTAATTATTCTATACTCCTCAATAGGGATTGTCAAACACTCTCTACTAATACACCAGTGGACTGGCCATATGCAATAGGTTGAGTAGGGCGAATGAGAACGAAGGTGATGATCCCTAAAATAAGGTTTGGCAATAACTCCGAAAACCAAGTTACTTTGAGATTAAGGTTCAAAAATAATATTCGAAACAAACTGTAGTTATCTTTATCTTATTAGAAACACTTCCTTACGGTTCCATGCACCAATAGAATAATTTCCAAAATAATTCAATGATTGCTACTTGACCAAACTGGTCAAGTTGACCGCTGTATTACTACGCAATGCTCATTAGGACCTTTGTGGAGTTTCTTCATTACTCCATCCTGGCAACTTTCAATCAACAATTCGATATCTTTAAAATCTGTGTGTTACCTCAATGTAACATATTCGAATTAAAAAAATCAACATGAAAACAATAACATACTTACTGTTGCTACTCTCTCTTGTGGCCACAATTACATGCCAACAAGAACAAATCACCGTAACCATTCCACAAGGTTCCTACATTGGTGTGTCCACCAATAACCAAACTAAATCCTTCCTTGGTGTCAGATATGCTCAAACCACAGAAGGAATTAATCGTTTCAGGCCACCAGTTTCAGTTTCCTCCATGAATTCAACTGCCATCTTCAATGCCACATCCTTTGGCAACATTTGTGTCCAAACTCCAGATTCTAGCATTACATACACTGAACCACAAAGTGAAGATTGTTTATTCTTGAATATTTGGGCTCCAGTCGGTGCCTCACCAACAAATCAATATCCAGTCATGTTCTGGATTCATGGTGGATCCTTCATTCATGGAACTGGTAATATCTATGATGGAGAACATTGGGTAAAAACCTCAATTGAGAATAATGTTCCAATTGTCTTTGTGTCCATCAATTATAGACTGGGAGTTTTTGGGTTCTTGGCTGATGACTTGTTAAAAAGTGAAAACGGACTCACCAATACAAACTTTGGATTGTTGGATCAATTAGAAGCATTGAAATGGGTTCAAAGCAATATTGCTAATTTTGGAGGTAATCCAAGTCAAATTACCATTTCCGGAGAAAGTGCTGGAGGAATTAGTACTTTGGTTTTGCTTGCAAGTCCTCTTTTGAGTCAAGTTCCTGTTACTTCTGCTATCGTTCAAAGTGGGTCCTCTTTGAAATGGCTAATGCAAACAAGTACTGTAACTGCTCTTGCTGCTGGTTCAAATTTGAAAACAAATTTCAATTGTTCAACATTGGAATGTTTGAGAAATATAACAGTTGATAGTTTAATTACCTATCAAGCTGCCAAGGCACCAACTGCATTCACTGTAACTTTCGATAATTATGTCATTACAAACAATACGTATGATGTAATTGACAATAACAAGTTTACCATGGTCAACTTGTTGATAGGTGCCACAAGGAATGAAATGGGCTATTTTACTTGTAGTTCTTTTCCTTCAAATATTACTGCATATCAAATGCAACTCGCATTCAGTTCATATTTTGGAGCTACAAAGACAGTTCAATTCTTCCCTCAATTGTCCAATTATTACAACATTTCAAATTATCAAGATAACCTTGCCTATTTCAATGATGTTCTAACACAAGCTGCTGTTCAATGTAATGCAAGATATCTAGCTGCTTCCTTCTCCAAAAAGTCTTCTTTGAATGCCTATTTCTATATCTATGATCATTACTTTCCCTTCTCAACATCATGTCAAAAGAGCATGCACGCTATTGAAATTCCAATCCAATTTCCTTCAATATTCAAACATATGAAAGGAGCTGAGGCTTACTCACTCACTGCTTCTGAATTGGAGCTCTCAAGACAAGTAATTGTTTATTGGTCTAATTTTGTGTCGAGTGGAAATCCAAATAGAAACAATTCAGGAACGAATTTGAGAACTAACCAAACTACATGGAATTCCTACTCTACTTGTTCTGATAATTATCTTGTTATTCAAAGTGGATCAAACTATGAATCTTCAGAAATACTTGGAAAGACATGTCCTTTCTGGAACGTGTATGATGAGGTTCCAATAATTCCATGTGTCACTCCTGCTTCTTCAAATTCTACACCAATTGTAGTGACATCAACTGTACTCCCAAAGAATTCTACAAGGGTTAATGGAGTTGGTTCATTGTTGTCTGTTTGGTTGGCTTTGTGCTTTGCTTCCTTAATGATCTTGTTTCAATAATTTTCAGAAATCACTGGAAGGTATTTAAACTCAAATCTATTAAAGAACTTGTTTATTGAATCCTTATATTTATCGCATCAGATTATGCAACGGGAGAACGACATTTAAATACATGTGAATTTTAGAAAAAGTACATGCTCAACACGAACTTTTTATAATATCAATTTCAATTTAATTGAGATAGAAACAGAGTTTTATCATACTCAATTTGTGTATTTACTCTTTGCAGTAATGGTAGCTGAAATTTGTTTCTTCAATTCCTCTTGTTGTTTCAATAAATCAGCAACTGCACCTTGGTTTTTGACAATCAATTCTGTCACCCTTATGAGTTCATTTTGTAATCCTTCAATTTTATCTGTAAATCTCTTATTCATAATTTCCTTAATACCATCTCCATTGAAAATCTTGATGACTGTTCTTTCATTGGATCTATACAGATTGACGAAAGGTTCAGACCCTAATTTATATGCTGGAGTTGTTGCAGATTTTGTTCCAATAAAACCATCCCTTGCATAGATATTCAATTGGCCCCAGCACTGGCCTTCGAAAAAAACATTGTAATCACTTTCAGCTGCCGTATCACCCTTGTTAGTGTCCATGAAGGCATAAAATTCAATGTGACAATCAAAAGAAGCACCTGGATGAATGGTACGATTCAAACCACCCCAAAAATCAACTTGATAAGCATGATTATTGTAGCATTCCAAAGTTAGATCTGACTCATTAATAACTGTAACGTCTCCTCTAATCTTGTGATACTGATGCCAACCAGCTTCCATTTGAGAAAGACCAGGAATACCATCAAACCAACCCATTTTTCTATATTGTTTTTTTTTTGTTGAGTTAATGTTGAGGGATGTGTTAGAGAGTAATGTTATAACTGTATTTCAACGATTCTCTTGTTGTTCATCTCTTAGTTAAAATTCTTTTTTAGCTTTTTCCGAGGTAGGGACATGATGTGTATAACTGTAAGTCTTACGACTGGGGAATTACAGCACTAGCCCTACGGAACAAATGTCTTGAAAGAGATGGTGAACTATTAAGGGAGAGATTCAAGTCTTATAAGTCTCCTGCATTCACCAATTACAAAGTTCATATGGTGAACTATTTTGTGTTAGTTTCAAAATATCGCGTACCAACTTCGATTGCATCTTTTGTATGATGCATAATGGGTCTTGATACCATCAATTATAAAATTATACTATTTTACTTCAAACTCAATTCAATAATTATATATTTTATTTGGATTTGTTTCTTTCATCCTGGTCTGTCTCGTGATTCGTACATTTTCTTGACGAGTGAGAGAACTAGTTTCTTTTCTCTGCTTGCCTTTCTCTTAAGCTTGTATTTGAGTTTGACTTCTTGTTGCTCTTTCAATCCTTCAACTGAGAGTTGAACTATTTCAACCATTTCCTTTCCATTTTCATTGGCTTCAATTACATTGGTTGAAACAATGATTGGTGGATTATCGAGCAAGAGTTCCATATAATTTAACAAGCTCTTTCCATTAGCAATCAGTCCTGCAGCCTTTTGTAACAATTCTCCATCTTCAGAATTGAGGATTTGAATCTTGACATTCTCAATAATTTCTTTCTCTTCAGAAATTCTATCAAGTTCAACCTCATAAGATTCCATAATGAAGTTATACTCCATCATCAATTGCAAAAAGGTGTTAGTTGTTGCACCTGAAAGAATTGTCAATGATCCAAGAATAGTATCACGTTGATAGAGATCTGTAATAGCTGACATTACGTGATTAATTGTTGCTTTGAAGAGATTCAATTCTACATCATTCAATCTTTGTTCCATATTAACCAATTGCATCTTGGCTCTAATGTATTCACTTTGAGCTTCTGTGAATAATTGTTTAAGTGCTGAAAGTTTCATCACAACTGGTCCACCAAGATTCAAGAGGTCATTAGTATCCATCTTGATCAAAAGAGTATCGTTAATGAAAGCTTGCTCTCTTCTCATATTTTCAAATGCAACACCGACTGCCTTTTCTGCTTCTGCCATCTGTTGATATTTCAACTTAATTGAGGCTCGTAATTCTTCCATTTGCTTGGTCAATTCAGGATATTCCAAGAAGGAATTCATCTTTTCCTTTCCAATTTCCTTCAATGTCTTATTAACCATTTGTTCCATTCCTTCCGAAATAATCTTGGCAACTTGTTCAACCTTTTGTCCTCTCTTCTCTGCAAATTCGTTATACTTTTTTGTAAATTCTTCATTCACACGATCGAATTTTTCAATAGTATCAACCAAGTTATTCAACTTTCCGACAATGGATTGTTGAGAGTGTTCCAAGCCATCCAACGAACGCTTAAGTTTCTTCATTCCAGACTTGATGTGCTTGAGTGTTGTTTCGCTCATTTTGTTTTTTGGAGTGTTGAATAAACCAGCAAACAACATCAAAAGAATAAACGTAAATCTAGCTGTTGTATTGAAGAAGATCTCTTCCTTGAAAAGGATTTTGATATTCGCATCTATTAAAATACTAATATGTCCTCGTGAATTACTATAATCGAAATTCAGAACAAAAGTTCACCACAGAGATATATTTTACACTTGCAACAGTAAGAAGAAGTCACCACCTCACACCAAGACAAATCAAAAAAACAAACCTTAAGCGAGTAACTCAAAATGTCTTCCGAATCATCAAGCCCAGCACTTGAATATCATTTACCTCATGTTGATTTTGAACTTCTTTCAAAACAAGATAAAACATTCAATTTAATATTCAGTGATGAGAATTTGGAGGTTCCCGTGCTAAAGAGTATTGGTTTGCAGAATTTCAAGATTGTTAGACCAAACGCGAATAGTTTGACTGTGGAGGGCCAATTAAAGCTCTTCGAAAAACAATGGAATGGAAAAGTTGAATATTTGAAGAATGGCAATGCTGTCTCGTTTACCTTTAGTGCAACTGTTTTGGGAGATATGCAGTTGAAAGATCTATTCCCTGGATTGTCAGAGCATTGGAATGTTCCTTTGAGAAAGGTTTCTATCGGCCTTACTCTTGGAAAGACTAAGAAATCTGAAAATACTAAGGAAGGTGAAGAGATTGAGCTTCCTAATGGAAGATTGACCATTAGTGCAAGCTTTGGTATCCCTTCAAGTATTCTTCATTGTATTGGAAAGAACTCAAATGATGAAATCAACCTTTCAGGCTACTTTATTTGCGAAGGAATTGATATTGACTTGAAAAAGATAGTAGATTTGCAATTGAAAGGTACAATCTCAAACATTGAAAGTGGTATTCTCCACAGTAATCTGAGCAAAAACTTTAATGTACAAAAACTCAAAGCAAGAATTAACTTTTCCAAGAACACAATAGCTGAGAAGCAAGTTTGGACAGCAAATTGGAAACTCGAAGCTCATGTCACATTGAAATCATCAGTTTTGGGAAATCCATTGCAAGCTATTGTTACTGTTAATCTTGACGAAAACAATGACAAGTTCTTGGCAACCATCAAAGTCAACGACTGGCTAGAACCTTTCAATTTGAAAGAATGTTCCTTTCAAAATTTGGAAGGTGTTTGTTTGTTGACCAAAGAAGAAGCCAAGGTTAACCTAACTGGTACCTTAAAAGTTGGTGAAAGAGTCATTGAAATGGACGGCTTTGTCAAGAATGAAGAAGTTTGGTTTTCTGGCTCAATTACACAATTTTCTTTGAATGATTTGGTTGATTTGTATAATAGCATGTTCAAGTGTAAATTATCACAATCACAAACTGATATTATTTTGAAGAATTGCAAGTTGACTTTCCATAAACAAAAGAACGGTCTACTTGACAGTATTAGAGGAAAGAGTGATCAAGAAATTACATTCCAAACTTCTTGTCTCATTCCAGGGACAATGATTCCAGAGTTCAACATTGATTTAACATTGAATCAAAATGGTATTGTTGGTAATTCAAGTTTTGTTAGTATTGAACTTAAAAATTGCATATTAAGGGATGTAAGCATAGACTTTGATTTGCCTAAAAATCAAACCAAGACAACTGACTATATTAAATTGAAAGGAAATGCAGAAATGATGTTTTTAAATGGGATTAATGTTGATTTTCAAGCAAGAATTCAATCTGAAATGGCTCCTTCATCTGACGAAAGAAACAAAGATGCTAATAAGAAGAAGAATAATATTATTGTGTATGGAAAGATGCATGAAACAAACATTTCAAATTTGATCCCATCTCTTGCTAACACTTTTGTTAAGGATTTAATAATTAACGAGTTGATGGTCACTGTAGCAAATAGTTCAGGTTCACTCGCATTATCAGAAGAAGAAACCTTAACGGTTAAGGAAGGTTTAACTATTGTGGCAGGTGTTAACAATACTGACAAGGCTATCAATTCCATTATTAATAATATTTCTGTTGCAACAGATATGAAGGATGGTCAAGTCAAACTTTCTGTTTGGGTGAAAGATAAGGAAAATTACTCAGTTGACTTTCAAATTCCTTCCTTTGATGTTGAATTTGGTAATTTTATCAAACTTACAAATCTTTGCTTCAAGATACCAACAAAATCCAATGTTGGTTCTACTTCCATATCTGAAATTGAATTCACAGATGCTCTTTTCAGTTTATTTCTTTCTTCCTACAAGATTGAATGTTTTGCCACTGTAAAGATTAATAGTGAGTCAATTAGTGGAAGAGCTTCTAAACCAAGTATTAAGAACCTATTCGGTTATTCTAACCTTAGTATGGAGGATATTTCTATTGATTTCTCGAAGAAGAGGGGTGGAAAGGAATATAATGCAAATTGGAGTGGTAAATTGGTACTTCATGATTCAAATTTCAATTTCAATGGATCAATTACTAATGAGAAAGCAGAAGTTAATGTTGAAATGCCTCAGTTTGACAGCTGTAGCTTGTTAAAGTGCTACTTTGCCTTGTATGGGGTTCAACTCAAGACAATCAAGCCAAATCTTGTCTTTTCAAATACCAGTCTGAGTATTGTGCATGAATTTCAAGAAAAGACAACCACTGTTACCATTAAGAGCAAGTTGACTTTACCAAATCTCAATGTGAAAGATATTGATCTCTCTTTAGAAATAACCAAAGATCAGGTCCATGGCACAGTTGACCTCCAACCAATTTCTCTTCCACTTGTGACTATTAACAATGTTAAACTCACAATTGACCTTTACTCCTCTGAGAGCAAGAAGGATAACAAGATATGTCTTCTCGGTCAAGCAGTTTTCAAACTTCCAGGAGACATTCATCTTGAACAAATAGTTGCCATTCGATTAGAAGGAAAGAATTACCTCGTCTATACTGTTGCCAAGTCAGATAATTTCAAAAAACTTTCAGATGCATTCCCAGTCATGAAAGGAAGCGCTCTCGATGCATTGGAATTCAAGAAATTCCAACTCTTGTATTCTACTTACAGAACTTGTCATCCTTTGGAAGAAATCAATGTTAAGAAGGGAATTCAAATTATTGGAGACCTGGAATTATCAATTGATGCCTTGTTGAAGAGTTGTAAAGCTCCTGATATTCAAATTCTCTTCCCTGGTTTTGATTCCAAAGTTGCTATTCCAATTAGGTTGACAGCATTTGGTGAAACAGTCAGTTCCATGGAATTGGGTGTTTCTCTTCCAAGTTTAAAGGTTGACTTGGGTGAGAATATTTCATGTAATCCACTTGAATTAATTTTACCTTTGAATCCTATGAGTGCTCAAGCAAGAGTTCAATTTCAAATAATTATCAAGATGGATCCAAATCCAATGACTTTGACAGCTTCTCTTGGTATTGACAAGGGCCAGGTCACAGTTGCTGGAAGTATGGAAGGGGATTGGATTGAACCATTTGGTTTGAAGAATGTTACTGTCAGTGATGTAGCTCTTCAAATGTGTTTCATTCCTGGAGCTCTTCCTTCTGGATTTGGATGTACTGGTAAGCTCAAGATTAGTGACATTATTGACACCCAAGCAGGCTTTTCCATTTTGGAATCATTCATGAACTTTAAACATAACCGTTTGGCGTCTGGTGATTTTTTCAAATTGGCATCTTTGGTAATGAATACCAAGTTTGACTGTTCATCTGTTCCTGACTTTTGGAAATTGGAAGATATTGACTTTTACACAGCTGCTCTTCCAGTAACTATTGGTGTTTTCAAATTTGAACCAGGATTCCATTTCAAATCCTATTTTGAAATATTTGGTATTAAGGGTTATGTATCCACTTCAATAGATACTGAAAATGGTTTCAAGATGAGAGGTATTTTACAATCTCTTACACTGGGAGCTCTAAAGTTGGGATCTGTTCCATCTGAATATACTGAATTATATCTCAAAGATGAAGGTTCTCAATATTTCACTGCCGAAAATGTTGGACCAATGGTTGATATGTCAGTTGACAAGACCAATGTCAATTTCTATCTGAACAGTAGTATCGTATTGTATGATATTTCTTTGGATGTTATGATTTCTGTACAACCTACCTTATTAGACTTCAATGTTGACTTTAACATGTGGAATATGTTAAGTATCATGTTGAAAGTCAAAGCAACACTTCCAGAACACACATTTTCTATCAATGATTTGGATGTTGAAATGGAAGCCCTCTTTACGAATGAATGCTCTGATTTAGTTATCAAGTATGTCAATCAAGCTTTCGTGGATGCTTTGAAAACTTTCGAAGAGGGTTTCGAAAAGGCAAAGAAGTCTTTGGAAGAAAAGAAAAATCAATCTCAACAGAGAGTTCTTTCAAACGTGCTGAAAAGGATGTTGAAGAGGAAAATAAGGCATTAGATATTCTTCAAGAATTGATGAACAAGTTGAGTGAAGAGTCTATTTCTCATTTGAAATCAGCTCAATCACTAGCCATTCAAGCAGAAAAGAGATTTAATACTGCTGTTCATGAATGTCAAGATCAACTTCATTCAGTGATGAGAATTCAAAATCAAGGAGTGAACAATATGATCTATGATTTAATGAATCTCTCAAAGGACAATGAAGATATGAACTTGTTAGAAAGTCAAGTTGAAGCACTAGCTAAAGAAAGAAGCAGTGTTCTTGAACAACTCATGAATTTTAACAAACCATTAGCTTCAGTGGTTGATTCATCCGATGATTCTGACGATGATTCTGACTCAGACTCTGACGATTCTGATTCAGACTCTGATGATGAGCTTTTGATGGGTGGAAATATCAAACAAGTCAAACAACAATTAACAAACTTGGAAGCAAAACTTGACGCTACAATTAAAAAGATGCAAGATGATTTGAAAGATCTAGAAAAATCAAGAACATCTATCTCACCAAGCAAGCCAAGAATTACTCTTAATCAAATCATTCAAAACTCTGTTAATGAATTAGGAGCAGTGATGAAACAAAATAATATTAACTTTGACAAGTTTGTAAAATCATGGAATCAATTAAAATCGAACCAACATGAATTGCATCAAAGTATGAACAAGGATATGAAGGAAATGAAGGAAAGAGCTAGAAAGTTTGATGAACATGGAGCTAAACTTATTACCATTGCCAAAAAGAGTAACATTTACTCGAAGAATTATTCTAATCTCATTAGATATCAATTTGAAAATAGTATTGCCAGTTTGGGAATTTCTATTGCTGAGGCTTGTGTGAATGTTGCTCAAAATGTTACAAAGGATGTTCTTGAAGGGTTAAGAATGATAATTACTACATTGTTAAAGTCATTCGGAATTACATATATGGAAGCTAGGGCAATTATTAAATGCAAAGAAAAAGATTTCAGATTCCGTCTCAAGATGAGAGGTTATATTAATTACAATAATAACAAAACGGATTGGGGTTTCGAATTTGATTTGGATTTCAGAAAGTGGAATGAAATGATTGTAGCATTCTTCAAATACTTGTTAAATGAATTCTGTAAACTCACTGGATTTAAGAACCCTTTTAATTAATAAACAATTGCGAAATTTATCCTTATGGTCATAACTACCATGTGTTTCTTTTCCACAATTGGTCTCTCATCTATATTCTATAAGAGTTGACTCTTTCTACCTGATTTCAATTCAGATAGTTTCCAAAATTTGTACAACACTTCCAAACAATCATGATGTCAATCCCTCCTCATATCATGAAGTGAGGAATCATATTTATATGAAGAATAACCTCAGAATAATGCCACGTCTGGAGATTGGCTTCACACTTAAATTTAAGCAATTTGGAAAAATATCATTCATCATTAAACTCACAAGAAATCAAACCGTATTGGTATTTTCAATTCCAATCGAATAAATAGCATTAGAAATCAAACAAGCAATTGTTTAATATTAAAAAACATCTTGAAATGAATCAAAATAAAATCAGTAAGCAACATAAAATGAAGTTTGGTTATCGTTCCGTACTCACTAGATCTTCATTATTATTGATCTACATAATCATTGATATATGTTGTGTGTCAGGGTTTGGTTAGGATTCAGAGTTGATTTATTTGGGTTATTTAAGAGATTACTTAGTGAAGATTCATATCATTGATTATATTTCTTATCATCTATTAATGATGTAAATTTGATGGTTTCATTTCTTGTATTGATAGATATTTAAAGGTCAGGTCAGTACTAACTTTTGAATTATGGACTTTGAGAAGTCAAATGTTTGGGACGTGAATCTACTCATTAGATTGAATAGGTTTTGCTAATAAAAGAACATTTCATTGATTTATTGATTATAACGGTCAAATTGAGTTGAATGGAAGTGAATCACATGTTGATTGATCGTGGTTGGGTTTGGTTAGGATTCAGAGTTGATTTATTTGGGTTATTTAAGAAATTAATTAGTGAAGATTCATACCATTGATTATATTTCTTATCGTCTATTAATGATGTAAATTTGATGTTTTCATTTCTTATATTGATAGATATTTAAAGGTCAGGTCAGTACTAACTTTTGAATTATGGACTTTGAGAAGTCAAATGTTTGGGACGTGAATCTACTCATTAGATTGAATAGGTTTTGCTAATAAAAGAACATTTCATTGATTTATTGATTATAACGGTCAAATTGAGTTGAATGGAAGTGAATCTAATGTTGATTCATCGTGGATGGGTAGTTTCGCCACGAAGTGGTGCAACTACCAACCTTTGTAGATTGAATCAGGTTGATTTGCATCTCTCCAATATGTAGCATTATCAAGAGAGTGATTGTTCACCAATTCAATGATCAATATTCAATAATCGGTTTGATTTCAATCAATAGCTTGATCGTCAAGCTTTGATTTAATATTCCAGTAATCAACGGCAGTCTATTTTTAAATTTAATCAAAGACCATATATAGTATCTAGACTTTTATGATCTAGAAACTATCTAGATGTGTTCTATATTGAATAATATATTTGAAAATGAGAAGAATTAACTCTTCTATTGAGTTTTATTGGTATTGCAAGGTATTTCGATTATAATAATCTACACAGAAATCACACTTGAAATATAAACTGTATTACAATGTATGAGAAACATAACGGTGGTGGAATTAATCAATAAATAATTGAAATGACTGAGATGGAATGTAAACTATGGTCTATTTGTTATGTAACGGTGACTAGACAGTGTCAATTTCATCAAATTATTTCAAACTGATAACATTCAATAAAAAACCGTTCTATACACCAAACATGTCATACAGAATGAGTTTCAATATTTAATATTGTGAACTGACTCTGTTGGATACCATCTCTATAAATATAACAAGATGAAAAGTGTCTACATTCAATTTCACATGCATGTTACTATGTAGAGTCATCATTATATCATCTAAATAGGTTGTATTTCATGTTTCAGTTACATTGACTGTCTAGATATTGAGATGTGTATACTAAGGTTGATGAAATGGTACCTTCACTGATTATTGACATGAATATAACAATTGATCATATGATTCTTGTATAAGTATTTCATTATTCAATAATTGTGATATGATGGTAAAATTTAATTTTGGAATTAAGATTTTTCCTAATTGATTTCCTTAGATGTTCCTTAGTTGACTTGAAGATACAGAGCCACGAATATGAAACTCTCTCAGATTGTTCTCCTCATTAAGAGGAGTGTATTCATATTTGAACCTTGTATGATATTTTGTAAAATGAATGAGATGGAGTATATTCTATTTGTTGAAATGTGACAATTTGACAGATTGTTATTATTATCATATTGAATTCAATTCTAACACTATGTAATTGATACCAGATGTATATAACTGTGATTTAATGTATATGGTATAGTTTCATGATGATTGGATGTATTTTCATTGAGATAGAGTGTACACTTGGATATAAGCACTATTGACATTGAACATTATCTGACTGACTAATTGTACGTACTACGAATTGTTTCCAAACTATTAAAAGTGTATTTAATTGATGTGTAATCTATGTAGTATCGATTTTAGAATGACTGTTCGTATAATGAGTGAGTTGGAGCATAATCTGTGATTTTATTTCAAAAGTCTATAGTATTGTGATAGAGTTGACAACTCGACATCTACTGAACCAATATTCATGAAATTGATACCATATGCTAATTAGAGTGGCTACATACCATGATATCAATTTCAGTGAAATTGGAGTTGTTTCTGGACCCTTCAGATTTCCATCCATTCTCTTGAAATATCCCCATGTACTATCTACTGAATGCATTTCTTGAAATGAAAATATATAATTTGAAGAAAGTCCACTTTATTTGAGATGTAGAACTCAATATTATCATTTATTATGAGATTGGTAACTTTTCCTATTGTATCATACTTAATTGTCTTAATTGACTAAAAGGATCAAGGAGAGATTTCAAATCATAAAATAAATGATATTTTCGAGATGTACTATTGATTTCCAATCGATTGATATGTATTTTGTTGATTGAGGATGTAGTTCTCTATTTGAAGATTTCCTCCTGATCTGTTATGTCAACCTTGAAATTTCACCCTTTACCTTATTGAATGATGGAATGTTCACCAAAATGTCTAAAAACTGAATAACAAACACTCTTTGAGATGTGAAACGTGATGGTAGTGTTTCGTAGAGAGTGTGGTTTTGGATCCCATGTCAACCCCTATTTATTAAGCTTTTCTCCTTAAATACATTAACAATATATATCACAAATGATGTCAAAAGATGGTGATTGTAATGGGGCACAATATACGGCTGATGTGAAATTGTTAAATATTTATATATATCAAGTTATGATGGTGGCTAGTGGTAATAAAATCACTTGATCAAAATTATTTTTGTCGCTTGATCAAACCGAAAAACGCGCGGAAAAGTTAAAAATAGATTCAAGTTGATGTGAAAATGGCTCAGAATCGAAAGGATTAACAAAGCTTACTACTATATTGGAAGTGAAAGTGCCATTTGGCACTCACTTCCATCAACTTTATCATAGAAATCACTCTTGAAACATGAATTGTACTATAATGTGTGAGTAACATATTGGTGTTGGAATTGATCAATAACTCTTTGAAATGACTGAGATGGAATGTAAACTATATTCTAAGGTATATTGGTTGACTGTAAGATACTGAGCCATCAATGTGAAACTTTATCAGATTGTTCTCCTTATCAAGAGGAGTGTATTCATATTTGATACTTGTATTATATTTTGTAAAATGAATGAGATGGAGTATATTCTATATGTTGAAATGTGACAATTTGACAGATTGTTATTATTATCATACTGAATTCAATTCTAAAACATTAAAATTGATTCCAGATGTATATCAGTGTGATTAAATGTATCTGGTAAAGTTACATGATGGTTGAATGTACTTTCGCTGAGATAGAGTACACTTGGATAAAATCACTCTTGACATTGAACATTTACTGATTGACTGAATTAAAGTATCATGAATTGTTTTTAAACTTGTATAGATGTATATACATGGTGTATAGAATGTGTGTTATCAGTTCTAGACTAATTGCATATAAAATAAGTGAGTTGGAGCATAATCT